ACGCCACAGGTGATGTAACCAGATATGTCTGCCTGTCTTTGTCTGCTGTTCTGTGTATTAGCTCATCTACGTGTTCTGTGGTGAAACTGGCTGTTCTGTAGACACCAACGTGTTCTGTGGTGAAACTGGCTGTTCTCTAGACGCCAATACACACTCTCTCCCTCTCTCCCTCTCTCTCTCTCTCCTTCTCTCTACCCGTTATCCAGAACAACGCCACATATTTGTACTAAGATGTCAAATTGATTTAACGCGGCGGTAAATCAGGTGCTGGTTCCATCACCACGCACCTTTTCTCATTAGAAGCCCCAACACCCCCCGCCCCCTCCGACAATCTCTGCTGTGCTTTATTATTATTAGAATAAAGCACATGTCAACCGTGCACAAGGATTGGCTCACACTTGCTCATGGGTCGTGTTTGTGTCTTGTACTGATAATTATTTCTGTCATCTCCTCAGGCATTTTAACCTGGTGTACGATAATAATAATAATAATAATAAATAATAATAATAAAGGAGAAAAGTCCGACATTACATTCAGGAAGGTCATCATGTTTTCTTACTGGCTTATATGTGAAACACTAAACCTATTTATTATGGCAGCCACTAGAGGGGGTAAATAAAAAGGGGTAAATAAAAAAATAATAATACAGAGTGATTTTTGTTTTACGTTGGTAACCACGGACATACAGTAGGTCTGCAGTAGTCCGTTGTGAGGTAAATGTCTGTGGCAACGTTGGTGTTCAGTTAGAAAATCCAAGAAATTTGGGGGAAAAAAAAACCTAACCTAAAAGTGCTTGAAATTGACCTCAAATTTACCTTTGTGACAAATGTGAAATTGCAGATGTCCACCAGGGAACAGCTGGTATGGTTTCCTTTTGTACGTGTGTGTATAGCATTGAATTAGGTTTGTTTGTAAAACCAAAACAATGTGTCTCTTTTGCACTCTTTAAACCCTTTGTTTTGATCTGTGCATCCTTCACCTCTGTGTGTGGAGCCTGTAAATATAAATAGCAGGCTCAGAGGCCCTCTGAGTTTCTTTTTTTTTCTTTTCTTCTTCTTCTTTTCTTTTATCTGCCTTGATCTGAGGCGATGCAGATGACAGGCAGATAGAAGCTGCAGTGCAGCTAGAACCTAGTCGTGTCACACGGCACATTAGTTGAAAGTGTCGGCATCAAACTTCTTTTATAGTTTTCATTAGAAAGGAGTGAAAGATCCTCTCAGTTATATATATAGACTGTCACTTCAGCTGTAATAACCATAATATTCAGCAGCAAAGGAGAAACGGGTGATTTGGTTAGTTCTATTTTGGTTTGTCATAATTCAGAATTGTTATTGTTTGTACAGGGTTAATAAAGAGTCTTATTGCAAATTAAAGTTAGTCACTCACGTCGCCCTCTCTCAGAAATCTGAACCTTTCGTGAAAACACATCAACAGGTGGTTAAGAGGTCGTGACGAGACTCACAGCAGCTGAAACTAAGCCAAAAGGTTAGCCAAAAGTGGAAAGAAAAAAAAACAATAACATGAAGAGGGATAGAAGTGCAGGAGCCGTTATTAAGACGTGTGAGTGACCTTTGATCGAGCACCACACAGGCAGAGAGACAGGAGTTCAGTCAGACTGGACTCTCTAAGACAAAATGTCAACGAAAAAGCAACTTAAGTGTTTTCACCTAGCAACCTAAATCTATTTGTTAGAGAAAAACTTAAATTTCAAGACTTACGTCATTTTAATACTCCTAGGACGGAAACTGTGAATAAATCATTGTTGTTTTGCAACTGGAACTTTTCCCCAATCATGATTTGCCGTCATCTTAAACTGTTCTTCGTGATACACAATCACATAAAGGTTTGTGCTTAACTTAATAGTTGAATATTTTTTGTTTGTCTCTAAAATTTCCAAAACTAGTGTCTCCAACCTGCACATTTAATGTATGCAGATTCCAGATCCCATGCATTTTATGACTGGAATTCCAAACCCACCATCTTTATCTCATGCATATAACCAAACCTTTTTGTTTTTTACATGGGTTGTTGTTTAAACCTCACAATACCCTCTCACTCAGAGAGGATCTGCATTTAAACCTCAAAATACCCTCTCACTCAGAGAGGATGTGAAAAATGTAAAATGTCCCTACAGCAGTAAAATATGTCCAAAAGAAAAGAAAAAGCCCTGACAAGTATAGCTATACCAGTTTGACACACACACACAAACCCCACCTCATCAGACCCTTTTTTTCCCCAAAGAGTTCATTTTGTATTCTTAAACTTTAAGCCCTCACCACTCCTTGTATGAGAGAGAATCTAATAGATAGATAACAACGCACAAAAGCTTCCATTGTGTCCATCATGCACTGCTCCACCAGCCTGGTGGCCCATTGATGCACTGCACTCTAAGTGGGTGGGAAGCTGGGAGGTGCTCGTCACTCTCTTTTCTCTTTTCTCTCAGTCTCTGGAGATATGATGCAGCACGCTAACACAACCTGACAGGCGGACCACCAGGGCCCCACTGTTGGAAACGTCAGGCGCGTCTTTGCTGCACGATTTGCATGTGTTTGTGCAAACGTGTGTGAAATGTCATGAGAAAAATTGTGAGATATTTTGTCGACCCAGTTGCATTCATACCTTTTACTGCAACCTGTGGTGGCCATTAGTGCACTTCTGAAGCTGACTTGTGTGATATGTAGAAGTGTGAAGAGAGACCGGGTGGAGACTAAATCTCTCCAATCCCACTTAACATGGGAATAATCCTGTTGTAGTGGGAGGAAAATATGTGTGTGTGTCTTAAATCTTGGGGGAATGTGAACCGCAGGATTGTGGATATGAAGCTGGGAAGCATAGCAACAAGGCCGACCCCAGTCTGGATCAGACATGAATTCCTCATGTTCACGGTGTCAGTCAATGGTTATATAACAGAGGGACAGGCTCCTCTTGGCCCGACGCTAGCTCGTCCATCAGCCACGCTGCAGTTTGTGTTTCGGCCTCAGCGGAGCAGCAGCTTCCACAGAGTCGTCTCAACGGCCTTGACATTCCAAAATCCACTCTATCGTCAGATGAAAGTCGGAGCCAGAAAAGTACAGGAAGTGAAAAACTTGTAAAGAAACTGAAATCACTTTGATCACGACTATCTTCAACAGTTTTTTTTCTTCAGCCCACATCATCCCCATCCTTGAAACTCAGTAAACCTCAGAACTGATTTAAAAGTTTTATTGCGTGTCTTTAAATTTCAAAATAGATCTGGCCGTTTTTAACCGTGTTTTACCCTTCAAGACATTAAAGATCAAACAGCAGAGGTTTGCTAATGATCCCACAAGTTCATTTTCAAACAGAGTGAAACTTCTTTTACTCGTTACACGGCTCAGAGATGGAACCAGCTGCCAGATTACACCGAAGGTGTTTCAGTCCTTACATTTTTAAATTAGGACTGGAAATGTTTCTGTACATCAACGCTCCGATGTACTTTTACAAAAATAGCTGTATATTCTGAATTTCACGTAAATCATTTCTGTCATTATATTTACAATATGAACTGTATATATAAATATATAGATATATTTATATAAACTTTACTTTAAACGTGATTAACGCATCAGTTTGACTGGCCTAATTTTGCTTTTGTTATTGTTGCTATCTGTCGCAATTATCAATTTCATTTTAAAAGAGCTTCTAATCAATTTGATTATGTTTTAATAGTGTTCCACCACTAGTAGTACTTCACAATCCTACTGTGAGAATATTAGCATTTATTTTTGCGTACTACATTTACCACGTTTCCGTCTGTGAATCTTATTCCAAACGGCATCAAATGTATCTTGGAGGTGGGCCCCAAACTGTCTTATGTGAGAGAGTGTTAATTCACAGATCAGCCTACGGCGCTGACTAAAGATGTCTCCACGTGTACTCTCCTATATATATAATTGCTGCGGTCTGTAGGTGTCGGTCTGTGATGTGACTGGTGCTGAATTATTGCAGCTCTCAACAGGAGCTCGACATCACTCACAGCTTGGCTTCTGCTTGATTTTGATTTCTTCATCAGGGGAAAGCGACAGTAGTTTAGTAGTTCTTGGGTTGGAGACTCTGACAACAAACGTGATTATTTTTATTCTTTTAATTTTTTTGTTTGCCTCAAAGAGCTGTGACTGCAACATAAATAAAACAAGCAGATAAAAAGCTGAACCCAGATTTGATGAGACTTTGTGGTGAATATTTTGTAGCTGAGACAACTTCCAAGTAGAGAGTAGAGTCTTTAATAGGAAGACGGTGGTTTTCTCACCCACGCTGCGTGTGACGCACTCACTTCTCATCTTTCACGGCCGTCACCAACTGTGGAATTCCTTTTTAATCAGCGTTCTTCTCCTCCGGTTGTTTCTTTCGCTACTTCCAGGCTCTGTTTCTCCAACAAGAATCAGAAATGTTCTCTGCTCCTCATGATGAGGCTGGAGATCCTGCCTACGTACGATTAAACATCGTAGCATGAACGGCTGTTGTACCTTCATGGTTGAACGACACATTTTTGTGACACCCTACTGTCCGACCGGTTTTAATCAGATCAGAATTTTTTTTTTTACATCAATTATTCCTCTGTCTTTTGCAGTGAGGTGATTGTTGATGTTGTGTACCATATTTTCCAGGCTATAAGTCGCAATTTTTTTTTAGAGGGCACTCTAGGCTCGTGTACTAGTATCTGCTACTGTTGTACAACTGAAAATTTACATGTTTGTTTTTTTCACACTGACAGCCACTAGAGGGCACTGGTGCGACTTTAACTCCAGAGAGACTTATATTCCAGGGCACTGGTGTGATTTATACTCCGGAGAGACTTATATTCTGGAAAATATCGTATTTACAACTTCCACTGAATCACAATAATTCGATCGGACGCTTTAACATTGAACAACATCATTGTGTTTGTATAATTCGATCGGACGCTTTAACATTGAATAACATCATTGTCTTTTTTTTTATTTAATTGTTGGACTGACCCACATTTCTCTCTCCCTCCCCAGGCAAGGTGTTGAATACTGATTTGCGTCACTACCTCAGTCTGCAGTTTCAGAAAGGCTCCCTGGACCACAAGCTGCAGCAGGTGATCAGGGACAACCTGTACCTGCGTACCATTCCCTGTGAGTACCGTCCACACACTTCTGTCTCCTCTCTCTGTCTGGACTGTACTGTACTCTCTGACCATCGAACCCTTGACCTACCCATGTAGCTTTACCTCATATCTTGCATGATTGGAGAACGGGTGACATTAACTGTATGTCCTCTGGTAGATCTGTGCGGCCCATCCGTCCGCCCTTATCTAAGCCCCTGCCAGTGTCTTATCACAGTCAGACGGGCCGACCCTGTGAGAATCCTAAATAGCCGCCACAGCAGGGTGCCAGTGCTCATTACAGTGACCTGAGTGACATCTCAGAGAGTAAGGGAGAGAGAAACATGACAATTCTCCACCACGTGACTCAGTGAGGCTTCATTAAGCATCACTCCTGCCCACCACAGAAGCTGACAGGAGATCAAGATTGTGCTAGACGTCCAAGGCGCCACGAAACCCTTAAATCCTGTTGAAATTTCTACCCTACATGACCCCGGGTGACCTTTCAGCAGTCACCTGAAAAAAAATGAAAAGATGAAGATTGCCAAAAAAGTTTTTGTAGAAGGCGCAAAGGTAAAAATGCAGCAGGTTTTACTCCTTTGCTTCGTCTCTGAAGATGTCTCTGTCGTAAGAAGACAAAACCTTTAAAGTTATTTTGTGTCTGTCTTAAGAACAAAAAAATGTTTCAAGGCAAATCACATTTTTCTCTGTGATTTCATACAAATATTGCATTGAATTGTGCCGTGTCCTCAAATGTGATAAAGCAGCCAAAAGGGATTTTTATCACAGATGACAGTAATTTAATTCCTGACTTTTTTAGATGTTGTCGAACATCGTCATGTTCTGCGTTAGCTCTCAGTACACAGTCTCTTATCACTACATTTGCTGCATTGTCTTTTAAGTATCTGCCTAATTTAATTCTTTCACGTATCAGTATCAGCCTTGTCTGTTCCTGCATGTGATTGGTTGTTTGGTACGCTCGTCGAAATAACTCCCACCACCACCTGCACTGGTGGGGTTCCAGGGACTTTGTCCCAACCCATTGGGAGTCTCTTCTCGTTAGCTGCAAGGAATCTCTTCCAATCTTTAGAGTTCGAAAAAAAAAAAATCACTGTCTGTGAAGAACAATTGCGTATTCATCAGCCCGTGAATGGGCTCGGAACATTATTATTATCAGACCAGTGGTACCTCGCTGGTTTTGACAAAGGTATTTGAGGGGAAATTAAAAAGTTGAATTCCTCTGGTAGGAAGTTAGAGAGCACAGACTACAGACTTGGTTTAGTAAGAAAGGAAAAAGTTACATAAATATTTAAATTTAGAGAAAATTTAACATTTAAATATTAATACGTCGTTGGCAGAAGAATTTGTCAGATGGAATAAGATTGGATATCACTGCACAACACTAAAACACTATATATATATATATATATATATATACAGTATATATGTATATAATATGCAATACTAGTATTGCATATAGAGTTTGAAAATACTAGTATTGCATATACTAGTATACTAGTATTGCATATACAATACTAATATAATTTTTATCTAGTATACTAGTATTGCATATACAATATAATTTTCAAAAGTTGCATTGGGACATTTTTTTTTTTGCCATAAGTATATATCAGTACTGTACACACTTGTATCGGCTACGTTTCAGTCAGGATATTTTTTATTAAAGCCAACGTCTTAAACCAAAAGGACATGTTGAATTTTTCATGGCGAAGTCTTGGCCAGGTCATTTTTTTCTTTTATACATCTTCAGGATGATTCATACTCGACATTTTACATTTCATTTGCTTTGATACTTTTTTTTTTCTTCATCCTCCACGTCCACAGTTGCCTAGGTGTTCTGAACAAAGTGAAGCTTTATTTTTATTATTATTCTAATCCCAAAGATATAAAACAGATTCATGGCTTCTTTTAAACCCTCATAAAAAGAATACCCTTGAAAGGACAGACACTAAAAAGACCTTGTTTATTCTAAGTGCCCACATCTCAATATGGAATTGTAAACACAACGTTGGTTGGTTGTTGTACACCTACTCTCTCATATACAGTATTATGTCGTCCTATGTTTCTAGCCGAGATCATGGTAGAAAAGGTTCTTGAAAAAAAATGGCAGTGGGTTTGACCCTTGCTCCATATCTTGATGCTGTTCTTTCACAGCAACACTCTTTGCCTTCAGTTGCTGCAATAACCTTTTCATATGGTGCGCGGTGAATTAGAAATCCGTCTAAGACAAAACCGATCCGTCGTCATCCCAGAAATGTCAGGTAAGGACGTTGAATGCACAATGAAAAGCGAAATAAACACATTCCGTCCTAATCCTTCTCCCAGGAACCAGCTCAGATTTCTTACTAGTGCGGCTTCACTGGTCTCCAGTGATTGCTCTGTTTGACAAAACCTAAGCTTGTGTTTGCTGCACGCTAAGTAGTTTCAGATGAGACGGTTCATACTGTAGCAGGGATGGACGTTAACACGGGGGGAGAAAGTGGAGATAAGTCTGGAGTTTGGTATCGGTTCTCGTTGATTCGTTACGTTTTAAATCCCCTCTGCCTCCAGAGTGGCCGGCTCAGCCCCTGTTTTCGGCTGATACGCTCCAGAAGCTCTGATCACATCTAGGATGACAGTTAGTGGAATCAAATCTTCATCGATGTGCTGTCCTCTTAAAAATAAGGAACGCACATTATCTACACACACGTCTGAACCCTGTGGTCACTTGAAGTCTTCGGCATTGGTACTGTAGAGTCGTAGAATCTTATTTATATTAAAAGTGAGTTCCACTTTGAGGAAAATGTTGGGGTTTTTTTTTCACAATAACAAATATGAACAATCCGTCCACCAGGAGGAGCTAAGCTAACTAGCCGTGCTACAGTGCCACCATGTGTCTTGAATATAAATCTAATCTAAAGTGAAACAGTTTAGTAAAAGTGTTGAGTGAAAACATGTTTACACTTTCTCTCTGTTTAGTCAGCTGTGCTGTTGTGTCCCCCTCTCCTCCCACCCTCCCTCCAACCCTCCCCTCTTATTCCTAATATTTGAATAATGAATTTGCAGCTCAGTGCTTCGAACAGTGTCAACTGTTCCAAATGTTGATTCAGATTTCCCAGGCACAGAGAGTTGTATTTGATAGTGTGCATTTTTGAAACAGCGCCACCTTGTCCCCTCTTCGCCGCTGTCCCCTCGTCTGACATGCTCTCATGTTTTCAGGTACCACCCGTCAGCCCAGAGAGGGAGAGGTCCCTGGTGTGGACTATAACTTCATCAGCGTAGACGAGTTCCGTGAGCTGGATGAAAGTGGACTGCTGCTGGAGAGCGGCACCTATGACGGTAGGTCTGACCTTTTGACCTCTTTTATTTCACGGCCGCTTTTATCAAGAAACAGCACAAGAATTTTAATCAGTTACAGCATCATCATGTTCAGTCGAAAGTGTTTCTTTTGAACTTTTTATTTCACGGCCGCTTTTATCAAGAAACAGCACAAGAATTTTAATCAGTTACAGCATCATATTTACTTGAAAGTGTTTCTTTTGAACTGTTTTGGTTTTGCTGTGTTTCTAAATTTTGATCCATGTTCCTTCTCCTCAACTTGTTTTGTTTTTTTAATTCATGTTATAAAGTTATAATATAAATGTAAACATATATACAAATACATGTATATATGTATGAATACATACCGTATTGGTTAGGTGAGGCAGAAACTTAAAGAGAGGAAAGCAGTCATTGAAAGCATGTCGGACAAAATATTTCAGTGGGAGGAACATATATTGCCCCACTCTGCACTCTGGGGACACGGTTACAGCTGAGGGTAAATCCTCCTTGATGCCCCGACCATTGGTTGACCTGTAATTCTGCTGAGCTGTTTGCTCTTCGGTCATCAGGTGACTTCAACACATTGCCCGTGTCATCAAGCTGCCACCGCAAATGTGTAAAAATAGGAGATAATATATCCCCAGGTGAGTTTCCCTGCTCTCCACCGTGTGAGCCATCACACCCGCCCTCCGTGGCCTGAGCACTGCTCTGAGCCTTGGCCCCCGCAACCTTAAGCCTACCAAGCAGTCTACAAGGATGGATAATGGATTCGTTCTGCCCTTGGCTGCTTCATACAACGCACAAGGAGTGTGAGTTGGAGGCAAAGATTCAGAAATCCCCAGGAAGTTAATCATAATCCGCACACAGAGATAGGTTCAAGTCAGAGGCATGTGTATGTGTAGGTGTGTGTCTGTGTGTGTGTTTATGAATAACAACCTCACAGTGTTCAGTTTGGGTAATTAAATTAAAATGATTTTATTTGCAAATCAAAAGTTGACCCAAGACCCAGTTGATTTAAAATGTAAAATCAAACAAGAAAAAGATGGATGTAGAACTCTTTTCTCACTTCCTACTCGTGGCAGTTTTAAAGGAGCTTTATTTAATGATGGCAACAGATATCTCCACCACTGGGACTGATCCCCCAGAACCCTGAACAACAGGGGTCTCACACAACCTCATAGTTAATCTTTAACTAGTAGTCATAAAGCCGCACTGATCTTCTTCCACAGTCGGTGACAATGAGCCACTCACTGCTGCTGCAGCCTCTGTCATTACAGAGGCATCAGCTCAGCTTGTCTCTTCATCAGAGGTCGTGGCGATCAGTTCCCGCTGTGATTTGACGCAGTTTTTACCCTGACCCTCCATGATGCAACCAAGTAATCATTCAAATCCACAAACTATAAATTGTGCTTTTTTTTGCTGCTCTTAGAACTCAAAAATACAATTGACATCATCTATGACCACAAGGGGCAACGTTTACACCCGTGAAAACTGAACGCTGCTACTACACCACATAATGCTTTCCATGAAGAACAGAAATTAAATGCAATCAAAATCATTCCTACTGCAAAGTAAAAATTGGTGGTTACGAAATTAGCAGCCAAACGCGGTAATCGAGCGAAACTAGCAAGATGAGGATGAATGAAATTCTAAGATGTTAACTTGTGTTAAAATATATAGACTATGGTTTTGGGACTTTTGCGACTAAATAAAGTCTTTCCAGACTAAATGTTCTTCCATTGAATCTTGTGAAATTCAATGAATACAACTTATGGTCCCAAAAAAACAAAACAAACTGTTGTACAAAATCAATCCAAACAAATACAATTTAAATTGTTGACTCGCTCTGAACATTAAAGTTGACTATCATTGGGCAGTAGGAGGGAGATTGAATAACACAAAGTAAAGATTTTGTCGCACCATTTGGAAGAAGAAAGAACATAATTCTGTACTCGTTGCCGTTGCTAAGTCAAATACGTCTCACAGACTTTGTTTCCATTTGTCTGACCGTGTGTGAATGGAGGTGAATTAGAGCATGTCTAATTTTCTACTTCTCACTGTTTACGGTGTGAAGAAAACTGAGGCATGAATTATTCATGACCATGACTGGGCGCTGTAATTGGCAAACAGAATTGGAGTAAAGCAGTATGAAATCATAAACAACAACAGAAAAAAAACAACGACAGTATGACTCAAATAAACTGACAGATGTATTCATTCAGCAAACCATGGGACATCAGTGTACGGCAATCCTATTTAGTTGAAATTTACAGAACTTACCTTGTTCTACTTTCACTTGTTTAGTATCATTAGTCCTAATTAATGCAGCTGCACTCGACAGTTCCTTCTCACTTTATTCTCGTGCACTCACTAAACTCAGCAGATTCTCAGAAGACGGTGTGGGACTGTGAGAATTCAAATGTCCACCTGAGCCAGTGTGGAGATTTTCTGGACTTTGTCCTCCAGCTGTGAGAGTGAGCTAATGTAAAATGCAGCAGAAGATTCTCCAGTGACTGAAGTGCTCTGGGTCCAGTTGGGTTTTTACCCTGTCACCTGGCTGCTGTGAATATGTTGCTGCTGCACTCGTCACATTTAAAATGTAAATTACAAAATAAAATATAATACGTGAAAAGGGGCTTCATGAATAAAGATAGAGCATTAATTAGATAACTACCAGTCCCAAATGTTATATTACTTAAAATATTAACGTTATTATCTGGGCCTCTCCAGACTGACTAGTAATTCTCAATGCAAACGTTGCCGATGGTAACCAAGCCGCCAATGGAGGGTTCAATACTTCCTACAATAAAAATATATATAATTAGAAAAAAAAATCTACATATATGTATGTGTATATATACATATATGTATACAGTATATGCACATATATGTATGTGTATATATGTATATATGCACATACAGTATATAAATATATACATATATGTATATATGCATATATATGTATGTATATATATGTATATATATTAATGTATATATGTACATATACATATATAAATATGTGTATAAACATACATATATGTAAATATGTATGTAAATACCCATATATGTATATATGTATGTATACATATTCAAACTCACACAGATTGATAAGAAGTCTTAGGATGGAGGTAACTGTTAGTATTTGTTCGTGTCTCAGGGTGGACAAGATTGACTTGTGAAGTGTGGTCATTCAGTCCACTAAGTGTCTGAGCTCTGTGCCAAGACTGGAGGACAAGCTGGGATTTACTCGCCTGTGGCCCGGCAGTCGCAGACAAGGTCTCGGCAGAGTGGGCACTGCCCAGGAGGGGGAGACCTTCTCACTGATTAATGAGGGTCTGTGGCTGTGGGTGGCAGGTTCAAAGGGGCAGAGGGATAAATGTGGTGTGAACTGGGGGGGCCGAGGAGCCGAGGGCCTGGGGAGACTCATGAGTATTAATCTGTGGGAACATTTTCCAGGTTTGTCCAGCATTAGTGATGTCTTCTGCTTCGGATCGTGACATGTCCATTGCCAAGAAAGCATTAGTTTGCTTTTCACCTCCCTAAATGAGCATGGACGACCCAGTCTTTTTGGAGCGTTCCATTTACAAGTCAAAGCTGAAGCATATTGTGGAACTCAGAACTCCTGCTGCAGATGAAACTCTATAGTCACAGTTGATTCAGATTCTCACGGATTGGAGATGAGGCGTGCTGGCAGCTGTTGATGAAAACAGATGGCCCGACACTGTATATACACACACACACACACACACGTTCACTCACTTGCATATGCAGCTCCAGTGCCAGTCTCAGCTGTCAGTCTCTTCATGCTCAGAACCCTTCTAATGGGAAGTAATTGATTTATTTTTTTAAAGTTCCCTGTGACTGAAACTGTTTCTCACTGGTAGCCAACAGAACCAAGCATGTGTAAAACGAGTGGATGTTTGTGTATTTCACTTACAGAGCCAACCGAGTGTTGGCCCAGGCTGTGAAAATGAAAACAGCTTTGCTTTACACCGTCCGTTCACCACTTCCACGACTTATAGTACAAGCTCTCGTGTAGTAAAACTGTACTCAACTCGGCAGCTCACTGCGTACTTCTTCTTCGTAATTTGGCAGCTGTGTAAAAACAAAAAACGAATTAAGTGAAAGATTTTCTAAGAGTTTGTTTTTGTTTTGCTCAGTAAAAACTCTCACTTTGCCTTTAAACTTTTCTTGAAATGTTTTGAATTAATATAATACCTTTCAAAATAACTTTTATCCTTTCTATACAGTAGTGTCCCAATTACTAATAGTAGAAAAGTAAGAAATCCCTTATCAGCTATCAGGCAATGCAAGTGAAAACGACTAATGCTATCAATGCTAGCTTATGATTTTGTCCAAAACAAAGGTATTATTTTGAAAGAAATTTACAAAATTCTGCCTAAAATGATTACAGAAGTTGGAGCATAGTTATTATTCTTTTGGCAGAAATGTATTTTTTATTTATCAGGTTTATTACAATAGTCACAAACACTTAGCTTGAAGCTCGACATGGATAATCAGGCGTACAGTGTAGCTAAACAGTAGCATAAAAAAGTCGTAGGTAACTATATGACGATCCAAAAAATTAGCCCAGATAAAGTTCAATTTTTTTTTCGTTTTGGACAGGGCTTTTTTTTTTTTTACAATATAGAAAGGATCTCTTTATAGCTACAGCTTTGTAAATCACATTTTAAAGAGTAAAAACCAAGTTCCTGTCCAACAAAATAAAATGAATCACTTTTCAAGGACCTTTAAATAAAAGGACCTTTAATAAAAAAAATATATCCTGATGTAGCCATACTTTAAATTTTTTTAAAACAAAATGTGTTTTCTAGGAATTTGTATAAAGTGTGTCTGTAACCACGGCAACTGAACTGCTCCAATCACAGAACCCTCCAAGGTCAGAAGGCGGCGCCGTCTTAAGTTATGAAGCCTTGAGTGTTGCTTCTTTGTGTTATTTACTTTACTTTCTGCTCCGATGTTTTCTTTGACATTTAGGTCAAACAGAACTGCTGTTGTTTCAACACTCTGAACGATGAATGTCTGTTGTTGTCACACTCACGGAGTTCTGGCAGCATTTTCCTTTTTTTTTTTTTTTTCCAATAATGATCAGCCCATTAATTTAAGGCGGTAATTACTGTGGAAATGTAAGGTTGGTCGTTCTGACATTATACATGAATCACTCTGTGTTTGCAGTGTAGAACCAATTGTCTTGATAATTAAATGTCAGGCATTGAGGTAATGAGGCAGAAACGAGTGCCTCTCAGGACCAACAGTACTTTGTATCTCTGTTTCTTCATTCTCTCACTCCTAAAAAAAAAGTATGTTTAATGCTCGTGTTTTTATTTTTTCTTGGCTTCAAAAATGTTTACACAACATCTTTTAGACTACAAACCGATTTGAGGTAGAAATGTTTGTCTAAATATGATAAAGTTCTCAGCTAATGGTTCAAATGACATTAACTTTTATTTACAAAACATTTGCTATTCCTACAAAACTGCTTTTCTCATTGAACACAATTAATAAGCAATAGCTCTGTGTACCATGAGGGGGACCCGCCCTCCACTTTGGGAACCACTGCTATAAGGCAACAGCGTGAGCCCCTTTCTGATGATGTGGCCTTACAAACATCATTTATTTTTATGTATCGTGTTTGAATGGATACAGAAAAACAGTAGTGATGATTTTGCTGGTTTTCTCTTTTTTCGATGTTTACTGACAAACACTGACCTTTGACCTTAAGATAATATCTTTTAAGATTTAAATAATAACAAAAGTTTTCCTTAAGATAATATCTTTAAAGATTTAATTATAACAAAAGTATGAGGCCTTAAGATAATATCTTTAAAGATTTAAATAATAACAAAAGTATATTTTGTATTTTCTACCCTGGTGTTTGTTCGGTGTTGGTATTTTCTACCCTGGTGTTCGTTCGGTGTGAACTACTCTTTAATTGGATATTCTTCCGTTTCCCATTCGCTCATTTGTTCGTCACGTTTCTATTAGAATTACAAATGTTCACCTGTTTGATCTGCGGCGAGTTGTTGCATCTCGTGTTTCCGCTCTTCTTGATCAGTAATCGTTCGTCCTCCTCGTACAATTACTTCAGATCCTTGATTAGATGAAACGTCGACGGCGAGTTGACACATCAAGGGCAAACAAATGATTTTCTTGTTAATTACATATTCATCGATTTAATCATTTCTACGTCTTCAACTGTGAGGGAGCCACGAAGACAGTTAACAACAACAGAGTTCACTGTGTTACACTGTGATCTGTACGTACGACACATTAATAGTGCTGGAAATTCAAAATGTGTTCAATGTTAGCGTGTTTGGTCGTACATGTTCATCTGTTAGGGTTCTTTACATGAATTTAAATTAAACTTTAAAAGTTTAAGAATTTAAAAATCTTCTTCAACACCTCGGCTAATTACCACACTGTGTTCTCGCACCGTCGCTGTCCATCTCTGTGTACTCTGCTGTTACCTTACTGTCTTGCGGCTTCTCTCCAAAGTGCACTAACAGCAGATAAATGTGTGTGTGTGTGTGTGTGCTTCGGGAGACCAAGAGTGTACACTGCAATTTACAGCTGCTAATTAACCTCCTCCATTTAGATTCTGTCATTAAACGTCCCACTAATTACAACTCCAGTCAGGGTCTTAATGGGTTTTAATAAGGAACTGAAGTTAACACTTCTTCTACTCAATCATCGATTAATGTTATTACCATCAACATGTGTAAAATATATACTGTATATCTTTATTTACATAACAGTGTTTTTGAGCCATGGTGAATATTTATTCTTTAGAAAACTCCCACGTCGCACCATCAAATAAAAATGTCACAATCAGCATATTTAATAAAATATATTGATTTTCATTTAATGAGTTCCATTTTACTCGACCAGTGTGAAATCTAGAGGCTCCTGTTTAGTTGAACAGAACACTGGTATGCTGGCAGGAATTGATGAAAGACACACAAAGTTCTTCTTTATCGGATCTCAAACGCACTAGTGCGTGAAGGAACAAGCATGGGTTGGGAATCACTGTTAAATACGATGAAAATTGTTAGTCAAAAAGTTCAAAGACAAACTAAAAAATGTTATTTTGTGAAAATATCAAAACATGTTAATTTGTGAAGCTAATAATCAAAACCATTTTCCATACAGAAAAACAAGGGATTGAACCAGCAAAACTAATAGTTGACTTTCTATTAGGCGAGATGAATATACTATTTTTATTCATACAATAACCATTTAATGTGAACACATTATTAATAATACAGCTCATGTCTTTGTTTATTAAATATTTTCAGTTCATGGAAAACAAATTTGAGGAGGTGTGTGTGTGGTTTTTTTCTTCTAAAGATTTAAGACTCACAAATTACCATTGTCTCCAATGTTCTGCTTATAATAGACCAAATTAACTGTTAGGCAGATCGAAGAAATTATTATTCATTTAATGCATTATGAATTTATAAAAATGCATGAGCTGCAGGCTTATCACTCAGTGGGTAATTGTCTTTTTACCCACTGTGTGAGAGAGAGAGCAATGAGAGAGAGAGAGAGAGAGAGAGAGAGAGCGCGCGCCTGAAGTTAAGAATTGACTGTAAGTGAATGAAGCCTCTGTTGTTTTCATGTCCTGGGATGAGTCAGTGTGGTGAAAATATCTGCTCAGGTCCAGGTTTCTGTCCGACTCCATACGGCCGATCTGCTGTGAAAGTGTCATGAGAGTCGGGAAGTGAGATTATAAAAAAAAAAAGACAAAGTGGAAATGAATACAGAGAGTTTTTATCTTTGGTTCGTGTTTGTTTTCCTTGTCACCTGGTTAAGGCTAGTTAATGAGTGATGGCTAACATCTATCAATGTTTCAGAACCAGTAGAGTTCTGATGTGTTTCCTAACCTTTAGTGATGACCATCTATACTATTCGGTGCTTTTGTACAGTTATAGACAAGCTCAGTAGTTTCAATGTCGTTGTGCTCATCAACAGGGGGCACCACTCTCATCCTGTCATTCTTTCATACATAGTTGTAAAAGATTTACTGGTTCAACATTGACCCACCGTTTGTTTTCCAACTTGATGGCTCGGCAACTAGAGGGAGTCATATATCTTTATGTTGCTTGTTCACTCTAAATTGATGGTAGGTGTGAATGTTAGTGTGAATGGTTTGTCTGACTCTTTGATGGACTAGCCAACTCTCCAGTATGTACAGTAACCTCACCATTTGCTCGATGACTGCTGATTGGTTCTAGCCCCACTGCGACGAAAATGATAAAAAAAGAAAATCATTGAAAGATAAAATATTCAAATGAAGAACCTTCATAGGTTTGAGGATCAGCTTAGCTTAGTCTTGTGACTGCTGGGACTGACAGGCAGTTAAGATAGCTTCAAGGCACATCATTCACAGCCCACATTGGAAAATGAAAAACAATACAGTTAAGAGTTAAAAGCCAAAGCTGAATTCTTCTCCACATTCCCTCTGTGCTCCCTCTGCTGCCTTCAGTCTCTTTATTCTTCTTCTTTTGTTTACCTCGCCGCTTCCTATTAATGTCTTTCATCACAGTTTCAGTTTGGTCCCTGATGTGCCTCATAACAGATGCAGTACAATTTCCAGGTCCTCTGGTACACACCGCAGTCCAACACCAACACCAGAGGCCCGTGGATTCCCACGTACAAATCAATATGCGTACCGCACTTTTCTATTTGCTATTTTCTCACTTCTTCTCCCTCTCAGCTTGATGAAAGCTGTTGTGTTCTAGCAGCCTCTCACTTTATATTACAGTGCTGATGCTTCATCTGCTATGACACTGGTTTTAATCATTTTTCCTTGTTGGAAGGAACTGTAGTGTTGGTGGTTTGTGAAGAAGTGATGCTGTCTAGAAAGTTTAATTTTTCCAAACTGGTCTGCAAAAAAACCCTGACTTCTGCTGCTTAATTTGCCAATGCTTTGGTGAAACTCTGCCCTCTGCTGGCATATTGGCATTTAAGGTCCAGAGAAATGACTTGAATAATTAAGGTAGCAGCCAGTCTACGTTAATTTATAGACTTTTTTATTCAGGGAAATTCATTGACAACCAATTGTGAACCTATTTTGGAATATTGTAGCTTCAGTTCCTGGAATGAAGCAGTGAATCCTATGTTCTGGTTTAACAGTTCAGTTTTAAAGGTCAACATCGGTACCCAGTCACTAATTATTCCCCTTATTCCCTCTGTTGAAAAAGCTTTTAAAAGATTTTTTAAAAAGATTTTTACACATGGAACCAAACATTCTCATGGTGGTAGAGAAAGATCTTTTTTTTTACTTTTTTTTTTTTTTGCTAATCCTCTTTGTGTTGTGTATGAGGTTAGCAAAACGAAACAGATTCAAGTCGAAGGTTTATTTACGACTACAGAGTCAACAAGTTCAGCAACAAAATGCTCCCATATGTGCAGGACAAAATATTCACAACCATTTTTTGCTTTTCTGTCTCTTCTTAAAATTCTAGGCAACTACTATGGGACCCCCAAACCTCCAGCCGAGCCCAGCCCCGTGCAGCCAGACCTAGTGGACCAGGTTCTGTTTGACGAGGAGTTTGACACAGAGGTCCAGCGCAAACGCACAACCTCTGTCAGCAAAATGGACAGAAAGGACAGCACGGCACCGGAGGATGAAGACGAAGAGGAGAGGTCTCCGATGGTCAACGGGCTGACAGGTGAGAGGCTTGTTTTCAATTTTTTTTTTTACCTTTCTTGAAGTCAACTTTTATACAGCCCTGGCATTTCTGTCCGTTTAGTACTTGTGTTTATATGCAGATGATGTTAAACATGTAATCCATGATGTATCCAATGGCTGTGCCTGATCATCACTGTTGTATTATCGTCCAATAAAGAACGTTCTCTCCTACGTCAGACTTCCTCTGAGCTAGAATAAATGCTCGTGCAGGGACAGTTAGGAGCCAGTTTCTCTCTTCTATGCCCTCTAAGCATTTTTGTCAGTTGGAGTGAGTGTTACTGTACGTGCCCTCGTACACTGCAGCTCCAGTCGACAGCGTCTCTGCCAGGGCTGGAAACAGCTGTTGCCTGGAGCCATTTCTCTATCTTGTCCTTTGTTCTGAATTTGCAAATATGGAGTGCACTCATGAGGGGGGAATAGAGGCCTCATTTTTGGAACAAAATGCTCCAGACCTCTGTCAGTCGACAGGTTTCAGTTTGTCTAAAGGACTGAGGATTCAGTGTCGTCCAACTCATACTTGGCCTCATGGAGAGAAAAAAAAAAAAAAAACGGCACACAGTCAGACTCAGAGTCAGTCACACATATCATGATACGTGGATCACACAGTAATGTGATATTGAAAGAGTTGTGGTGTAGTACTCGTGGCCGGTCATGGCTCTGCCCTGTTCTGCCTGGGAGGCAGTTTGCAGTGCGACACTCCTGACATGCAAATCCACTGGGCATAGCTGCACTCCCGTCCTCCTGTGTTCTCTTTTTTTTTTTTTTTACGTGTCTGTCTATATTTCTGCCTCTTCATTCCCTCGCTCTTCACTTTCCTCTCCTGTGGAATCAACCGCTGAACCTGTGTTGGGAGGAAGAGTAAGCTCCAAGGGACGAAGGATGGAAGGAGCCCAGGAGAGCTCCACTGGTGCCACCGTCTCGCCCACTGCCTTTCTGTCCTTCTACCCTCTGACTTACCTCCACACTCACCCCCGTCCTTCCTCTGTCTCCCTGCCCATGACCCTCTCTCCATCTTGTGCTGCAGACCACAAGGACAAGGCGGAGTGGAGGAAGACGGTGCCCAGCTACAACCAGTCGGCTGGAGCCATGGACCTGCGTGTGTGGAACACACAGGACGAGAGTCAGGAGCCCCTGCCTAAAAACTGGGAAATGGCCTACACAGAGACTGGGATGGTGTATTTTATAGAGTAAGTTTTACTTATTTTCAGTCGTCCTTTCTTTCAAACGTTAACCTCAGCTCGGTGACATCACCTTAAATGAAGTTGCTGGTTGTTGTAACAGACAGAATTGTTTTAGTCTGAAACTCAATAGTTGAGTTAATCCAAAAAGACAGGGTTTTGTTTCAGTTTTAGTTGGTGAATATATCCAATATATTAATATCGTGACTACGTATATTTATACATATATGTACATATATGTATGTACGTATGTATATGTATTTTTATATATACATATATACAGTGTATGTATATATATGTATCTATATACATATATACATACACTGTATATACATATATATACACTGTATATATTTATATATATTTATATATATATGTCGTGTTCTGATCTGGTCTCAGTTGAGGTGTCTCACCTTCTAGGCAACATATACAACATCCTGCCCGTCTTAACTTCCTGTTTTCCAGTTTTGCTCTTTGATCAGATCATGGACGTCTTTGATCTCAACTATAAGTCTGTAAAATTAACAATTATTTTCATACAGTTATGTCCACGACCATTTCAACAGCGGTGCCATTCATGTGGACGTGAAACGTTTCAGGAGAACGTCCTACTGAGCTTCCTGTGTTTGATGGCTGCTTTGTTGCCCGATGCTAAGAGCGGCTAACCCTGCACTGCATTGTTTACCTTGTGCGTTAGCGTGGCATGTAGTCAATGTTGAATCTCCGAGGAAGCCAGGTGCTGCTTCTGGCCACTAAATCAATAAATCATCCTGCCAGGAGGAGAAACAACAGGCTAAGTGGAGAGCACCACTCCTGACCTGCTGTCTCAGTTCAGCTCTGCAGCCACTCACTCTTTTCTGTCTGTGGTCAACGTCCTTCCCTTTTCTCACCGCCTCCCGTCTTTCTGAAAACATGACTTACATCCTGGAGGCCTAATAAATAAAACATCTGCTGAGCCTCACATGTGTCTCCAAGGGAACTTCTAATTCCCCGCTCTGATTTGTGGCATCGTGCTAAATACTTTTATATGATTTATGCCCTGGAGCCTCACATGGAGATGTTTGGAGGCTGTAGCTAACAGATGGAAATTGAACAACTGAGCAGGCCAGGTCGCAGTCGAGCTGGTGACCCAGTACAAACCTCCAGTCTCTAGTCTGTCTCTTTATCCTCCTAATGGCTTCTGGTTCACGTCCAGAATGCTCATCCCTGCAGCTGCTCCCAAAACACCTTTATGGCACCGCTTGCAGAATACGATTTTTTTTTTCCTCAGCACCGAATGTGTTTTTCACACACAAGCACTACTGGACACCACACACTGGAGAATAAGAGCTTTTATTTTCCTGTGAGTCTTCGCAGCCACTGGGAGTCCCGTCCCGTCCTGACAGGTGGTGACAAAGAAGAGCAGACCTGCCATTTTGTACTTGTAGCTAAGCGTGCTCCGAGGCTGCCGGTCAAATCGCCGTGGCTCATTACGTGTGTCAAGTGATGCTCAGCAGTTAAATCTACCTTTTCTACCATTTCCCTCAACCTCCCTCCCCCTACCCCTCCCCTCTTGCCCCCCCAGAGCTGCCCTACGGCTGGGAGAAGATCGAGGACCCTCAGTATGGAACCTACTTTGTCGAGTAAGTCAAACTTTTGTTTCCTGAAATGAAGTACATTTTATCACATTATAATAACTATACATTTACATTTAGCGACTTACAATTTGAGTCAGTCAATCAACAATCGAGACAGAAAACATAGATAGTAATAAATATATTTTATTTAGAAACTGTTCGTTGAGAAAGAGTGCGACTGATTTTTTTTTAATACAAAAAATGTAAAAACATGAAAGTTTAAAATATCAAATCTAATGGTAAAAGTCATGTTAGTACAAAAGTCAGTCTGGTGAATGCTGTTGTCAGAGCATCTAAAAATTATATTTAGTAAAACTTTTTTACTTTTACATTAACATTCTGCAGCCTCATCCTTATCACTGAGCTCCCTGTGACAGGAGCATGGCTACGGTGTTGTCTGTGCAGTTCAACAGTTCTGGGGAAAACAATTATGTCAGTGCAGATAAGACTGATGGGATTGAGCCGTGTGTTTGTGTGATCCTGGTAGAGCTATACTTGTGGGGACATGTTTTGGAGGAAAAAGAAAGAAACACTTTGTTATGGGGACGCTGGTCGTTGTAGGGACATTTTGCAGGTGTCCCAGAGTGAGAAGGTATTTTGAGGTTCAGTTCAGTGTTAGGATTAGAACTGCAGTCAGATTGGAGTAAGGATTGGGATTGGTTGTATAGTTATGTCTGTGTTTCTCTCTGTGTTTCTATGAAGCACTGAGTAAACACCAAAAACAGTATGTGTGTGTCTGTGTGAGAATGAGGACGGTGAAAACAGATGACAATAAAGTTTCAGGGTCCTTCACAGGGAAACATGGTCAAGATTCCATTCTGATTAGAAGCGCAAACAAGAGCACAGTGTTTCATTTTGGTTTCATAATTGTGTACAAAGCGGGGGTTGACCTGCGGGGGGCGGGGGGGAGGGGGGAACCCTACTTTTGTTTTAAGAAGGTCATTCAGAGGCTGCCAGTATCTCTAACTCATCCCAACTTTATTCTGGGCATGAACAGCTGAATATGACAAAGTGACCGTCGTCGTCGTCGTCGTCGTTTTATCAACCTCTGCCCAAAACACTTTTGCAGTTAAAGAGTGAGAAAATGAGACAGAGACCAGCAGTGAGCGAATCAACAAGCAGAAACAAAAAACGAGGGGAATGTTTATCACTTTATACCGACTGGAGAGGAGTCGTCTGTGAGTGAGTCATACACAGAAACAGCCATTTGTAGACAAACACACAAACACACACGTACACACACACCATCAGAGACCCAGCATGCCGCTGATTTGCTGTGCAGCGTCCATGAGTTTTGTTTTCCCACTGTGCCGTCATGACCAGGATTTACAACAGTTACTGCTCGTTACTCAGACAAGCTACAGTGCGTCTCTCCATTAGCATATAATCATGACAGAACAGGCTAGCAGCAAATGTTACAGCACACAGGTGGCACCCGTGGATTGTTAATTGTTTTCACAATGAAGTTTGAGTTAAATCCTGATTCATTATCGACCACATCCTTCACGTACGTGTCGAAAATATCGCAGCAAAGATTGTTACATCACTGTGAGGACAACCTGCCCTCTCAGTGGGCGGGAGACCAGACTTGGGGTTTGAGGATCGCGGTTCAGTGCTGGTCCACTCTATGGTGTGGTGTGTTGAGCAAACACAATGGCCATGTTTCATGGACGGGTCAGATGTAGAAAATGTGTTTTTGCGTGGATGCGTGTATATGTCGATGATAAAAATTTTTTTAAAACTGCTGCTTCTTTTTCTTGTACTAAATAATGTATTAAAATAAAATTTAAATCATAATCATTTAGGCCCAATAATGCTTAGCTAATACCCAAATGTATACACAAATTGACAAAATATTAGCTTAAAGGCTAACACAAGAAAATGGCCCGCTATTATTTTTAGCTATTTAGCTTAAAACAAGAGTTTAAAACAACACCAGAAACGCCTGTATCTCAATATTACCTTACAAGATAAAAAGCCAAAAGTCACACAACATGATTTGTTTGCTAAAAGAAAATGTGATCTATATCTGAGATATATTTAACAGGAAGGAGACAGGCCTTCAAAATCAGTTTATACAGTGTGCGTGCTAGTAGATGTAGGTGTGAATAGAACCAGTGGGAGGCGTGATGAACAGTGTGCCAACACAAACAGGTCAAACCAGAGTTTATTTGCAATGCAAAAATGTAGTGAAACTGTAACGGCTGTAACTCTAGTCACCGTCTTAACTAATGTTGTCATTTCACCTGCACAGCCACATCAACCAGAAAACACAGTTTGAGAATCCGGTGCTGGAAGCAAGAAGGAAGTTAAGTGTGGACACACCGACTGCAGTCCCACAGCCGACGGTTTCAGCATCAGTCTCAGGTAACTTCACACTACAACGAGGGTGTAATGATGTTTGGCTGCTCCCTACAGTGGACCATCCACCTCCATCTCCCTCTTTCTCTTAGTGCTTTACTAGAGATGTAACACCAACATCTCCATGTCGTCTGAATCTTCTCTGGGGTTTTCTTCTCTTCTTCCACCTCCAACATCTGTTATCTACTGTCTCTCATCAGCATTTGTTCAAATCTTTTCAACCTTGTCTCTCTCTGGGGCAGCTCCACTATCTCCAAACCGTACCCCCATTAAGGCGTCCACTGTAGACCAATGCCCTGGTTCAAAAATTGAACCAAAATATAAAAAAAATCATTGTTCTAAATTGTCAAGAACGTCAGAAGAACATTTTCAAACCGTATGGTTTTGTCCAGATAACAAATGTAGTTGTTAACATCTTTATTAGTCAGTTAGTCTTGTCTACTGTATGAACAATCCATCTAAAGTTATATGCAGATGATCTTTACATCTTCGAGATGATGTACAAGTGCATTAATAATGAAATAAGTGCGGAAGGATTTACTCTAAATGTTTAATTTATACCACACCGTTGCCTTGGTCACATGTCCAAGAAACCTCATCCTGAATCATTTTGGACCTAAATACACATAAGGAGAACATGAAAACCACAATGAAAATAACCTCAAAAACCTCAGATCAAACCAGTGATCTTTTTGCTGTTAGGAAGGAGAACCAACCACTCTACCACCACGTATCCAAATATCCATCATTTACAAAAAAAAACTACTCATAAAAGGAAACGCCACATCAAACTAGTGTCAGTGTCAAAAGGTTCCAGTGGGAGCTAATGAAGAGATCACAGGTAACTATTATTCTGGTGACAGATTGACGCTGATTGTCTCGATCCTCTACGTTTCTTCTTCCTGTCAATATCGTTTCAGCTGTGAAGCCAGGTTTTGGTTTGGTACTTTCATCTTTTTTTGTTGATTGAAGAACAACACAGTGTATGACACCGTATTTGATGTGTATGAAAATACTGCAGAGCTTTTATCATCGCTCTCACCAGAAGACGTCTCCCTGGAAGATGTTCTAACAGTTGACAGGCTGCTGATAAACAGACCATTGACTTTGAAGCAATGATATTCAATTTGAATAATGGAGCAGCGTTTGACTGGGCGGCTGGATTCATTCTGACAAGTAGATATAAAGTAGGGAGGACAGAGAGGTCTGGTTGAAATGTCCTTTTTCTCCGGCCGCTCACTGCAGTTCAGGGATTTTGTTTTTTCAAAGGCAGAGAGGAGACGGGGAGGGTGAGGTGACCGCCTTTGAAAGTGACTCATGGTCATAAACTGCGTTTCGACCGGGTCAGCTGTTCATCATTGAGCCCCTGAGGTGAAAGTCTGGTCCAATCACCACTTTTCTCAGACTGTATGTCTGAGAAGCTGAAGCCTGAAAATGTCTGGACATGAGTCGGAATTTAACTGAATTCCACAGAGAAAACTCACCGCAGCCAGTGGTACAAACTGCTTTCTGAAAAAAGTGTGTACGGTTTCTTAGAAGAAGCAATAACAATAGTTACTGCTTCTTCAACATTTCATTTTTTTATGGACACAGAACATTTTTTAGATTTTTGTTTAGATTTTCATCAAATTTGAAAATCATTGCCTGAAGTTCAGAGAAAGAATAATGTACTGAATTTGAAAATCATTGCCTGAAGTTCAACCCAAGGGAAAAAGAGAAAGAATAATGTACTAAAGTTAAAGATAATAATACATCTTTCAAAGTCCGATACTAACAGAAATAAAGTCTAAAAGCTGATTAATTTAAAATGTAAAATTAATTAAGAACTTGAAAAGAAGCCAAAATTATGGATCCATGTGTTTTCGGACCCAACAATGCCAAAAATACAAAAGTTCGACTGCAGGTTGACCATCCAATCAGACGGTGGTTAAGTAAATTCCTTACAACAAGAAATGCACCAATCAGCATCCTTTATCTTTAAATTGATTGTTAGATTGTTGAAGTTTTTTTTTTTTTTTGCATTTTATTTAGTGGCTCCATAAACAGATGAGAGTGAGATTTAATCTTGTTGTTGTGCCAACCCTCTGCAGAGCAGTTAAAGCTCTGCATTAAAAACCTCTGTTTTAATGGTGTTGTTAAGTTTGAAATTTGATGAGAATCTCGTGTCTGTGTGAAAAAAAAAAAAAAATCTGTAAACTTATGGAGCGAGTGAAGCTACAGTGTGAAGGTTCTGTACCTGCACAGTCTGACAGGAACACTGAGGCCTGAACCTGTTGGATGTAACACTTGGTCACGACAAACGGAAATAACATCGTAAGATTAAGGCTGAGACTGACGTTCATGTGTTCATAATGAGACGACAAGTACAAGAAGTACAAAAAATAACACATTCGTTCGCTAATGTCTGGCACAGCGAGACGACAAGTACAAGAAGTACAAAAATAACACATTCGTTACACACTCCAGCCCTGTAGGTGGCAGTGATGCAAAGCAGCGACCAAAATAGGGAAGCATTGAGCGCCATCTGCCTGTGTCCTTTAGGTGCCTTTCCACCATTAATGACAGTTAATTGCTTGTTTCCTTGTGTGCACAAATGACGGCGTGGACGAGGCAGCTTCTGAACATTGTTCTGACCAGTCTGGTCGCCCTGACGGGAGAGAGGACAAGGGGGAGGGGGGGGGGCGGAGAAGAAAGCAGCGCTGTGCTCCACCGTAATTACGACGCTCACAATCCTGTCTGACATTTGAAATAATCACTTCACCTCAGAGGAAACAGACTGTCTCTTTGTGGTCCACAGCTTAATCAGCACCATGTAAACATAGCTGTCCTCCCCCCGCCCCCCTCCCTGACTGCCGGCCTGTCAGAGCAGCTTTCATGGTGATCGTGAAAAAAAGACAGTGACTGATGACCGCCTCCTGATTCAGCGTGTGAACATCTAAGGCCTGTGCCGTCTGAGGGGACAATGCTGTCGGACAGGGGTCCAGCGGTACCGCGTGCTGGAACCCAACATGTGATAACGGCCAATAATGATTTACTGATTTACTTTAAACCTAATCAAGCTGTTAACGTAACAACTTGTGGGAAAATATAATAAAATAATAGAGCTGAGTTGGCCTTTTCAAATGGCGGCTCAAGGGCCACGTGCAGTACGGCCAAAACACAACCTCAGAGTGGCCCGGTCTGTGGTCTGTGATCTGACAAACCGAGAGAGTTACAGTTAGCAAGTAAAGAAAAAAAACTACAGCAGCGTTTCCCAACCTTTTTGAGCCACGACCAATATTTAACGTTTAAAAAAAGTCACACAATAACTTACTTACTCAGTGTGAAACCTGTGCCTGTTTAGTTGAACACAATGCTGATACTTGCAGTTCCTATGTGGCTTTAAGAGCAATTAACTGTTACATCCTGTTGTTTTTTTTTTTTAAGATTAATTTCTATTTATTTTCTAGTTACCGTCTGTGTATTAGCCCCAAAAAACATTCAGCCCAGATGAATCTCTTGGTTCGAAAATCAGGCCCAATGGAATTTATCAACATATAATCCCACTGCAAGGCAATCATTTTTTTGCCGATGATGTAATAATTATTACATTATTGACTCGCATATCGGCCTAGTGGTTAACAGCGATGACTACACCAAGACACATTATGACATAATTGGTTTAGACTAAAGACTGTCAACATTATTACATTATCTGCTCACACCTGCTCACACCACAGGTTGTCATGAGAACATGTGATATCACATTTGCATATTACTGTTATTGTATTTTCAGTATTCAATATATTTATAATACACATTCATTATGTCACGTTCATGGGCCATTGGCTCTGCAGTTATGCAAATCACACTCCCATGACACATTAAGAGTGGTGTAGGAGGGAGAGGAGAAGAAGGAGGAGGAGGAGGAGGTGCATCTGTACTCTCCATAATGAGATTGATGTCCCAGCATGCATCAGTGTGGGAACCATCAGAGTAGACGTATGAAGGGACGCTGTACATAAGTCAAATCTCAGAGGCTCACACCACAGGGAGACAACGGTCAGCACCGAGGAGGAGTTCCTTCACTCCTCTCCTCTTCTTTCCTCCATGTTTCTAATTCAAGCTGAAGTCAGATTCATCTCTTTGGATCCTGGACTAAATGTTTTGATTGAGACTGAAACCCAGTTCATCTCTCCTACCTCTGCTCTCAGATCATCATCTTTCAGTTTCACTGCAGTTTTTTAATCACTACAAATATCAACACACGGTCAAACAACACTGAGCAAGTGGTGCCCTGGTGGAGACAGATGGTAATTTATTTCTGTTCTCCTTCATTTGCCAAACTGTCTGCACCACATCTCAACCTGTGAAAGAATTCCTCTGCAGAATTACTGGTCGAAAAGTGCTAGATTTAAAAAAGAAAAGTGTCTTGGTTTAATATGTTTCGTCATTAGAACTTTGTCCAGTGTTGAGCTGTGTGAGATTCGATTTGAACAGATTCGTCTTCCTTATTAAAAAATATTTAATATTAAGTTCTGAAAAAACTTTGCAAGATGTTTTGACATCTGGATTTGTATTTTTAATTGTTTGTGATTTTTTTTTTTTTTTTGTACCCCATAGAAGAACCTGGTCCTGGAGCACGGGGCTTCACACGAGATCCGTCCCAGCTGCAGGGCTCTATCCTGAAGACGTCCCTCAGAAAAAGCCCCCAGGGCTTTGGGTTCACCATCATTGGAGGAGACCGACCTGACGAGTTCCTTCAGGTCAAAAACGTCCTTCCAGACGGGCCCGCTGCACACGACAACAAGATCGCTTCAGGTAAGAGTCTCCGCCGAACTGCATGTTCAGAGAATGTGTGGAGGGTGTGGGTTCAACTCCAGAACTCAATCTGAACATGTCATCAAACCAGAGAGAAGCTGATTTTCACTGTTTTTAGTCGTTTATGAAGAGGTTGACGTTTCATGGCTTCTCAGAGGATTTCTCTCCTGAGCCGCAGCTATGAAGAGGTTGACGTTTCATGGCTTCACTCTGCTTCGACATTTATTCCACACTCGCTGTAAACACTGACCAGGTGCACACAGGTCTGAACAGTGACATGGAACTGTAGCAGTGCTGTACTAGTAAACTGGCTCTGCAGAGCTGCTCCCCCTGCTGGTGCTGCCGAGTAGCAAAGACCAAAGTCCAACCCCGGAGACTAATTAATTCAACATTTCATTTCCCCTCAGACGGAGAGTAATTGATGGAAATAAAAATGAACTAATAATTAATTGAACACTTAATTAATTCATGAATTGAGCTGTAACAGGAAGCGGTGGAGTGAAGCGATTTTACGTTGTGTGGAGGGTTTGTTTTGGATTTGATTCATTGACCGTTTGGACTTTCTGAGAAACTGTGTTTAATTTACCTCACCGCTGCCATCTTCTGGATGTCTGGCTACTGGACAGGTCAGTAGAGTGGACACTTCAGAGAGGATTGGAGTTCAAGTCAGGAGCAGAACCTCTGAAAGGGTATTGATTGTGTGGGTGGGCTTTTGAAAAACGAGCCAAAGAGCCAGTCAGCAATTCAGGCAAACACACAACTCAGCCAGGCCAGGAGGGGGCGGCGAGGGTCGCTACCCTCTTAAGGAGATGAAGAGTAAAATGGTTGGTTAGTGATTTTACTATTTTGTAATGACTTCCTCCATTTCTCGAGATCCTGAAAAAAAAAAAGCTGTAGCATAAACAAAGTTCTACAGCGAACGGAACCAAACTGAGGTTTGAGGACGAGATGGAGTCCGAGCCAGTCTTTAAATTCAGAGTCTTAAGTGTCATAAGCACTCCATCGTATGCCTCTGATGAGTTGGCACTCCACAGTCTGAGATTGTGATTCCCAACCACTGGGCCGCGGCACATTAATGGGCAAGTCACAAGTCACACGGTCCTCCACATTAATGGGCAAGTCACAAGTCACAAGGTCCTTATTAGGTTTACTGAGATTAGTCCATTAAATTGTTTTGAAAACTGCAAATAATGTGTCTATGTCCATCTGTGTGAAGGAAAGAACAAATAAATACTCCACCACTAGGCGGTGCACTTCATTGACATCTCTGATTGGTTTGTTCGGCTCTCTTGGTTGCAGGTGATGTGATTGTTGACATCAACAACAACTGTGTGCTGGGGAAGACTCACGCTGACGTGGTGCAGATGTTCCAGTCCATACCCATCAACCAGTACGTGGACATGGTCCTGTGCCGCGGGTACCCGCTGCCCGAGGACTCCGGCAACAGCGAAGAGACCCTGGGAGGCCCCGGCACCTCCAAGGACCCTTCCCCTTCTCCTTCCAGCTCCACACCACAGGAGCCTCACTACACAGTCCCAGACGGAGGGACTCTGTCCAGGCAGACCACCGCCGTGGTCCCCATGACCAACGGTGGACGTCACCACCACCATCACCACCACCACCACGGTCCTCCACACCAACCCCTCCACCACCACCACCATCACCACCTCCCTCACATGCCTAACCAAGACGGCCCCGACCCGACCCTGCTGCACCCAGAGCTAGTGAGCGTACAGTTGGTGAAAGGCCCCGCAGGTTTTGGCTTCGCCATCGCAGACTGTCCCCTGGGCCAGAAGGTGAAGATGATTCTCGACGCCCAGTGGTGTCGCGGCCTGTTGAAGGGCGACGTCATCAAGGAGATCAACAGGCAGAACGTCCAGACGTTGAGCCACTCCCAGGTGGTTGACATCCTGAAGGACCTGCCGGTGGGCAGCGAGGTCAGCGTGTTGGTGCTGAGAGGAGGTGAGTTGAACAGGAGCGAGGGCTGACGCTGACGCTGACGCTGCTCCGACTGTGACTGTGGCTGTGACTGTGCTCCACAGCCACAGGTAAGCCCAGGGCATTACACTAATCCTCATAAGTATGTTTCAGCTGGCATGGTGACAGCGCTGCTGCTTCAGTTCTGCAAATCACTGCTGCCTGTATTAATCTGCTGCGATTACTGTTCAGACAAAAGAACGGGTTGGAGTGAGAAAAGTCGGAATTCTGTTGTTTTTTTTTAAACAAAAAGTGGAAAAAGACCAGGAAGGGTTTATTTTCATTATTATTTAAAGAGTCAAGATCTGTTTTTGTGAGAAACAGCTCGTTCATTTCAGTTGATAAAGATATTTTTATTTCAATTTTCTTACTCACTTTTCAACTCGCTGATGTCTTTTTTCCACTGGATCCATTTGACTTTTTTTTTTTTTACTTTTCTAAGCCCTTATCTCTGTAAACCTGTTGGTTTTCCACCTCAAGCATGTAGCATCTAATTTTGTAATTCGCAGTATTATTTTTAATACACAGCCTTGGCTCATATTAGGTCAACATTCATGTTCAACTCTGTCTCTGCATCATTCACATCCACACACCTCCTGTACCAATACAGTGTTTAGTCACATGATTGGTTTCAGTAGGAAGGTGCAGAAATGGGCGTAAAAAGAAAAGAAAAAAGAAAAGAAAGAGCAGAGTGGTCGTTGGCCGTCCTCCTCCTCCTCCTCCCCCTCCTCCTCCTCCAGGAGTCTCTGCCTGGTTTGTCGGCCGTTCTCCCTTCTGTCTTCACTGCAGTGCAGTAGCCCAGATTTGAGAGATGAATGTTACCCCCATTTATCAGATCTACTTAGCTGAGCTGTGTTCCAGGCTCCAGGGGCAGCTCCTGGGACTGTGGTGGTATTTTATGTTCATTTTTTTATATAAATTTTGAAGCAGGTTTATGTGATTTCTATCATGGCTGCGCAACTTTGTGTGTCTGTGTGTGTGAGAGAGACAGAGAGAGTGAGAGACTGTTGGAAAAGCACACAGAGCATCACAGTTTACCTGCACTCCAAAATGGCAGCCCTGCAGGGCTTCCCTCAGGTCACCAACATCCCAGGATTAGCCTGAGCTTTATTCCCCTTTAAAAGAGCTGAAAATCCCCAGGGATTACAGAGAAAAATGGAAAAAAGTGGAGAAAAATGTGAAAAATAGGAAAAGATTGGGCGCTGCTCGGGACATTAACCTAAAAAGTGAACTTAGATGGAGAATATGTAATGATGAGGAGGAGACACAGCTGTGTCCCCGTAGGGGAGGAAAATATAAAATAATATTGAATTTTAATTAATGTAATTTTATCAAATATACAATCTGAGAAGAATGGCTAAATGTTCAGGATCAGATCTGTGTTTTTTTTATCCTATTGTGAAAACGAGCCTCGACTTAGTTCGTCGTAGTTTACCGCCCCCTGGTGTCCGACTGATTCATATTATAACAGAGAAAAGTAATGTTTTGCAAGAAAAAAAACAATGTTAAATGCCTAGTGTGTAAAAAAGAAAAACTTGAAGTCTTTTCATTTTGTTTTGTTTTCCAAATATATTGACTCCTGAGTTCAGTTTCCACTTCTCTGTCTTCCCCTGCAGGTCAGACATCGCCTGTGAAATCACTGAAACCGGTAAGCAGAAAAAAATTGTTTCTCATTCTTCAAGTATGAAGTTAAAATAATGATTTACCAAAAAGTCCTTCTGAACAGAAGGTTTTTAACCCTGATTGTGGGAGGAGTTAACAGCCGTCATCCACATCATTCTGTAATAGCCTGACTGAGTCAGTACGTGACCACGTGATCTGTCAACCCGCAACCCAACATCCCTGTGTCATCAGCCGCTTCCTGAGCTGCTGTGGTGAAACGGAGAGAAGGTGGAGCAGCACCAGGCCAGCTCATCCTGGTTTATTTATTCAGCCCAAAAATAATGTTTCCGTTTGGCAGAGATGAAGCACTTTCTGAAAACTGAACACCAATATATTCACTCTGACACGTTGTTATGAAGTTATGAAGGGCAAAGCCACTTTAAATTGGTTTCCCAAAAAAAAAAAAAAAAAAACCCTGAGAAAACGTCTTCTGAATTTATTATCAGTTTATCTTCTGTAGTGGTTTAAAATCCTGTTTCGACCATGAATCTGTGGTTCACAACGTGAGGAGCGGGCCCCTTCTCTGGGGCGGTGATGCTATTGCAGCAGGGCTGCAGTCAGGCAAATAGATTTTATTTATATAATTATCTTTATATAATTGTGGGTTTTTTTCTGCGACACTGCGGGCGGGGGGCACGAAAATATTTTAACCTAAAAACCAAGAGACCAGTGACTAATTATCTTCAGGAATAGTTCTGTAACACCGTCACTAATGAGGTGGATTTATTCTGTAAATCCATCACCTACCTGTAGGTGGCTTTAAAACGGTTCTGCTTCTGTGTGTTGCAGTGCACGGCTCCCGCGTCTCAGCCTGTCCCTCAGCCTCCGTCCCACTCGAGTTCCCACGCCCCGTCGCAGCCACAGCGACAGGAGATGACCAACAGCACCGAGGCTCTCACTCCGCAGGAGTTCCCCGTCAATCCTGCCCCCCCGCCCGCCGCCGCCCTGCCGCCATCCATCCTCCCCAAACCTGATGCATCTGAGCTCTACCTGAAATCCAGGGCGCTGTTGGACAGTAAACGTAAGCGTTGTCACGGCAACCATGTGAAAACACGACATGGAGCACAGGTCTTAATCAATATAATATATATATAAAATCTAGTATTATGTAATGGTTTGTGCATCTATGGTTCCCAAGGTGAGGGGCGGGCCCTCCTAGGGGACACTGAATTATTGCAGCAGGGAGACGCAGACAGGCATTATAATTATTTTTATTATTTATTTATAGAACAAGTATATATTTATTTATTTATATAAACAGTGTGTCAATATTTCCTGTTTCCTTATAAACAGTGTGTCAATATTTCCTGTTGAAGATCCTCTTTCCTTCATTCAGCTGCACAGCTGCTGAACACACCGAAACGAAAGAATATAGTAATTAATAATGTTTAAAAATGTCATTTATAAGCAGTCCGTACGATAACTTGACTCTGAGTTTCGTTTGTCTCTCAGGACTGAACTGAAAAAGCTGCAAATGAATTGGATCAATAAAGTTGTCTGAGTTTTCATCCCTGTCTTCTCTCCGCAGCTCCCAACACCAAGGACCTGGACGTGTTCATCAAGAGGAACCAGGAGTCAGGCTTCGGCTTCAGAGTCCTCGGAGGCGAGGGTCCGGATCAGCCGGTAGGAAGCGGCCCACCCCCTGTGCAGTCATGTACGACCAGGCCCAGCGTGCTGCTAGAATGTTAAAACCTCTGATACCAGTCAGACACCGTCAGCCGCCAGAGACCAATCAATATCTGAGCTGCGCTTCCTCCTTGAAATAGCTTTAGCGTCTGGCTCACGAAAACAAACAGGAGAAGAGTTTATTTTCACAATCAAAGAAATGTATCAGTGCTGAGAGCGAGCGAACAGAGTTGTTTTGGATGAGCCCGTCAACTCATGTCAGACTGTCTGGTCCTCTCGTCCCTGTCTCCACAGGTCTACATCGGGGCCATCGTGCCTCTGGGAGCAGCTGAGAAAGACGGACGGCTGCGGGCGGGAGATGAACTTCTTTGTATTGACGGCGTTCCCGTCAAGGGCAAATCCCACAAGCAGGTGTTGGAGCTGATGACCAACGCTGCTCGCAACGGCCAGGTCATGCTCACGGTCCGCAGGAAGCTGACCAACTCAGGTTGGTCCACGGATCTTTCTTTTTTTGCTCACGACACGATTTTATAACATTTTTTTTTCAGTTCGTCCCACGTTCTGTTTGAACACCCGAATGTCGCTTAGGCTACATAGAAACCTGACGTCTTGATTTATTAGCTGGTCACAAACAACATTTTTAGGCGCATAGTGCCACCTACTGTACTGGAGTGTGTAGTCTTATGGTATGACCAGTGACTTTTTTGACATAACACAGCCTGATCCTTACACCTTGATGCGCGATTCATTTATATTTAAACTAATGCAAATTGTCACACATTCGTGGCGATTCTTAACCGATTCCCGATGCATCGCTACATCCCTATGTGTCAGTTTTTAACTGGATGATCCCCTCGTTAATACCTTTAATAATAAGTGGGCCAACTTAGAATGTTCTGGTGTTGAACTTCTTCCAGAATTAAAGTAGGACTTTTCAGTTCTCCATATCAAATATATGTTGGGTTTTTTTTTTTTTACTTCCCAAAAGGACAGAAACAAAATCTGGGTCACAGCAAACACTTCATTTGCATTAGATTATTCTGTTGACTCAGTTGGAGTCGTGTAAAAAAAGATTAGATCATTAAAAAAGAAGCCAAGTTTTCTTCTCCAGCAGCAGCAACATCAACAATAATCCTTTCCACGTTCACTACACTCGGAATCCTTCATCTTCACAGCTGTGCAGTTCATTTGCTACGACTTCAGTTTTTATCCTGGTGCAGAAATTAAGCATCGTTTCTGTGTGGGTTTTTAAAAAGAAATCCCCCGACGCCTGCTGACAAAACAGAGACTCAGCAGAACCAACGGTGGGTATATAAAGACTAATGGAGCTCAGCTGGTCTGTTCAATAAGTCACTGTAAAGGCTTTAGTGCCGTGTTAACACAACCAGCAACAAAAGGGAGTGTGTTTGTATTTATGGCTTAATCTTGACGGAACAAACAGGGAATACTTTTATTGCTGGGTGTTCAAAAATAAAAAAACATTTTTTACCTCAGCTGACATCATTTTTTAGCTGCCTTGACCTTCAGACGTCCGACTCCAGAAAAACATACAGGCAAAGTCCGAGGTCAATGTTTGTTCTGACAGAGTCTGTGGAAGGAGAGACTGCCTCCAGGCAATCCCAGCTGCCCACTTTTAGTCACATTTTCAGGGTAAAACATTACTTGCAATACCTGAAGACAGTGGTTCCCAAAGTGGGGGGCGTGGAGCTCCTGCCAGCAAACCAGTAAAATTTGTGCCACGGTGGGAAAACACCGATTGTTTTTTTCTTTGTTCAATAAGACTGTGCTTTTGTTTCACTGGACTTTTGACCTGAGGGGCTCGACAATAGTCTTATCTACCAAAGGGGGGCGCTGCTGAAATGTTGGGGGACCAATGTGTTAAGACATCAGTGTATATCATGAATCCACTTTCCTGCGTGTGCATGTGTGTCTGTGATGTTGTTGTTTTTTTCACCTTCCTCATGTTTCTGTGCACTGTCGTTTGTCAGATGGTGATGAAGACGAGGATAACGTCCAGCAGCCGCCAAATGTAGCATCGGCCCTGGTCAACAGCTCTCCCAAGATGCCTAGTGCTGAGGTGCCAAGTGCGGTCCAGCACACACAGCCGTCGAGACCGGAGTCGTTCGACATCACTCTACAGCGCAAAGACACCGAGGGCTTCGGTTTTGTCATCCTGACCTCAAAGAATAAGCCGCCCCCTGGAGGTCAGACATAAAAATGACACAACTTATTATTCTAGTTTTATTTTTAATTATAACAATGAATACAAGCTGATATTTTTAAACATATGGACTGAGAGTCTGACTCTCAAAATAACTCCCGAGCACATTGTTTGTGATATTTTTATATTTTTACAGAATAAAGCAATTTAGAAAAATGAGTTAGTAGCTAAGCTCACCTTCAATAAAAATGTGCGTCATTACTTTATTTCAAAACAAATTGCTGTTCAACATGTCACGTGTTGTTTTGTGCGGCGTACCGTTTCAGTCATACCTCACAAGATCGGCCGCATCATCGAGGGCAGCCCCACGGACCGCCTGGGTCAGATGAAGGTGGGAGACCGTATCTCTGCCGTCAACGGTCGCTCCATTATGGAGCTGTCGCACAACGACATCGTCCAGCTCATCAAGGACGCCGGCAATACTGTGACCCTCACTGTGGTGCCTGAAGATGGTAGGCTGATACAAATTCATGACACTTCAATATCATCTGGAGTGGTTTGAACTCCTAGACTGAAGAGTTTTTTTTTATTATTTAAATCTTGTAATTACTATTTCAAGTAGAGAGAATAACAAGTCAACGAGAGAGAAAGAGGCATGAAGCACAGATTGATGGAGCTGTAGCCATAGCATGGATGTCTGCTGTGTACAATGGTGGTCGCAGTGCAAGAGTTAGCATGAGTTTGATGCATTCAGTTGGCTGCAGTTAGTTCAACGAATCATGTGTGATGGTTAGGTTGAGGTGCCAGAGGGGACGTGAGGGGCTTCCAATGGAATACAGCACCCTGGACATAAGTGTACCACTGCTTTAATGCTTGAACGATAACAAGCCTCCAGTCACTAGGTGGCAGCAACTCATACAGTGGTTTGTACAGATAAAAACTTAATAGTATTTTAATTTGCGGCGTTGTGGGTCAGTGGGTGGAGGAGGGTGCGAAAAAACGTTTCTGTCCCCAAGGGGGGGTTAGTTGCATGTACAATGATATTTTTGCACAAGGGGGGGTTAGTTGCATGTACAATGGTATTTGTGCACAGTTCTTACAAATGAAGGACGGTTGTATCAGGAGGGAATTTTTTTCTAAAAAAAAAACAAAATCCAGATAAACTCATACTGTGAAGAAGGAAATCCTGAATCACATTAAATCGTACTGTGAGCTGGGTGTATCATCACATCCCTAGTGATGATGTGAAATCCCCAGTCACAGTAGAACAGTGTACTTCATCCAGTCTGAGTGTGTACTTTAAAAGATTAACAGTCCAGTACTGCGTCCTCGGGCTCACATTGCACTTGTTTAAGTTTGTTTTGTTGTATTAAATAACAAATCACACTGCAGCGGTGCCTATGAATCTGACTGTGTGTGTGTGTGTGTGTGTGTCATAGATGTGTTTCATCAATTGTTGTTGTTTTTACAGAGAGCGCTCCTCCATCTGGAACCAATTCAGCCAAGCAGAGCCCCTCGGTACAACACAGAGCGGTGGGCCAACAGCCTGCCAGTCATCAGGAAAGGTACGAGAGAACACACACACACACACACACACTCGTATACACACTCTTTAGTTGTGTTTACACAGATATGATACATTCCCTAGCCCGTGGTGGGGGGCGTGGACCAATTGATTTAATTTTTAATATTTTCTTTTGTTTTGACACAGTGAGAAAATTGCGTTGATTTGTGGGTTTTGTTTCCCTTTTCAATGAGAATATGAGTTGTTTTAGGAATTGGTGTTTTATAATTAACTGTCCAAGTGTCCTCACTACAAAAGCAATTTTCCAAAAAAAAGAAAAAATAAATCCCCTCAAGTATAGCTCGAACAGAAACACACACACCTACACACGTCACCTGTGCTTTGACAAATTCCCTCTTGTCCAAGACTGGGGGCCGTCTGGGACATTTTCTTTTCCTCGGGTCATAATTCAACCCTAATCTCCACAGTCTGTGGTTTGTTCTTCACTCCGGTCCATTACCGTTTTCTCGTGGCCCGCGCTCTTCCTTGTTATCCAAAAAGCGGTCGTCGTGTGCTTGATGAAGCGAGGACGAGGAGACAGACTAATAGGATGTCTCACTTCCTCTTTGATCTCTCCTTTCAAACAAGATTACCTTTGTCAGCCTTTTAAATCCACCGCTGCTCGTGCTGATGCTGCTGCTGCAGTTTCACATCTTTTTTTTTTTTTTTTTTTTAAACCGTACACACTTTGTTTCCCTGCCCGTCTGCATGTGCTCCTCTCATCCTTCAGCCTTGGATCCATCCCTGGCCACCGCCCTCCCTCCTCTGTGTATAATCTATACCACATGCCTCAGGTTCACCTCCACTGAGAGCTGACACTGCTGACTTGACAACATGCAGTGTGAACTGTCTAAGGCAAATTGAACATAAGGCTCAGAATCATATTGATGCCAACAGACGGGCTCATGCTGCTGCGCTCCTGCGTGGATCACGGGATGCAGCCGCGTGACGTCTACGACTCAGTCGTCTTCCGTCATGAACCCATGGGGTTTTCTTAGGTTTGTTGTTAAGACTCGGTGTGAATTATTTTTTGGCAAATATCAGGATCAACTGTTCAAAATAAACATAATCTGTCGTCAAACATGAGGAGAAAAAAAAAGTCTACTGTAGCAATTTAACTTCTGGTCAGTGAACATCCATCTGTTATGTATCATCTATGACGTTGTTTCCCAAAAACTGGGTCGTGACCCTCAGGTGGGTCGTAAGAGTGGTTTTGTTGGGTTGTCTCGCATCATGTTTCCCAGGCGTTTTAAGAATAATGTCTATTGACTTGGGTCACAAAGGTTTGTGACTTTTAAAATATGGGTCCCCAGAAAATGAAGTTTGAGAAACACTGGTCTATGGCACTGGTTCCCAAACTTTTTTGACTTGTGACGTTGACATCACACACTTCTGGTGACCCCAGAGACCTTTTAGTAGCCACTTGTGCAGTCATTTCAGATGACCCCATTTTAGTTCCAGGTGACCCCACATGGGGTTGCAACCCCAAGGTTGAAAAACACTGGTATGAAATTGAATGAAAATATGGGATTTTTCTCTAATATTTTTCTTCTGTTTTCATACTGATTTCAGACATAAAATGTTAAATTGATTTTCTTGTCATCAGGAATGGTGACGGCGAGGTGAAGAACTCCATTTCCCAGAAAGAAATGGGCACACTCATCACATCTGGCCCCAAGCAGGTAAGAATGAAGACAACTGTACTGTATATATGAAATACACATGTATATATATTCATATATACATGTGTATTTGATGTAATATGCTGTCAGTCATCGGAGATAAAACTGTTCTCGTCCTAAAAGTCTCTGCTGGTGTTGTCGACTTGCAGGGATGTTTCGTGGTGGAGCTGGAGCGTAGCCAGCGTGGCTTCGGCTTCAGTCTGAGGGGAGCGAAAGAGTACAACATGGGGTTGTTTATCCTTCGACTGGCTGAGGACGGACCTGCTCTTAAGGACGGCAGAATACACGTAAGTTGTCTTCAGTTGACCTTGAATTCCGTATTTGTCAGTATTTTGTCCTGCGACGCACGCTGTTAACATTTCCACCAGCACGTGGTGCTGTTTATCACTGTTAATACTGTAATTCCATCAATTGGATCAGTCACCAATACAAACACAAACAAATATACCAGCTAATATTTGTCTTTCTTTTCCAGCAATATACAGAAAAAAAGTATATTTTTACAATGTAGTTTCAATGATTTTCTTTTTAACAAATGTCAGATCTTGTGTTTTACTAGATTGCTGATTTGATCAAGTTCCAAAGAGTCTGTTTGTGTTATCCATGAACCACAGGTTGGAGATCAGATAGTGGAGATTAACGGCGAGGCCACGCAGGGTATCACACACACGCGGGCAATCGAACTGATCCAAGCAGGGGGCAATAAAGTTCACCTTCTGCTCCGGCCGGGACAGGGCCTGGTCCCAGATCCCAGTGAGTGACCGCTGATAAGAGTGTGTGTTCATACACACCGTGTGTGTCGTTCCTGCTGCTGCTGCATATACAGTAAATCCTGACAGTGGCGTATTACCCAGAAGCGCTCGTATGGATATGCTTGATAGCAGAGTGCAGAATGTGTTATCCTCCTGCATGTGTTACAGCCTCTCTCTCTCTCTCTCTCTCTCGACCTTTCTCTCCTTCCTTTTTTTGTTTATCTCACGCCTTCTTCTTCTCCTGATTTGCTTTATGTGCTCTCTCTCTCTCTCTCTCTCTCTCTCTCTGTCTCAGCCGAAGCCTCTTCTACCGATTTATCTCTTCTGCCTATAGGTCTGAACTCTCCTTCCACCCTGTGCTTCTACATGAAACCAGAGCATCACTAAAGGCCTCACTGCTTTTCTTGGTCTGTCCCCTGTAACCTTGGTAAAACTTATACTCCATCTACCTTTGCTGTTACCTGTGTCTTTTCACGGTGATTCATCTGCTAGATATGAAGTATCATCCTCTCACCCATCACCAACCTCAACTAGGTTAGTTAGGGATTACTCTGATTAGTACTCCAGGAAGACCGGTGGTTCTCAAACTATAACTACCCACACCATTATTGGTATCTGGGCTCCCTCTAGTGGTACGCAGGGGAATCTGATTTTCATTAGTATGAAAACTAGTGCTGTTTTTTTTTAATATTGTTCACACAGATGGTGTTTGTGGAGTTAGTGAGAAGTTTTAAAATTGATGACAATCACAAAGATAAACCACTGGTTCTCCAACTTCTTACAGCATCGCAATATCTGTGTCTGCGTATACAAACAGTACAAGGTGCGTAAAAAGCACTTGTCCGGTACTATGATTTTATTCTAAAACCACTCACATGTCGTCACTTGGTTCAAATTATTTACTTTTGTCCTCTTGGGGCGCTGCATTGCTTGTAATAATAATATCTTCTCCATAATTCCCAATTATCCATTTGGAGCCAGGAACGCACTGTTTTCGATCCTTTCATTTTATGAACCTTCAAGTCCACCAGAGCTCAAGTGCCATCAATGGTACACACACCCCAGTTTGAGACCACTGAAATAGATTCATTTTATGAACCTTCAAGTCCACCAGTTTGAGACCACTGAAATAGACACGTTTGCACAAAAGGTAGAGACTCTTAGAGAAGCGATCAGACCCGGAGCAGCACTGGAGGCTTCAGAGTTCTTCCCACTGAAAACACACCACATCCTGACTGCACAGAAGTCCTCAAAACTGGACTGGATTTTATTAATAATATTGATCGGCGAGCAGCAGGATGTGTGCGCGTTCACTGGCATCAACCTGTCAATACGAGTTCCTCATTAGAGTGAATTTCTATGAGTCATGGCTCCTAGAAATCCCGAGAAGTCATTTGAGTAGCGCTGAGACCATCACTCTTTCTGTTTCTCTGCTGCACATATATCTGCTCTCAGCCGCGGCCGCAAAGTTCTTATCGGCTCTGGTGAAAATTGAAACGTCAGTTGCTGGATGAACACCAGCAGCTTCCTCACTGATGACCGTGTCATGAGCTGATGTATATCTCAAATAAGACGTATATTTAAAAGGATATTACTGCTTCTTATTAAGAAAACCTCACGGGGAGAAGAAGGCAAAGTTTTTTTCGCACAGAGAGAACATTGGTCTTTTAATTGACGTGTAATAACTGCTCGCAAATATGCAAATGAACTCCAGGATATTAAAATCGACGTTTCACAGCTGGAACAGTCTCTTCTTAAATTTAGGGCGGTTGAAATGAATGTTTTGACTTGTGATATTTACATTTATGACATTATTCAAACTAAAATGTTTTATTATTATTAATATAATAATTGGAGGCTGATTGTGACTCAGGTCAGAGGACAGGACTCAAGGAGTCAATACACATGTTTTCATTAATACATTTAATTAAGTGTTTAATACAGCTACAGAAACTTCATTCAATGTCAACAGTCATAAAGTTAGTGCTGTCAAAATAAACTTTAGTCAAGAACATTTTTAACCCTGAGAAAAAAAAACACAAGGAATGTTGATTAATTAGTGATTAATCAGATTTGAAAAATAATAGTTTGACAAATCTTTCTTTCTATTCATTGCTTCTTAGATTCAAAGGACAAAGTAACCATTCCAACCTCCAGCTTCTTCAAACCCTCGGTATCTGAGGGCCAGTCATCTGCAGCCTCTCCATTTCCTGTCTCCCTCCCTACCTCTGAACTGTCCCCATCTTCCCCCAAAGTGTTTTTCACTGATGAATTCTCTGGGGGGGACTCCAAGGTATCTGGAGATCACGGCAGGCGGGCTCACAGGTCACAGGGACAGCAGCTTCCTCACCATGACCACAAGCACACCACCAGCCCCAGCAGTCAGACCAGGAAAACAGGTTGGGTTGACTCCAAGTCTGCTAGTCCCAAAAGAGCCACAGAAGGTTGGGTGGATCCTGTGGAGCATCCCAAGAGCTCCAAAAGAACAGAGCAAGGCCATGGCGGATCCTGGGAAGAAATAAACAAGGAGCGGAAAACACAAGGACAGAGAGACCACTACTCCTCCAGCCCGAGGGACAACTCTCACAGGGAAGAGGACTCTGCTGGACCTTTGAGGAACATGGAGGAACCTCAGAACCCCAGGCATCCTGTCGGACAGCAGCCCAGCGTCCCTTATGGGAGTACAAGGAGGAGGATGCAGCATACTGGCAGGATAGAGGGACTGCAGACAGTGGAGACAAAGGTCGGTCGACTACTGAACGGCACGATAACACCAGGAGAGATGAGCCCGAGGTGGCAGCCCACAAATCCCACTCCCAAATGCACAGGGAGAAGGTGAGGCCAGATGTTGAGAGTGGTGGCCTGAACCAAAGGAGTGGAAAAGAGAAGGAATACTGGGAGAGCAGGCACCATGGGACCACCGATGAGCTGAATAGAAAAGAGCCCAGGGGCTCCAGCAGTAGCATTCAGGAGAGCAGCTGTAACGGGACGGCTACGATCAACAGGAAGGCTCCCATCAGCCCCGGCCCGTGGAAAGTTCCCAGTTCTTCTAAGATCCAGTCCCACATGGACCACACATTTGCAGACGTCTGAAGACAAATGTAAAGACAAAGCTGAGCCTCTGACATGTGAACATCCACAACTGAAGGAATTCTTCTTCTTCTCCTCCTCGGACAAAGACAACACTGTGTAACCAGCAACAGAGCTTCTCATCGCTTGTGATTTCTTTTTTTTTTTCTACATTGGCTTCTTCATCAAACTGCATACAGTATGTACAGTATGTGCTCGCAGCTACATGAGAATGATTCTCTCTGGCCTTGTGTGTACCAGATGGGTGACAGTTTTTTTTTAAGGTAGTCTACTCAGTGCCATTCAGAGACTGCGGGAACAACGCTGCTCCATGTTTCACTCACTGTGACACTGGACGGACCGCTCCTCCTGTCCGCCCACTTCGATGAAGGATCTGACCCCACCCCCCTCCGCCCCCTCACTCCACTGAAGGTTTAAGGTACATTCCTACAATCACTAAAATCATCTGGCAAAATCTGACACGTCTTCTGACTAATTTACCGTCTCTTCTCATTGAGTCAGACTCAGTTTATAAGGTGTGTGTGTGTGTGTTTCTATGTGTGACTGCAATTTAACACTCACTCACGGGTCACCTGATGGAGTGACACCGCCCAGAAGATAGAAATGCACCAGACACTTGTGTTTGTAGCTGTAGTGTTTGTCACCTCTGTGATAATCGTGGAGCAAAATGTAATTTATTGAAATTATATGTAAACAAAACTTTGTGCCCCAACTGTCAGGTCACATCAAATGTGAGTTAAAAAAAAAGTCTAAATGACCATCACCGTGCAAAACCATGACACTGCAAATCTATGCATTCTATTTCTTTGTCTTTGTAACAGTCACATGAGCCTAATCCATAATGTCGTCGACTGTTAGCATTGCTATATTTAATAGTTTCTAGCTGTTTGTGTGTGTGTGTGTACGTGTGTGTGTGTATGTCGACAAGACGTCTGCTAGACCAGTATATTTTTGATATTGCTGTAGCATCTACTATAATCAAAAGCATATTATTTAACAAAATGACTACATATATATTCACACATAATTTAGTGGAGTTGAACTAAACCGACTCGCTTGTAAAAAGTAAAAACTTTGCCTTCATCGTAACTGAACCAATGTAGAGGGATATCCAGATATCCATATTTTTATGACCATAAATGTAGGCACAACTTTCTTTTCTCATTCTAACCTTCAAATCTATTTTTGAGCTCTTTTTTTTAATTTAAAACATGACCATTAATGTGAGAAAAATGAAGGCAATGTGGCTTCAAAAGAACAGTTAATTTCCCAAACATGAAGGGACGGAAATGGTTGAGCGAAAAAAAATGACAGGAAAGTTTTATTGGAAAATGCTGATAGGATGTTTATCAGATTTAATTAAATGGGGTTTGTGGAGTCTCACAACAGAGCATATTTGTATTTATTTGAATCACCTGAAGATTAACTAGTGTCGCTAAAGTTGAGTACAGAGACATCTAGTGGTTCACTGACATAACATCAACATGCTTGTGAAAGGAGGCGCAAAGGAATCTCCTGCAGCTCCTGGTCTGTGAGGACACGTACTAATTTATTGATCTCTTTATTCATGAAGGATTATTTACTGTTCATGTATGTGTGCCCAAGTATGATGCTGTGGCCTCGCGTTGCCCCAATTATGATAAAAAAGAAAAAAAAATCTCTTAACATCACGGTCGTTGTAAATGTTTATAAATTGTACAGCACCTGTAAAGATATTTACCTTCATGCAAAAAAAAAATCCTCCTGTAAATGGTTTCATTATTTTTATAAGGGAACAGAGATGATAAAATGGGTGAAAATATATAATAAAATATAAATATGGTCATGGCATTCTGTTCATGCACTGATAAATAAAGGTTTACTGAATAAAGACCAATTTGGTCGAATGTGTGCTTCGTGTTTCATTCTTAAAATACAACCGTGGTCTGTTTTTTCTGAAAAAAAGGCGGCGCTCGTACCAAAAATAAATGCGATCAAAATGTTGAGAAAAGGTAAAACACCTCCCTCTAGTGGCAGTCTTTTTACTAAGCATTACGTCAGCAGGCAGAAGTGAGTGCGTGCCTGGCCGCACGCAGTCAGTGCGATTTAAACTTCAACACCCATGAAACAGTGGACCACATCACCCAGGATTCAATGCGCTGCGCATGTGCGGTAGACCAGAATTCTCAGAACGAACTACAGGTTAACGGCTGGAGAACTACAACCTGCAGGGAACCTGCGCAGTGCGAATCCGGAGTCCTTTAAATGAACTGTACGTGCAAAGATGGCAGCTGAACTGGACTTGCTGAGAGCCAAAGTGGCAGAAGAAAAGGTTAGGGACAGCCTGGAGAGACTTATTAAAGAAAGGAAGAAGAAGAAGAAAAAGAAGCGGGAGCCGTCTCCATCCGTGGACAAGCGGGACAAGTGTGAGAAAGAAGCCAAGAAACTGAAGCTCAACCATCACCACCACCAACATGCTGAACCCCGGAGCCACCAGCCCCATCAGCTGCAGCAGAAAACACACAACTTTAAACATGTCCTGCACAACCACCACGAACACCAACACCACAGCCACGGGCTCAGCAACGGCACGAAGAAGAGCCCGCAGCCGGTTGTGCCGTCCACCGCAGCCCCGCGGAAAGCAGCGCAGCAGCCGCAGAAGAAGCGAGCGCTGGCCGCAGAGCCGCTGCCACCTGCGCTCTTCACTTTCACGCCTCTCACGGTGGTCAAGGCCAAACCTCTGGATGTCAAGGAAAAGAACCGGGAAAATGATGTGAAGCTGAAACCCAGGAAGGAAAACGCCGAGGCGAACGTAAAACACCCGGAGCAGAAGAAAAAGACGGGTGAGTTTTTAATTATAATCTTAAATTTTATCGATGATTAAATGTGTGTTACAGACGTGTTTAGATGTACGTCAGTGTCAGTTTGGTCATAACTGTCTTTACCGTAGCTTTGATACTGTTTTCCAAGCATCTAGATTGAAAACGTCAAAAAAAAAAAAGTTACCTATGAAGGTGAGACAAAAAGTTGTAAAACATATTATATATCGATCGAAAAATGTGTCTGATTTGAAAAACTAAAACATATTTAGGACACGTTTCTCCAACAGCTTTTACACAACAGCCCAAACGTGGAAAGCTATAATAAATTTTATTTTTTCTTGGGACATATCGGATTCATTTTTAAATAAAAAATGTGTTCTGCTATGAAGCATCCATCATCTATGAATTTCTGGAACATACACGTACTTTAACAAAACTGTGGAACAAAGCATGGCGTATGCCAGGATGGCACTTGATGAAGGATAATTCATGGAACACGTCTGAAACGAGACTTTTTGTCTTCCCTTCAGTATGTGTGATCACCACATCCACCAATATTCTAATATCGTCTAATTTCTTTGCTCTTAGACCCACGACCACTCAACGAGAACATCAAGTCCCTCGACCTGGAAGACTGTCTCCTGAAGAAAAAAAAGAAAAAGAAGAATAAGCATCGTGAGGACGAGCACAGGGCCAAGAAGCTCCACCACCTGCACAACAAAGCAGTTCAGACTGTGTGTGCGCCTCCTGGAGTTGATCTTTCTCGACCGCTTTGCTCAGAAACGTCTCCGTCGGCGACAGTGAAACATGACAGTAGTCGCCAACCTAGCAGGAACACCATGGAAAACCATGAATCCTACCTCCAGGCATTCAAACTGGGACAGGTCCCCTTTCTGTCCCACCAGGACTACTCCATCCGCAGCTCCTGTCTCCAGACAGGCACCTGGTACGGACGCCTGATGCATGAGGAAAAGCAGGCCAATGGCGGGGGCTCAGTCCTTCACGCCTATGCTGATGAGTTAACTTGTCTCACTCCAGCTGAGATGGAGTGCTTCGCCAAGGAGTTCCTGGAGTTGACATTTAACGAGAAGCCTTCTGGTGCAGCCTCCTATGCTTTGGCTGTGGTCCACGGAGCGGCCTCGTACCTGCCCGACTTTCTGGACTACTTTGCCTTCAACTTCCCCAACACACCGGTTAAAATGGAAATCATGGGAAAAAAAGACATTGAGACAACAACGATCGCCAACTTTCACTCTCAGGTATGTTAAAAACAGAAGAGATTGGTGGTAATACATGGTTTTATATTGTTGATGATTTACCTGTAAAGGCTTGATCGAAAATAATTACATTGTCATTTAAACCAGTTATTTATACACGTTTTAGAGTCATGCAAAAAATGAATGCTTAGTCTTAGTCCAAATCTTGTCAATAAAACTGTTTAATTAAAGCATAGTCTTAGTCTCAAAATTATCAATTATAATTATCAAAATTATCTTAGTTGAATAAAATAAACTTTGATCCGGTCGACAAAAATACAGTGTCACATTTTTATGTTAATAAAAACCGTATTGTTATTTTGGTAAACATTATTATTGTCTGTATTGTGATATAAAAACTACATTACCTCACAGAGAATCATACTACGAATATACCATAGTATTACATTATTATTAACGTATACATAGATAGATTTATTAAAATATCGACAGGAGGCGTCGATAAATTTAGCTTATTTTAGCCAGAGTAGTTCATAAAATTATGCCACTTACCTGTGTATGAATCTCTAAATGAAGGCTTTAAATTTGTCGTCCTTTGCTCAAACAGTCGTTCCTCGCCTTTTCTTTAATGCGTCATGTTTTCGTTAACGGATCCGTGCTACCGGACATGTTTTGGTCACGATCAAATTATTCCCGCTCCTGGCTTCTGTTGACTGTTCTACCGGATACACATTTGCTATGATTCAATATCCGTTTAATCATGTGTCGCCTCATAGGCAACAAACGTAGCTGATTGGCTCTTGCTCTCATTTGTCCCTCCGCTTTACAAGAAATCAACGTTGATTGGACCCTAATGGTTTTTTTGCCCCGGCACGTTTTAATTAGTCGATAAACACGTAAATACACGTTGTCGTCGTCTTTAAATGCACTGCAGCCTTTGAGATAAAGATAAAATCATACATTTATGAATTATTTTTGTAGAGGTAGCAATTTAAGTTTAAATAATCTTTAAATAATAATAATGAGTTATTGAAGAAGATGATTTTGTTTTGTGCGTAACATTCTGGAAAACCCTTTTGTTTTTATTATCTGAGTTGCACTACAGTTTAAAACAAAACAAACGGTTTATCTAAACACATAATAATTAATATATACGTTAGATAATGGGTTCGATTAGATAAAAACAAGACTGAAATTAATGTCTACACAAATTCTGGGACATTACTAATTTGCCAAAAGCTCACCACTTGTTTGCTGAATTGACAGCCAGATGACTCCGTTTGTCCATTTATTTTATACAATCTTTAAGCTACATTTTTAACAGACAGTTAGCCTCAATTGTAGCCTCGTACTGACGTTAGCATTTCCTTCTGTTTCAGGTAAATCGGACTTACTCTTCAGGAACATACAGAGCTGGACCCATGAGGCAGATCAGCTTGGTGGGAGCTGTGGACGAGGAGGTTGGAGACTATTTCCCAGAATTCCTTGACATGTTGGAGGAGTCACCTTTTCTGAAGGTCAGAGGAGAATAAATAAATAAATAAATATTTATCCATCGGGCTTGTGTATAATAAATACACATATACGCAATACATTGTACATGAGTGACAGTGCCATTGTCACACCCAGATGACCCTACCGTGGGGAAGCATGTCCAGTCTGAAGCTGGACTGTCGTTCTCAGAGTGACGATGGGCCAATCATGTGGGTGCGACCAGGAGAACAAATGGTTCCCACTGCTGACATGCCCAAGTCTCCTTTCAAACGACGCAGGTAAGGCAGTAACTCTGATCTCCACTAGAGGAACTCTTAACTGTTGACACCTATGTATGCATGTACTTACTGTATATATGTATGTGTATATTTGTATGTTTGTATGTGTAAGTATATCTATGTATATATATATACAGTATGTATGCATACATACATTTGTATACACCTGTTGACACCTATGTATGCATGTACTTGTATATGTGTGTATGTTTGTGTTATTTATGTAGATGTATGTATGCATACATACATGTGTATTCATATATATTTATATATGTATATATATATTTACATAGCTCCAGTGTTGTCCATAACCGTCACTTTTTTGTCTAGGTCCATGAACGAAATAAAGAATCTACACTACCTGCCCAGAGCCAGTGAGCCCAGGGAGGTTCTGTTTGAGGACCGGACTAAAGCTCACGCTGATCACGTGGGTCAGAGTTTTGACTGGCAGAGCACAGCAGCTGTCGGCGTACTGAAGGCGGTCCACTTTGGAGAATGGTGGGTGTTTGTTTAGAATGTTGGAAAATCAACAACAGGTTCCTAATGTTCTGGAAATATTCTCCAATACCGTGCTGTGTGTACTGAAGGAGAGTTGACTGTGCAGTGTTTTTACTTCTTTGTGACCTGTTGTTCCAGGAACCACCAACCTCGAATTACCAAAGATGTCGTATGTTTTCAAGCTGGCGACTTCAGTGAAGTTGTCCAGAGATTACAGCTCGACCTGTATGAGCCCCCGGTGTCACAGGTGAGCTAACAGGTGTTAGCTGCTGTGCTGCACAGTAGAGTTGAGTTGTTGGTGAGGCAACATGGAGAGGCAATTGTTTTTATTTATTCCACAGTCAGGAAGTTGCACAAGTATTTTATTGTTTTTTTTTTATGTATTATTGTATTTTAAGTAATTTTCAAGGAATCTAGAAATACAGTGTTTTCAATGATGTTCAGTTTTAAAGCAGAAGCTGTAGATGTGTTGGAATGGGAGGGGTTGACGGTTTTTCCTTCTACGGAGGGGGGTGCTGCCGACCAGATTTGTGAACCATGTTAGCATGCATAAAGCTAAGGTGTGTGGGTGAGTGAAAGCAGTGTGGTGAAACTAGAGAAACAGGCAAAAAATATAGAGGAACAGAAAAGAAAAAAAGGCTGAACGTACACTAATTTAAATGTGTCTGTGTCGTGTGATGGCATGTGGCAGGAAGGCTTTCCTGTATCTGTCCCTATAAGTGACCCTACGATTAGTAGCAAACACAACTGTGTATTTTTCATTCAGTGCGTCCAGTGGGTGGACGACGCCAAGCTCAACCAGCTAAGGAGGGAAGGCGTCCGATACATCCGCGTCCAACTCTGTGACGATGACATTTACTTCATCCCGAGGAACGTCATCCATCAGTTCAAGACTGTGTCGGCCGTCTGTAGTCTGGCCTGGCACATTCGCCTCAAAGAGTACCACCCAGACGAGAAGGTCAGGGATGATGAGTCACAGCCCAGTGATCTCAGCCACACGTCAGGACGAGCCTCCCTTTCCTGCACTGCCCGGCCCAGTGCCACAGTCACCCCATGTGCAAGACCCCAGGGTGACAACATTCAAGGCGGGGTGGCTAAGACTGAGGAACCAGAGTTCCAGAGGCCAGCGACACCTCCCCTTGAGCCCCAGCCTGCTCCTCCACAGCCCACCAAGTCCACACCCTTGTCTCCAACCTTCTGTGATCCCTGTTTTTCCTCGGCTCCAGTCCGCTCGGGATGTACACCATCCAAAGAGGCTGCACTGCCAAAAGCTTTGGGCCTCACAGCAGTGATTCCTAAATGATGTCACTCTCCACTGTGGTAGGAGTATGAAGGAATTTGAAGACTATAACTGACAGCCGACTGTCAATCAGGAAGCCTTTCAACGTAAATAATTATCAAGACTTTGACTTTTCTTTTTTTTTTTACATGTTGCTAAAATTAAGTGGTATGTTTTATTTTCAACTCAACTTTACTGACTATCAGACTACAACAACTTTCTCTTTCCTTTTTTTCTGTATCTTTGCACATAAACCAGGACTGCCTGCCTAGTGTGTAGGTTTGTTTATGTAGAGCTTTTATTTTCAATAGGTTTTTGCGCTATTTATAAAAAAAACATAAAATATAAGTATTTATTTGCTCAGCTGTTTCTGAGAACTATTGACTTATGAATTGACGTTGCACAATGTGTTTTCCCCGATTGTTTTAATATTCTTCAAGCACTATGCCGACATTATACTCCCAGTTTTCATATCCCTGGACTTGAAGTCGGGCAAACGAGCGCTTCAGTTCCTTTGAATTAATGCAACGGCCAGATTGGAATATTTTCATTATTGCTCTTTTATTGTTAAAAGACTTTTTTTAAATGAATTTCCTTTATTTTTGCAACAAGAAAAAAAAATAAACATTCAGTTTTGTGATTCTGCAGCACTTCTGACTTCCAGTCAGCTCTACACGTTGGTCTTTTTGCATGCAGTACTTTGTTTAAATGCCACTTTACATGGTTAAAATTTTCATACTGTTGATGATAATTTTGAGATTTTATTTATTTTCCTAGGATTCAACCTCAGCATATGAACGAAGGTTTGTAGCCATGGATGGATGTTTGTAATATTGGTCGTATCTTAGATGCTGAGCTGAGGTGAGTGTTTGCAGCTCTCTCTCTCTCTCTCTCTCTCTTTCATCATGGAGAATAATTGGCCAAATCTTTGTGTAGTTGGATTTTGATATGTAAATATTATCAGTACCACTGTCTGTTGTTTCTACACTTGTTCACGTCATTAAGTCTCCAGTGTATGAAACTCTATTTCAACAGTTTGGTTCTATTTTCCCTCCTGCAACACTGATTAAGAGGCCAGGGGGCAGTATAAGGCAATGTATCAATCGAATATAGGGTTATAAGGTGTTTTCATTAACAACTGAATCCTTATGAACTAAAAGTATAAACAGGAACACCTGTGACTCTAGTATGTGGTTACCCGATAAATATATTGTTTTTTTTTATTTTAAAAAAAATTGCAGCCTTTTTATCTTTCAAATCTTTTTTAAGTAGGGTTGTCAGATTAGCTTAGGAGTAATCAAAAAATCAAAAACGGACAGGTATGTGTTTCACCACATTATTTGTGACTAATTCAAACTATGGAATTATTAATATGGAAGAAAAAAAAACTGAAAAATATTCTGGAATTCCAGTCCTTTCCATTCAACAAATGTGTCTGTCAGCTGGTCAGTTGTAGAGTTACTTACTGCCCCCTGTCGGTGGGTTGGTACGAACACAGGCTTGGAGTTCATTTGGTATTTTAGCTTAAGGTGCTTTAAATAACAACATTGACTGTATGAGACCAATGACTGTATCGTGGGATTATTGGATAAATGCTGCACCTCATTCTCTGTATGGGTTAAAGTGTTGTTACAATTCTAATCTGATAAATTCCACAAATTATTTCGATAAAGGCGTTCATTTTTACAGCCCTGCTTTTACGGTAACCAACCAGCTATTCTTTTAAACTGACAGTCACAGCCAATAGGAGGTCAATGTCCTGAAATCTTCTGCAGTGATTCATTGGAGCGAGGATGTTTGACTCTGCTCTACCACTCACTCACTGTCTAGTGCCTTGTACTGTACAGCAATAACCTCATGTAACACTGAGGTTCATTTGATAAAGAGCGGACTGTCAAATAAGAACAAAAGTAGTTCATCTTTTTAAAATATTTAATATTTGTCAAACAAAAAATGTGCCAGTCATGTGAGGCTTTTTTTTGTTTTCTAACCTGGCTGTAAAGAATTACCACATACCTTGTTACCAAAAAAATATTTCGGCTTTCCTTGAAGCTTGAGTGATTATTTTCATTTGTCACCAGTGTGGCTGCCATAGCGTATATGATTAACTTCATGTTCAAATTAAAAATGAAAACATATAAATTACGCTCACATTTGTGTCATTTGTTGCACTTCTGTGTTTAGATCCACAATTGTTACCGTTTTATTTGTCTTGGTTTGATGTGAAAATGTTTTTTAGTAAAAAAAAGAAAAGAAAAAAAGAAAAAACACAGTATGTTTTGACTTTTTATATTTTTAATAAATACTTTCGTATTTTTAAAGGCATTTTATTAGTTATCAAATTAACTGTACCATGCAAGTAATATTCACAGGTTTGATTTTAAAAATAATATTTTTTAAAAATACTGACAACTCTTGATTGTGCCATAAATTATTTCTCTTCACATGTGTTCTGTTCTTCACAACATGCAACTAAATGCAAATTACAAAGCCATTTCCAGAAAATCTGCTTAAAATACAGTAAAAAGGAACGTCTTTATTTGGTAATGTAATCTCCCTTATGTTTGTGATTTCACTCACCAATTTTTTTTTTTGCTTTGTTTTTTCCCCCCTGAAAATTTGGTTTTTGTTTGGAAAATACTGCAAATTTGTAAAAAGAAATGGAAAGAAATTAAATTTATTATTTAGCTTTAATTTATGTCTGTTGTTAAATGAGACATGCTTCAATAGATAAAACGCAAGACACTAGGCTAAAAATAGAGATACTTCCTGTTCATTGTCAGCTGAACACTTTTTTTTTGCGAGGTGCAACTCTTAGAGGGCCATCTTTAGTGCTTCCCCTAATAATTCAAATATTGAAATATTTAAGAAGTGCAAAAAGTATAATGCTGATTGGCACATTTTTCAAGTGAGATCTGCTTTGAAACCACGCCTCAGACCCAGGTCTGTGGGTAATCTCTGGGGCCTTTTGGTTTCCCAAAGCGGTTTCCAAATCCTGTAAAAGAGGAGGAAGTTGTTGTAACCACACTAAAATAATGAAATTGTGTAAAATAATTTATGTTATGAAGAGGAGGAAGTTGTTGTAACCACACTGAAATAATGAAATTGTGTAAAATAATTTGACTTTATGTTAAAAAGGGGACACTAACGAAACTTGAACACATGAGGGGTGGCCCCTGATTGGTCAGCAGGTGGCGATGTAACGTTATCTGTTGAGGCAGATTTAAAAACATGTCAGTTTAACGTTTAATCTGAAAAATGTGTTTGTGTAGTTAAAAATTAAAACTGCCACTTCTTACATGTTTGCCTCTGTTTATGGAACAGACTCTGGAGAAAGAGAAAACACAAGCACAATGGTACAGTATGAACACACACACATTCTCACAGGTTAACTTGTGTAAAATTTTTGTCACCTTCTTTCGAATGAAGACCTTCTCGCTGCTTCTGTCTCCTTTGCTTCCTGGAACGTCTGTGTTCACAGAGGGTCTGTGGTTAACGTCAGGCTGTTCCACTGCTGACATAAACAGACATAACATTAGCTTAGCCACAGCCACGTCCAATATGTCTAATATTGCTGCTACACATTTTATAACAATGTGTGTTTAAAGTTTACATTGCCTCAGTCTACAAATTGACACAAAACACACTTTTGTGAACCACTGTGTGTGCCACTGTGAAGCACCATTAATAATGAAACAACTCACCACTTCCTGTTCCACCTCTGACCGCACAAGATGAAGCAGCTCGCCTGAATGCAGTGAGGGTCTCTACACAACGAAATGTTTAGTGGAAACAATCGTTGGGGTTTTTACAACAGCTTAGATCCAGCTTCATCTGTATATTTTTTTTTTGCTTGTTTGTTTTAAACAGTAACATAGTTAAAAATAACTAAGATTTTCCCTCCTTATAAAGACAATATAAAGAGGACGTTCTTTGTTCAAAACATTTAGAGATTCGATTCGATTTAACTTTATAGATCTCACACTGGGGAAATTGGGATAAAGACTACAGTAAAAATGACTGTAGAATAAAAACAAAAACAAGATATTGTAAATGCTGAAGATACACAGTGCAATAGTATAATACAATGTTCAAAAAGTAGGAAAGTACCACTTTACTTGACAATTACTGCACATGAGCAGAATATATTGCCCTTGACTCATTGACCAGGATATATTGCACTATGATAAGCGAGGTAAAAAAAAAAAAAGATAAGAAGAAGAAATGTTCACTGGCTGTTTTAGAGAAATGAGCCGGAGTGAGGCCGGAGATCCCCCCAATAACGCATACTGTACTTACTGACAATCGCACAGAGTCGTATTTCTAGTGCGAGTGACACGGTACTATCTATAGACTATCATGCAGAAAGAAAAATCCCAACTGTCACTGTATTTTATTTCCGTACCTCACACAAAGTCCTCATTTAACAAAAAAAAAAAATCTTACCTTGACTTGAACTCAGATCTCGAGCACTCTGAGGAAGGATAACAATGAAATGTAAATGTATGTTTAATTATTTGTAATACAAATATCTGCCTAGATACTGCGCCTTACTTAAATTGCTTACGAGTACTCATTTGTTGTATTAAAGCAATGGATACAGTATATATGTGTCCCACTATCTTAAGTATCAGCTATTTTGTTATGTTTTGACTAAGAGTCCAGTCCCAACCCCCTAGCATAATCAGGAAGAGCCTGACCCTACTTTCCGTCGTGTGACGTCATCAATATGCCCCTTAGGCTGACGTTACTATAATTGACGTTGGCCCATTGTTAAGCGGGAAGCGTTTCAAACGCACGGACTGGATCTTGAACGCAATCAGGGAATTCAAAAATTGGCTCAGTAATTAGTTAATATTACTTCGAATTTTTAATTCACTGGCCAAGAAAACGGGTAAGTTGAAATAGTTTGTAGAGTCTTTACTGCCCATATCCTATGAAAATGAAAGTTAGTCACCTTTTTGTAGGTAGAGAAGTAGAAGTAGAGAAATGGCCGAACGTTCCAGACAAACTTTTAATGCACCGCTTAAAAACGCTTGACTAAATAAGCGTTAATATGTGTCGGTGACATTTGCTTATACACCAGAAGACGTTATTGACCGCATTTTGTTTCAGTAACGTAAGTAGGCCTTACTTTACTCCTGCTTCTGACAATGTTGACAAATGTGTTTTGGGGGTTTTCGTCAAAGCGCGGCTCCCGACAAGAGGCATTAATCTCCTCCCCTGTAGGCGAACAAAATAATAATCCGTCGTACGAAGTTTTGTGCGACACCAGCAACAGTGGCATTTTCTATAGTGTAAAACGACGACACTCACTGCTGTCTGCTTTGAGGGTGGGCATGTCATGTGTACGGCCAGATGGGGGCCGAGTTGGGCACTTTTCAGCTGAACATAAATGAGGGAATGTGAGTGTTATTTTTTTTTATCCTTTTAAAGTATTAATAATAATCTAAGCAAATATTCAAATTAAATCAAAGTCCCATCATAAAGCTAAGCAGTTAACATACTGTGAGATGGCAGATCTGCAGGTGGACGACGATGGAGGTTTGGTATGGTTGGAAGATCAATATGTACAGTTGGAGCTAGAAATTTATTTAAAAAACATAATTTGATCACACTATCATTTGCATAATTTTCTTTTTTATAATGAATGCATATTGAAGCATAAATGTTTTACCCCTAAACTTCATTTTGGCTTTCAGGCTCTGAAAAAACAAAGACTGTTTACGTTAGAATAAAAATAAAAATCATAAAATAAAGCCATACTGTGTAAAAGCTGCAGTTTAGGATCAGTTTGTTTCAAAAAATAAAAATAATTTAAAACTGCACTAGTGTAAAGGCATAAATCATAGTTTAAACACTGCAAAGGAAAAATGGCCTCAAATGAACAGTTTTCAAAAGATAAAATGACTATTACTACTTAAGATTTCCTTGCTGTTTTGAAGAATAGTTAATAATTATATTTTAATAAATGCAAAAAATGATGTTTTTAAATTTTCAAATTAGACAGATTTGCAAAAAAGTAGTAGCAATATAAATTTTGAAAAGGAAAATAAATAAAAAATTAAAATGTCACATTACAATAGATTATGCTAGTTGTTTTGGTGCTCTAATTTCCAACTTTATTTAGAACAAAAATATCAACATAAACATGAAGTTCAACAACAGTAAAATACAATTCTCACCTTACTCCTGTTCCATGGTTTGGTCTCATTTTCAGATGCAGTAGGATTGGAGTCCCCCGACCATTCAGAAGACCTACCTATTCTGTTCTTAGTGACATCAGAGTTCTTGAGTTCTAAAGGTAATACATTCCAATGTTATATGTATCTGAGCCACGTCTTACTTTGTACTTTGTATTTATTAATTTACCGTCGTCTGTGGGCAACTTGTACGATTCTGGTGTCCTCTCTGGAAGGGTGGGAGTGGGAGAAGGGGGGCAGCCTGGAAATTAAAACGTGATCAATATTTATTGTAGGAATTTATTTTACAGCGTTTGTAGTTTTTTGAAGAAGCTCACATTAAGTCAAAAATTAACGTTTTGGACGTTTAGATTTTTAAAAAACATTTTGTCACCTCTCAACTCCCTCACAACGTCAGCAGCAGCATTTCGTGGAATAATGACTGATAAATGTTTACAGGTATTTTGTTCCTCTGTTGGACATTCGTTTTTTCCTTTGGAACCGTAGAAAAAAAAATAGAATATGAATTTAGATGAGCATTGTAGGAAGACTGATCGAGTTGTGATGTGAATTCTGGATTTTGACTGTGAGTAACCTGGGTCCACGGCCAGTATGTAGGATTCAGGCGTGCGTTCAGGTAGGGGAGGAGCAGCGTCTTCATCAGTGAGACCTTCAGGAGGACCTACAAATCTCATGCGTTAATTCAAATTGTTGCTAAATCGTTGCTTATGTTTTTTTTTTTGTACTATTTTATGTACAGCTAGGATCAATTACCTGTAACAGCACTGATAAAAGTTGTGTTGCTGACAGCGCCATCTTTCCACTCTTGGTTGTCCACAGTAGAGGTCACCAGAGTTTCTACTTCATCTGATGGAGGGGAGCTCAATGGAGACTCAAAGTAGGGGTCCTCCACCATCAGACAAAGGGCTTTTGGTAAAGGAGGGGGGGTCATTGATACAATGCTCCCATTTACATGTCCACGCTTCGCTACAGTAAGGGTTACATGGCTCAGATGTTCTGGTTTGGGTGGAGTCATAGGTTTCTTCTGCAGTTCTGGGGTGTAGGCATCATCATCAAATAAGATCTGAATTGAGGGGCAATTTTGCCTCATTTCTTTATCCCTGCTTTCAACCTCTGTGATGTTTTCTGAGTGTAATGGAGGGTGATGTTCGGGTAGGATGTCCCTCTTTATATCCAGCTTCTGCTGTGACTCTGGTTGTAAAACCAGCACCTGACTTGAATCCTCATTTGGAACGTGAATATCAGTGCCAACTGTTGTCTGAATGGGTCAAAAGAGGAACGTGACAAATTACAAAATTTTACTTTTTAATTTACTTTGGACACTTTTTAATAAAAGGGTTTGTGTATTGCAAAGTCAGTCTACATACTGACCTCTGATACTGATTCTGTGTAGTATGACTTGTTCACAAACGTGTTGCAATCGTAATTGCTCACCTCAGCTCGCCTCACACCCGAGTCCACAGTCGTTAAATATCTGTTGAACAGTACCTTGATGGTTCTGCCGACCAGCTCGTACTGTTCCTGAGGTAAAACAACAACAAATCTGCTGTTAGTTTATTTATTCTACACATTGTAAAAAAAAATGTTTTTGGAGGAATTATTACTGAAAGATATATATATATTATGTTGGATTTTGTTTCTCAGGCTTAAGTTTAATATATTTTATTTTGTAATTGCAGTTATGTGTAAGCAGCATTTTATATATTAAAGGAAAAATACCTTAGTTTGGACCAACGAGGGCCTCTGGGTTCTCATGTTTTGCACTAATTCATAAATATTAAAATCTGGGGTTATCATCTAAAATAAAAACAGAAATTACAAATCAGGTTAGGATTTTCCACAGGTAAAATTAAAATTCATACAAGACATTTTTGGAAGAAATATCTCACCTCTTTCTTTAGTAAGTTCCATGTGTAATCGATGGCACACAGTGCTCCAGTTCTACCACAGCCAGCACTACAAGTCACAGTTTATCCATTTAACTTAAATCCAGCATGACAAAACACATTATTACTGTATAGCTAATGATTATTTTTCACAACATTTGGAAACATTTTTCTTCTCTTTTAAAATGAATAAAATGCCCTTTTCTCTTTGTATTGCAACAGTATAGTACAAAAGCATGGAAATATTGACTATTTTATTATCATGGTTATCTTAGCTTGCAGCCCTTGATCACTGTTCCAAAGACTTTACAGAGCTTGAGAGCTTCCTTCCCATCAATTGGAATTCTTAGTGACTCTAATTATTTATTACTTTTCACATTGATAGCATTAGTTCTGAACTACTCAGATAAACTTAATAAGTAAGTGTAAAGTGAATTGGTGATTCTTAAGATAGTGTGCATGAGCGTCGGATATGCAGGAAGTGGAAAATACAGAGGATCGCCACAGATGGGCAGTCTGTCTGCACAAGCGTGGTTGATTTTTTTTTTTTCTCTACACTATATTTTTCTCTTTTTTTCCCACTTTGCAGTCTTTGATGCTATTGCCTGGTTTTCAATCAGGCTAGCAACAAAAATGTTCAGGAATAGAAAAGTAATTTGCATAAACAAGTCTTTAAAACGTTTCCAATAGGGATTTGGGAAGAGTTTATTAATTGCTGCACAGTTGTGTACAGTGTGTCTTGCCTGCAGTGGATGCAGATTGGGATGTCATCGTGGTCCTGATATGTTCGCATCTCTTGTAGCATTTCTAATATTGGAGGAATGGCATCTGGTACTCCATGATCTGGCCAGTTCATGTAGTGCAGTTGTTTGAAGATTCGGCTGCTCTAAAAAAAAAAAAAAAGAAATATAGAATTTGATGGATAAATCATAGCAATAACAATAGTAATGCACGCAATCCACTATGGGTAAATACTGATAGTTTGCTTTTCTCAAGAGAATTTAGTCATAGCATAAACAATACTTACATTCTGGTATGTGACTCTTAACATCCTGGTCACATAATCTCCTTTGTTTTCTTCAGAATCCTTAAACAAAAACAAAAAACACCATAATTTACCACATACTAACAGGGGTAAAAAAAAAAATCCACAGTAATTTGTCTTGTATTGTTAGAGTTAAAGAACCAAGTCTTGCATAACCAAGATGTTGTGTTCAGATAAAGTGATCTATTAATGTTTACATATGATACGATTCAATGCATTTTCTTACACAGTAAACAGTGAAAGGTTCACAAACAAAGGGCTGATCTTGCATCAGTGGCCAGTACCGTTCACTCTTTTTCTATTAAAAGAATCACAAACAGACATTTATCGACACTTAAACAATGTGAAATCAAATGCAACCACACAATTTTGAAGTAATTTGTTTACCAAAAATGCTATACAAATAAAATTGTTGAAAAATTGAAATGCAAAACTTTTTTTTATTACCCTCCCCATCTCAAACTCGCGACAGGCCATCACAACAACCTGTAACCAAAACGAGAGAGTGAGTCTACATTAGAGAGTGAGAATGTCAAGGTAGTGTGGTATAGTGTTTATGCCGGATACCTCTCTTGATTCAACCCACAGTAAACGTTCTCCATAGTAGGCAGGGGTTTTACCGCTGAGCCCCTCTTATTCTAACCTTGTTCAATTTCAATGATGGCTGAAAAATATTCTGTACCTGTATGTTGTATTCCCAAAGCATCCTGAAGAAGTCAAGCAGTGTGTGGGGCAACGGACCCTGAGTAGCAATGTAGGCCCTTGAATCTGTCACTCCCTGTGTGCAGCACAAACACAATTAGTTAATAATTAATTAATGGTTATTATCCACTGTTTGTTAAAATTCATTCATTGTTTCATCACTGATGAAAGGGGGAAAAAGAGCCATTTACCTTAAGGAAATTGGCGTTGATGTAGTCGTCTTCATTTTTGGCTGTGGTGAAACTGAGCTTTACTCTGCTGTGGTCAACTAAAAGGACAAATGTGTACAGGTAGTTTATTGAATATTGTTTCATTTTTTTTCACCTTAGCAGAGCTAAGAAAAACCTTAACTTTTAATGGTTATTCATACATTAGCACCACATTGTTCTGAGATGCTTACAGGGAACAATGTCCTTGTATCGGTTTTTCTTGACATTTTCTTGCTTTTCCCCAGTTTTCGTCGGGAAAGTCTTTGTAGGGAAAGTCTTGTCAGTGCGGTACTTGATTGACAGGCTCTTTAGTCTCTATAACACATGAAACAAACAGAATTCAGCTTGTTGTATTCACTTGTAGCATTGTGGTTAGTTTGTATATGAAACAAAAGCCTCAGTGATCAGAATCTATAAATCACTTTGCTCATGAGCTGAAAACATGTGTAACATGTTTGGAAATGTTTGACACTTGTACATGTTAAGTAAGACACTCAGCTTTCTGTTCAGAAACTGTCTCTCAGTTCACTGTGTAAGTGCAATAGTGACAGCACAATATGTTTTTATTCTTTGAGGAAGTGATGCAAGAGAAGACTCCTGCTGGAATGGTCAGGGTGTGTGAGCACATTGACAGCTCCCTGAAATGCCCTCTGGCACAGAAATGTCATCGATCATAATGACAGCTGCCCTCAAACGATGTCATTCTGGAGATCAGCATTTTAATGTTGAATGTTTTGTGTGCATCTGCGGTTTTCTGTTTATTAATGTACGGTACGGTTAGGAAGGATAGTTAACAGGAATCATAAATAACAAAAGTTATCATAAATACCAACTTGTCTTGTACTTTTAAGGATAATCCCCAGTACAAAGAGGAAGTACAAATACGTTTTCAGAGCTGTCAGTGCAGACATTACTTCCTTGAAATATCTTTAATAAAAAACAAACGTTGAGTTAAAAAGCATGCAGATTATTTTGTGCTGATAGTAACCATAGGAAACTGAGTTGTTTCATTCAGTTGAGACACAGGAAAATTCCACCAATCTCAACTCACTAGAAACTCTGCTGCAAAGCCGTTTGGTGCTTCTTGATCTGCATTCTCTTGACTTTCCAGTTGGGTCAAGAGGTCCTTCAGTACCGATGCCTGTTGTTCCATGGCTTGCTGTGCTGTGCCTGGGATGTGGCACCTTTCGTGTCACGTCACTGAGGTTCTAGTCCACAAGTCATGGGTTTAGCTGCTGCTGCGACCAATTCTCTACTGCAGCACTCACATCTAGAAACTGTTGTAAGAACTGTACTAAGAGGAAGCAAGTGCAAACTAACAGGTTCCGTGGTCATGCAATTTTTTTTTTTTTTTGATGCACCTCCTAGGTGCCTCTCCCTGGGTCCTAAAGTCACTCGGGTGTTTAGATCTCAACTCTGTCAAATTACATAGAAGATATAACCATGGTTTTATGACTTTATCTGCCATTGCTGAACTGTACATAACCCAAGGCTATCCATTTTACAACCAATGAGCTCAGGAAGGGGTGTGGCTAGAGATTAAGGCAAAGTCCAAAGTTCTAGTGAGGCAGAACAAGGGGCCCTGTAAAATCTTATGAGCCAGACAAAAACATCAATATTTTAAGCTACCCATGTGTGACAAAATGTGTTTAACTATTTTTTTACTGTATTTATTATGATGATTGTGTTTAAAGAGGGATTCAACTAAATTTCCAGGTGCTGATGTACTCTTTAAACTTTGAGTGATAGATTCTGAACCATATTTTAGTGTGAATCACCACAGTAAAAATATTGCCATTCATAAAAATTTCCAGGGAAGGAAATACATTAAAACACAGGATGTTAACTGACAAATCAAGAGGGCCATTTTTCTCTGTGGTAAACCTAAAACATTAAACCTTTCTTCTGATATAGTTTGCTGCAGATTTTCAACCGTTATTGTCTGCCTTCAACTGGTACAGATTATGAAGAGCATGGGGACATCTAGTGGCTGTTTTAGGTTAGTTGACCCGCAGCAATGACTGAGGGTCAAATGTACAAATGCCAGCCAGATTATGTGTAGAAAGTTCTACCACTGTCTCAAAAAATAAATTAGTATACACAAAAAAAAAAAGTTTGACCCATTTTTGTTCTGTCCCACATATTTAGAATGGAGGAACTTAAAACCATTTCACCCTAAAACCTCAGAGAGCAGCATTTACAGCAGTTCCACCTTAATGGTAAGTTGACTTCATTCATTCATTCATTCATTCATTTTCATCCACTTATTCGTTACCGGGTTGCGGGGGCAGCAGTCACCATGGCCGCCACCCAATTCACAGTACACCGTACCAGCCCCCCATACCCCTAGAGAGTTGGTGAGTCCACTGGAAAAGTTGACTTCATTAATTATGGAATTGGACTAGAGCAGTACTGTATGGTCTGTCTTACCAGTTCCTAACAATACTTGTGCTGCAGCATTTATTAACCGGGCAATCATACAATTGGGTATGAGTGTGAGTATGAATGGCTCTTTGTCACCATATGTGTCCCTCTGATGGACCAGTCACTATCTGGGTGTACCACACATTACCAGTTTGGTAACTGGAAAGAATGGCTCAGATATGCCTGTCACTTGCACATGTAATTCTAATGGTATGTACAAGTACAAGTTTTTTATACATGGTAATGTGAATCATGCCTCAGTGTTGTTGTGAAATGTCCATTTCACAAAGTCCAAAGTTATTAAACATTGACCATTTAATGTCTTTCATGTGAATCACAAGGCCAACCCATTTATGAAAGGAGTAGAACCACTCTTGCCAAACTCCACCTCTGCTAAACATATTTCTAAACTAACGCCAGACCAGCTAACTTATTTACTTATTAAATTTCCGATTTTTTTTTCTGTTACATAAGGTTGCAAACATTTATAGTAGCCAAAAACATCTTTTTTCTACATACGCCGATAGTCTCTCTTTGGTGTGTTTAGTTTTGTGACACAATTTCCCCTAAAAAAAAAACAAAAGAAAAAACGGAAGGTCGCCGCCCTGTGCAGAGAATAGCGTAGATATAAACCACGCCCATTTCAAATGACGAGGCTGGCGACGAGGAGCTCCTAGGAAAAATACCGAAGTCGACACATCTGTTAGTACAACTCGCCGAACACAGCGCCAGTGAGGTTATTGGTGAGTATTAGATCAACTTTTAAAATTGTATAACCTCTAATAATGAAACAGAAGGTAAACGTCTTAACAGTGCGACACGAACGGTGTGTCATTCACTCGTCTAACAAAGCTAGCATGGTAGCCTAAACATAATGTCGTGTATTTTCTTGAAATGATTTAGTTTCCAAACTAGATTTTAACACGAACACAGTTTCACAAGACCGATGTTTTTTTCTTGTGACTTCAGTATCCGTTTGATTTAAGCAACTGAGTCAAATCTGTGACTCGAGTTGCTTTGCTGTTAGCTCGTTTGTGACGCCCTGACGGTAAACTAGAAAGAAACGGCGACGTTCGTCTCTTTTAAAACTACGATGGCTGTGTTTTGCAGTAAAAAAAAAAATCACTTGTATTGAATGACTAAATATAGACGGTGTGTTTTTGATAACGTCATTAAACTGTAAATGTCATTTAGCGACAGCATTTGTAGCCAGATATGAGTATCTGGTTTACAAAAGTAAAGCTCCAGAAGGAAACCGGATGTCAGTTTACAGTTATCTTGTTTGTCAATTCAAAGGTGTGTTTTATCCAATCGTTTCTTTGTTTAATCCTCTAGTCAGAAGGTGCTTACGAATTTCAGACCAACCTACCTAGTCATAGACATGATGTGGAAAATCTCAGTCCTACTGGTTTTTCTGGTGTATATCACTATTGCTCAAGGTGAGTGAAAGAACAGAGCTGTATAAAGTTACATGTAAGTAATAAGACTTAATAATAAGTTCATTGACTTGGCATTTTTGCTTTTTTCCATTCCAGCTCAAGAGTGTAATGAACCTGTGGGAGAGAACATGAAGTTGAAAGACCCTCCCAGTTCGTTCCCTGATGGTACCACAGTTACTTTTGCCTGCATTGTTGGTTACCAGTCTGCAGGAGGGTCTCCATCAATCACCTGTACAGCGGGAACTTGGAGCCCCATCAAGCTCAAATGCGAGAGTAAATATTAACAGTTTTTCAACTTACATTACTACCATTAGTAAAATGGCCTTTTCAGTTCTGCCATAAATTACACTAGATTTCACCTATTTGGATTATACATGAAAGGTATCAGAACGACAGGAGTGTAATCATCCCCTGAAGTTATAGTTTGTCACTCATTTTGCTGCCGCTCAAATGACACATAAGTTTAACGGTTTTTAAAAGTTGTTATATAAAAAAAAAAAAGATGTTTCCTGTCTTACCAGTGCCCATCTACAAAGCAAAATAAACACAAATCATTTCTCACCACCATGGATGTGGTCTAAGATTTTGAGCTTGGTTTAAGCCTTGTACTTATGGGTTTAAGATAAGCTAAAAGTCTCAGAAGTTATAAACTGAGATGAAGTGCCCTTATTCCCTCATCAAAGACTGATTAAAATAATCTGACATGCCAGCTTTTTAGGACGAGTGATTGGCCTAACGTTTATCTGTGCATTGTTGGGATATAATTATCCATAGTGTCTTTATATATAGCACAGTATTTTAATTAAACAATTTAAGTAATATCCAAGTACTTAAGTGGTAAGTAAATTAGAAGATTAAGCTAATTTAACTAGGACATGTTTGTACTACAACAAATTAGAGTCAGAACTGATTAAAATGCAGGTACATTGCAGTTGTGATCCAGGAGTGATTGTATTTTTGCTTGCTATCAAACATTTTTTGAAGTGAGTGAAGGGATTAAATGATTCATATGATTACATTTATGTTTAATTTTTCAAAAACAGTGATGACTATTGTGTAACACAATCAGCCCTGCCATCATTACATTGTTGTGATTCGTTTGATTACATTTTAAATATTTTATAAAATATTTTAATTTTAAAGTTGTTTGAATTTTTTTTTTTTTTCAAAGGGAAGAACTGTGGTTCAGCTGGAGAAATTTTAAATGGACAAACCAACTACCCTGAAGAAACACTTTTTGGTGATAAGGTTATTTACACATGCAACACAGGGTTAGTAAAAATACACTGCGGACTTATATTTACAACGTTTTAAAAGAGTTTTAACAAATGAAATGAATCTTTAGTTATATTTTTTTGAAATGCAGGAATTAGGGACACCTAGTGGATATTATTATTATTACACGATATGGTGAGAGATGAGTGCCTTCTAATTCTTTCTTGAATGAGAAACTTCAACTTCCATTTAAACAACAGTTAAACCTTGACTAAAGCTGTAATGTTTAAAAGATCTCCCAGGATGTGGATACATTATGACATACAGTACATGCTTCGGACTTTTTATTGGTATGCTTAGCACTGGATCTTAAAATATTGTTATCGTGTATTGCCTACTTTGACCAATATTTTCCTAAAATAAACATCTTTTGTTTTTCTTCTTAGTTACGTCATGATTGGCACTAAAGAAAGGATTTGCGGAGACCAAGGATGGATGGGGAGGGAGCCCACTTGTGAAGGTTAGTCATTCTAAAATTATATTATTAAAATTAAACAAAATTAAAAAATTGCTGAAAATGTTTTATAAGCCATTAAATGTGCTTTGTAATAGTTGACTTTATTTTCCAGCTGTCTCCTGTGATCCTCCAACTGCTAATGCAAATAGTGAATATAGTCCAATCAAAGACAACTATGGATATAATCAGCAAGTCCGCTACATCTGTAAAGATGACCTTGCGCTCATTGGATCTCCAGTGTCGACATGTATAGAAACTGGGTTTGATACCGAACCTCCTACATGCATCGGTGAGTTGTTGTTTTTTAAAAAAGTTTCTTTGTATTTGTCTTTTGTGTTTTGTTTATTTTAGAACTCTAAATGATTATTTTTTTTTTTTAAAAAATCTCTACAGCGGTCTCCTGTCCAGATGATGATGTTGCAAATGGTGAACAGGTGTCAGGCTCTCGGCCTCCCCATCGTTACAAAGCCATTGTAACATTTAAGTGCCTGTCGGGATATGTTATGGAAGGTGTGGCTACGCAGGTGTGTGGTTTGGATAGCAAATGGTCACCTGGACTGCCAAAGTGTAAATGTAAGTTATTATGTATAATCCTTTTTATTATTATTACTCTAATTAGTGGTAATGCAATTGCGATTACGTTGGTTACATTAAGTATCACCTTTAAGCTCTGATGCTGCTCCTTTTGTTAATATCTGACTTTCAAAAATGAAGATGTCCTTACTGTTCTTTTTTTAGTTGATCAGGTGAGAGAAGGTGATAGAAAAAAGTACTCATGTTCTAGGAAATCAGGAATTTGTCACCAATAGTAGAATATACACTTCTTTGCCAAGGTGTAGACAAGTGTATTTTCTTAACTGTTTTCAGACATTTTATTATAGAAGAAGTTAGAGGTTGTTAGAACCATAAACTCATTGTCAACAAGATTAATCTGCAGGTAGCGTGGATATGTTTCTTTTTTTTAAGATAGCAACGCACACATGCTGTCATTTAATTCCAAAGTAAGTCAGATACCATTTCATATTTTAAACCTGGCTGTTTACGTATAGAAAAACATATGTAAGATTCTTCAATTAATAAACTACAATACTCGTCATATGAGCAAATATAGGAAATAACAATACAAATGTACACCCTTGTACCAACTCACGCAGTGATTCCTATTTCTTACTGTATTTTAACAGTGAGCTCAACCATTGCCGCCACCACCACCCCCACCACCCCCACCACACCTCCAGCAGACAAAACAAGTAAATACAAATTGATTTCATAATTTTAAGTAGTTTGATAACTCACAATTATTTTATAAAGACAAGTTACAAAAAGGAATGTGGCCTCCACAATCTGGTAGGGGTCATAGATTTATAACTCATAGTAGTCTAATAACTCATATATAGTAACATTATCTTAGTAGGATGGGTTAAAAAAGGAATGTTGCCACCAAAGTCTCTGGTACATTGGTGTCTGTTGACAACTTGACAAAATGCTGGCATATTTACAAAAATATTTTATTTATCTTAAGCTTTCTTGATTGGAAGAGTTGGATTTTTTTTTGTGAAGTACAGTGTAACAGAGACATAAGATTTAGCCTCTCAAAGTTGAGAGTGGTCCTGGTGCAGTGGTTGGTGTTAACCTGCTTTTTAATGTGTACATTTGTTTTCATTATAGTGTCTCCTACGACAACTCCTCAACCTGGTAAGTCATTATAAGTGATTATTAAGTTTTGAGATAGCTGATAGTCAAATGTCTCTCCTCTTATATATCTTCTTTGCTTCTCTATTTCACAGACAGTGGAAACAACTTGTTCATCAAAATTGGGATTCCCATTCTGGGTAAGTGTAACTGTCGTTCACGAACAGTATAATTATTTTGTTGGTTCGGGCTGAAGTCATTACATGACATGATACACCATTCTTGGGAGTTTATTCAAGAACAGAAGGTGCTGTAAATGTTTATACCCTGGCAGGCATGTTAGTTGGGTACAACAGTGTAGCTTGACAGAAATATTAATTGGTTTGAATCTTTTCATGTAAAAAACAATATTCACCAGTGGTTATTCAGAGCAGTACCAGCATAAGGTTATGCTGACCTGTGTTATGTTCTAGTACCAAGGTATCTGAATACTGGTCAGCTGTGTTAGTACTCCTTCGACAGCTTTGTGTTAAAATGTAACAACTGTGGTTTAATGTGTTAACCACAAATATAAGAAACTAATTTTGTGACCCAAAGTTACTAACTAATAGCAAGTCTACTTATCCTTCCTCAAACATCCCCTGTGACATCCTTTTGATTTGCATCAGCTCTTCCTTAATACCAATTACAAAAGAAAGTTACAGGTGAAAGGCACCATTGACTTCTAGTGTCACAATCATTAAGTATAAATCTGTATGTCATCAAACGTTAAGCCATATACTTTTTTATAAAAGAGCACTTGGGATTTGATAGTGAGCTCCTCGGTTTTCTTCCTAGCAAACCCCGGCTAGCTGCTACACTATATATATTTTGTATACATCTGTAGGTGTATTAGGGCTATTATAGTACATTTTTTTTAACATCAATCTGTTCTGTGTGTGTGTGTGTGTGTGTGTGTGTGTCTCTAATCATAAAATGCTTTACTTGTGTATGACTTTTAGAAAATTGCATATGTAGTAGTTTTATATTTCACACATCAATTCACTACTTACAAGATTTGCATGAAAATTGCAGTCGGTGACCCTACGATGGATGGCCTTGACATTTTTGTCATTCTCACTTAAAAATAATGTTTTTTTTTTCTCACCAAGTAGTCATTGGTGTACTTGTTGCTGGAGTTTCGTGGTTTATCATGAAGAAAAAAAAACGGTAAATTGTTTCTTTTAACTGTGAAGACTCACCCTTGTTTTTGTCTTTCTAACTTATTTGTCTCTCCGTTCAATGTGGAATCTCAGAGGTGCCACAGAGGGAACACAAATTAACTTTGCAACAAATTTTGCAAATAGACACAACGTTCTGTTGTGATATAGGTTGTTAATGCCAACAAATTAACTTTTAAACAACACAATTATATTGTAACTAGGCATGAGTTCAGTTGTAGGGAATGAGATAAGATATTTCTATAATTAATACTTACAATGAATAATGTTATTTTTATAAATGTTTTCCGTTAAATTATTGTATTTCTACTTTAATTAATTTCTGTTTTCATATTACACATTAAACTGTTTTAATTTGTGCAAAGCCATGGTCCCCATTAACAATTTCTCCAAATTACCTTATGGCAAATTTGGAGAGTTTTACAAATCATTTCATAGATCTGGCAAGGACATACCTTTCCTCTTTTTCACCTCAGGGGCTCTGATCGTCTTCATGTTTGTGTGCTAAGATGTCTGCATGCCCAATATGTGTACCATTGTACATTTTTATTTTTTGGGGTGGTAGGATTATGGGGTAATTCATGTGAGCAGTTCAGTGTGTAGCACTGTTTCAAGGTCATAGTTTGGTCCAGGGGAATGAAAAGAACCAGTAGAAGGAAATGCTGCAAAAATACTCCCTTACATAAATGATATAACTGCAAACCGTAATGAAAGTTAGTTAAGAGTTAGCACAAAGCTTTTTAATTACGACATGAAATATTGGTCAATTTGTTCATTTGGACAGTATGTTTTAATTTTACCAAATTGAACACAACATCCACAGGAGCCCAGTAAAGAAGGGAATGGTGATGTGTCGTAGCTGTGTTTCTTTGTTTTTTTAGAATAGAATTGTTTATTTTCAAAACTTTCATACCCTTCAACTCTAGTTGAACCTTTTTATCCTCAATAATTTAGTTGAAATTTCGCTCACTCAAAAAATCGATTCCAATCAAATAAGTTGATACTAAGATTTAAACAATACAGAGAAGCTTAGCAACTTAATTGTAATTTCTCAGCCTGGGATCAATCAAGTAAATCTGTATATCTGACCTTTATTTTCTTTAACATAGTGCAAAATGGTTCGTTCTCTGACCCTAGATTTATCCAGGATACACTACCCACCAATACACTCAGAGCAACAACGTTGCTTTCAAGATCATAGAAACTTTGTTTTGTCTAAAGAATTGCTGCGATTGTGTGTAGTTTTGGTCTGTAGTCTCATGGGTAAAAAGGGCTTTTTTTCTCTTCTTTAAATAAGAATTGTGGTTATTTAAAAAAAGTAGCTTTTTTATTAGAGGTTCTCAGTTACTTTCATTATGAATTATTAAAAGGATATATGATCCAACACAGCTGAAGTTTTGTTCTGTTGGTTAACAAACAAGTGTAAAATGTGCCTGGATTTGTATTAGACGTGCAACAAAAAAACATCCATTCATCATCCAAACAACATTCCCATTTAAACCGATTTAACAACGGTTAATAATCTGGTCCTGACCTGGTTGTTAACTGTTTTTATTTATTTTGTACAAAAGACTCTGACTCTTTTGAACATTATTTTAATTTCTCTGTAAAAACAAAAACAGTCATATAGTTTGGCTACACCGGGATAACACGTGAAGTAACAGATATAGACCGGATTAAGAATTAAAGCCGTGCATGAAAGGACCATCTATAAAGCCAGAAGGGATATGTCTGTGAAATAGTCCTAACTTGGAGTTTCAGTTTACATATATTTACATATATACAATTTTAGCTAACCACAAAATGCAACAATGTTGTTCTCTTTTAACATAGTAAAACCATCTTGACTAAACATGCGTTAGCTAAGTTCTGCTTTATTGCAGTACAATGTTCAGTTTTAGTTAAGACAGGAAGCTGTCTGCTTAGCGTGCAAAAAGCTTTTAAAAGCATCATCTGTCGATCATCTTGAATTACAAGAAGCCAAAGCATTGTTGACAACCAGGCTCACAACTCGTGCTGTGTTGAATTATACAGTTTGTCCTCTTGTGTTTTGTAATGACAGTGCCAGGAAACCTCTATTAACAAAGCAGTGTGTCAGTGTCATCTTCTTATCTGCTTGAAACTTTCTGTTTACATGGTCACACATGAGCAGTTATGTTAAACAGTCATTATTGGATTACAGCTCTGGGAGAAGCCTCTCTGACCAGAACGCTACAAAAGATGAAGTTGTTGCTCTATCGGTAAGCGGATGGACCATTGGTGGTTTTCGTAGTTAAGAGAAGTCCTTGAATGTATATATTTTGAATTTATTTGCACACTATCTATGGACCATTTACAATGTATTTCTCGGTGAAAGGGGCGCACACAGAAAAAGGCCACACCTTCCAATAGGTTAGGAGACACTGTCCTCTGTTGGGTGTTTTTGAAAAGCTCTTCAAAAAGATTGTAGAGACCAAAAGCTTCCTATAGAAAGTAACAATGTATACAAATAGTATGTACAAAGGTATGGAGATAGTGCCAAAAATCACAGTTTCCTGATTTTATCTGCGTTCTTTTTTTTTGTAAGTAGGCGAGGGTTGGGGTCAGATGAAGGCCCAGCTTCATGTCCATCTAGAACTGGATTTGAAGTGTTTCTTCTAAAAAAAAAAAAATGTCATATCTAAAATCAGTAGAAGGAAGAAAAACCAGCTGTAGTGCAAATCTTATGGGAGAAGAAATTTTAGTGGGAAGGAAGGAAGGAAGGAGAAGAAATTTTAGTGGGAAGGAAGGAAAAAAAAGAATAGAAAAAGTGAACTCCCTGTCATTGTGACACACACCACTGTACACAATGGAACGTGACCTCTGCATTTAACCCTATTACCCAAGTGAACAGTGGGCAGCTTTTTAAGCGCCCGGGGAGCAGTGTGTGGGGACAGTGGAGTGCTCAGAGCACCTCAGTGGTAACTTGGCAGCTGGTGGATTCGCACCTGCAACCTTCCGGACCCAAATCCGCTTCCTTAACCACTAAGCCACAACTGCCCTAAACATGAACTAATCACTCCTTAGTCTATAATTATTGTAGGGCCGGTTGTTAATGGAAGATTGTATAGATCAGGGGTTCCTAAACCCCCGGTCCACGGACCACTGTCAGTCCATAGGTCATTTGGTAACGGGCCACAGTGGGACATAGTGAAAAACTTGACTAAATTGTTTTTCTTAATTTACTTCATTCAAAGAAAATCCCATCCATATCCATTTGCTTTCTTCATTTAAAGATATTCTGGCAATATTTTAAAATAAGAGGTCATTCAGACTCCGATACAAACGAAATAGAAGTCTAAAAGATGTTTGTTTTTGTTTTTTTTAAATGTAATGATCCTTCAATGCTGTAATGATCCTTCAATGATCCTTCAATGCTCAGCACCTTGGTACCAGTCTGTACTGGCTGACCAGTCCTTGGAACAAAAAAGGTTGGGCACCGCTGGTAGAGATGTAACTACTCCATAACAGACTAATGCATGCTTCTGCAATTGATTATTATTTGATTGATTATAAAAACTTAATTTCTTTAACTACATATTTGTTGTCACTGTTTATTAGTCTTGAATCTTTAGGGCATATTAACTGAATAGTAATTAGAGACATACAGATTGTATACTTCAGTGCTGGTTCATTTAAAGAAAATTCCACCTAAGATATTGCTGCTTGATAGGGTCCGTCTTTTCCCCAACGTTTGTCTTTGGGGTTCAGGATACTTTAGAGGTAGGGTCTTGAAATAAAGTCTGTCGGAGTGAATGTATTAATGGTCAATTGCCTCTGTTCTAGCTACACCAGCTGGGATTGACTCCAGATCTCCTCTCACCTTTGACAGTTATGGGTGTACAGATAATGGATATTTATGTATAGTATTTTTGTGTTAAATTCCTAGGGTCTGCTGGGCTCCTAACCGGTCACATTGTCAGAAGCCAGTGTTGCATTTTCTTTTCATAATTCTTTGAATGAATTTTGTAAAAACATTTTTACTTCCTTCACAGGCTCTGAAAGCTTTTGTGTATATTTTAAGATATCATGTCTAATTTAACTTTTGCTTTCTCTTTTCTTTGCAGTAAGCATCACAGTGTTGTTGGTCCAGTCTTGCCAGATTTAAAAAAAGAATTTAAAGGAATGTCGCAGAACGCTGACACATGTGGGCAGAATGGTCAAATGCTGTTCCGTGATTCAGGAACTTCTTGAAAACAACCTCAATTCCCTGCATAAGGTTTTGATTCACAATGTTTCTTATGTTGTTGGAACATTTGTAATTACTAATGACGCTTTTTATTTTCATTCAGTCGAGCCTGCTCCACACTATCTGTTTAATTTTTTAATCATGAAGGAATGCAATATGATGTTCATCCAGAATTGCTTTGGTTCAAGCACTAGATTCAGTCCAGTACTTCAGCCACAGCAGCTTCAAGGTCTGACTTGAAGTTGTTTTCATAGTTGAGCTAAAGTTTTAGAACTGGTTTAGCTGGTGTTGAAAGTCGCACTACTGGAAATAACTGTGATATTTAGTTTAAATCTTGCACTGTGTATACCAAATATATTGGAGACAAATTGGTTAAAAAAAGAACTTAGAAACAGTAGCCTTTGCTAATAGACTGAAGTTTTTCAAAGCTGGATCAGTGCCAGACGGGAGGAATGATTCATGATGTGGATATATTGTTTTGAAAGTCTTAGGCTGGATGACTTTGTGAAATGTGAGAAGATGAACCCATTGATTAAGAAGTGTTTTTCAAAAGTGCTTAATGGTGGTTTATGTACAGTTAATGGAGTTTTTGTATATGAAGATTGGCACAGAAAAAATTAATTTGGCTTCAAAGTCTTCTCTAAAAATTTAAATCCTTCCTATAATAGTAAGTTGTGTATTTTTGTGGAATTTTCTGCTCTGCTTTTTCTATGTATTTATTAATATCTGGTTCATCAGATCGTAGTTTATAAAAAAAAAAAACCTGTGGCATGACTGCGCCACTCTAATGACAAAGTCAGCAGTTAGAATTGTGTTATTTCTTTTTCTTTAAGCTTCTGTTATGGCCACATTTGTGATTGGCAAAATAAAAAACAATCTAAAATAAAACCTTTTTCTTGTGATAAATCCCAAACAACATCAGCATCATTTCTTCTGGTTACACTGCCACAAACTTTAGAGGTTTTGCCCAAACAAACCAAACTTCTCTGAGTGTAAACTGGGTATTTCACATATGGTGAAATCAAACCGTAGATTCAAGATGTCAGACTTTTTTGAACAACCACAATGGAGGAAATATTGAGGACGTTAGACATGGTGGTGAAATCCATGAGACCCCTAATGCTTGTGTTTGTACAACTTGAAGATGTCAAGCAGTACCATCAGCTCAGAACACATCCCTCATTACTCTCTTCAAACAAGTAGCTACTCAGTGGTACTTGCTAATTCCCTGGGATAGCCTCCATTTTTTATTATTGAGTTCTTCATTTTCATATTATGTTTCTTATTTATTTATAGCCTGTTCTTTTTCAATTGTTATACATTGCTCTTTGTTAATAACGTAACTTTGAGTTCCCAGGTGAGCCAATGGGTGCTGTCCAACATCAAGGTTTTTGGTTTTCTTTGGAAGATCCCTTTGCACAAATTGCACGCACACTTTGCGTAAATAAATACCAGCACTAATCTTCATTCAGATGTAAATAGGAAAAATTAGATGTCAGTAAATTACACACAGATGGCTTCATCATGACCGACCTGAGTCAATGTTTAACTTGGCACACCTTTGAAGGCAGTTTTGGTAAAATAAAAGACAGCAGTAATAATTGAACTTGATCCTGATCAGTTATGTTGGATTGTCTTATGTGAGATTCAAGGCTATGGCTGAGATAGTGCATGAAAATATGTAACATATTGAACATAAAGTTGTTTTTTTTAAATAACCTTTTTTGTCTAATCTGAGTGTATGGTAATGAATAAAACGTCAAAATCAATTCACTTAAACCTTTAATAAAACACAACATAGAATAGTCTTTGTCATCGTAACATCAATGCACTGTATACATTTTCACTATTTTAAGCTTCAAACCACTGCGACTAAGTTGAATTGAAGGCAGTCACGTGAATTGAACTGCTCAGCTGCAAAATCCACCTAGAGATAAGTCGAGATCTGTCCTTCACTGTAACCGATTTCAAATGGTGCTAGAAACAAAAGCAGACTCTGAACACCAAAAGAAATCAGTCAACCTTGGATATAGGACAAGAGCATCACTGTAGGTCGTTGTCGTTGTTGTGTCGGCCACTGGGTGGCGCCTCTGGGGCACTCCAGAAGTAGGGACAGCTCTCACCACAGTCACCATCACTGACGCTCCAAAGTAGCCCAGCTTGGCACAGTGAAAGACTTCCCTCCCCAAGAACACTGATTTCAAATGGTGCTAGATGGATGACAGTACTCTAAGCCACCATCTGAAACCAGCTTCCAAGGGGGGCCATTCTGACAAACACTTCACCCGTGGCACTACCATCGTCAGTAGACAATAAAGTAATCCTTAGTTAAAAATTAAAATGACAAGTGAACACGTGAGAAAACACTGATTCTCTTCTAGAGAAAAAGCAATAAACATGCAGGTCAAGTGCTACTCTTACAGTTCCTCACTAATCATTTAAGATTATTGATGTGAACTCCATGTTTGAGCTACATGGGGGGAGAAGTGGTTTTTGCTCTTGCCTTACAGTGAAAGGTTAAGCAGTATGCTGGTTAAATTCCTGGTTTTTCTGTTCAGAGTTTCTCTGTGGTTTCCTTTTACAGTCAAAAACATGTAGGTTGAGAATTAGGTTAAATGTTTACTCTGTGTAATGTGTGAATGGTTGGTTCAATATGTGGCACTTTGACAGACGGGCAGGCTGTCCAGCGTTTTAGGCTTGGCTACAGGTTCCCCCCCGGGACCTTGAAAAAGGCAAAGTTGTGGAAGATGAATGATAAGACAACAGGCATCAAAAGGACATTCTCGTCTGTAAACCATTTATACTTGGTTTGGGACAAACATTTGAAATGCGGATCCATTTTTTCGGCTCAGACGGTTGCTTCCACAAATGCCTACAACACAAACAAAAAAAGAAATGTTAGCTGTAGATCAAACAATACATTTATCCTCGACTGATGTCATCGCATCATGGAACTAGAAGTCACTCCCCCATCGACACTCAAACACCAAAAAAAAAAGCAGAGAGGAAAGGAGGTGAGGATGAAGAAAACCACAAAGAAAAGCACCAGAACAAATCACTCTTGTTTTCTCTAACACGCCCACTCGCCTCTGATACTTGATCCATGCAATGTGAATGCGCGAAGAGACCGAGAGAGATGAACAAACACACACCAAACACCGTCGCCGTGCATCTCCAGCACACACCCATACCTGCAGCTGTACCACTGCACTGTATTCCACCAGTCCAATTGTCTCTGTCGCCTGGTAGGATGTTGGACGTGACAGTGCTTTCATCTTTCATCTTTCTTCTTCTTCTTCTTCTATCCCCTACATTTAAAAAGGAAGCAGGGAAGTGGCAGTCAGACGCTGGCATCGAGGGCCATGATGCAGACACGTAGCAACAATACACTCAGAGGGTGCGGCAACAGCAGGTAGTGGCCAGTTCCTAGACTGAATGCCAAAACCTGATGCCAATGCCAAGCACAAAACTACCACACTGTCTCCGGTGGCATTTACGTATTGACTAATACTTTTCAATTGAACTCTTTGCTAATTTGATTTTTGATTTTTAAAATCTCCGCCGCAGATTGTTCTTTCAAACCCACATTGCTCCAGAACACATGCGCCTACACACAGTCTGCCTCAGTGTCTCCACCTTTTGCAGCAACAACTCCTACAAATACAACTTTTATGAACCAAAGACATAGAGAACTGACTAAAGGAGTACAGCACAGAGCACCGTCAAATATCAGTGTTGTTTTAATTTGACTTCATTTGTAGTAAAAGGAATGAACAAACTCCCAGTGGTTTTACTGGTTCACTCTGTGATGAGGGTGGTTGTTTGTTGCGGTGTGTAAATGTTTGCATGGTAGCCACCGTGACCTTTTTTATATATAAATAAAAGAGCCGGTCTTTCTGTAGGTGTCCGGTTCCCTCTGCTTGGCCGGCTCACAACAACCCTGACGATTTTTTTTTTTTTTGTAGGTTGGTTGTTGCTTGTGTGACACTGGACGTGTTGTGTAATGCTTATGAAAGATTTTAAAGAGACAGGAGGTCTTTGAAGTGTGGAAATGTGGAGCACAAGGGATGAAACTAGACTCTTTAAAAAAAACTGAAATGTGTTAATTAAAAAAAAAATTTTGTACATAGAAATGAAAAAACAAAACAACACTGACAAAAATCAACTTCCTAACAACAAATCAACATTATTAAGAAACATTTCTGAAAAAGATAATTTGCCAGCTCACCTGTATGTTTTAATAAGTTTAAGAGTTTTTTTTTTTGTTAAATAATTCATCAGCTCAAAGGGAAGTTAAAGTCTGTTGTACGACATCCTCATGGCCTACGCAGGCTGACAGAATAGAGAAGGAAGTCATTACCTATTCATAAGGAGTGACCCTTGGTAATGCTGAGGTGACTATGTTTTCAGCACTTATGCGAAAAATCATCTTTAAAATCAATTTACAGAATAAATAGTAATATGCCCACTTTGTTATAAATTTGTTAACCTGTCAGCAACTTTAGCTTTTAGGAGTAAGAAAGAAAGAGAGAGAGAGAGAGGCAGAAAAAGAGTAAAGAGAGAGAGAGAAGCTTAGTGTAGAAGAAGGAGCTGCAATGCAGACCGGGGCAGCCACACACATTCTTGCATCATCTCGGAGAGCTTGCATCTCATGGATACTGGGCTTAATTCGGCGTGAACGTGAGAATATCTCAGGAAAAAGAAAATTAACGTCTTAGGGGAATTACAGGCAGCCAACCTTATATACCACACAGCAAGCAGCTTTTTTTTTTTTTTCAAAGCCAGAGCGCACAGTCAACAGGAAGGCCTTGGCAACACTTGTGTTAGCCACGCAGTTTCCTCTTGTCTCTAAAAAAGACTAATACATCGCTGTGAACCCGGAGGGTTGGTCATTTAGAAACGACAGTACCTTTGTTGACATACCTTTAATCACCCGGGGACACTTTTCATTTCTTTAAGGCAGGAAAACTCCTATAACGCTGTACAGTTAGACAAGGTGGCGTAGGTTTAGCCAAGCACTTTCTGAGCCACACAGAGACCAAGCCAGACAATCTTTTTATCCATCCAGATGGATAAAAAGGTGGTTGGGGCGTTGGTGGCAAATTTTGTTTGCAGCAGCAGTTTTGGAGACGTCAGTGCAGCATGATGTAGTGTTTGAGCGCTGAATTTGAACTGACCACTGTGATTGGTGTGTGGATTACCACAGGCTAATCAGCTGATATTCATCCTGTTTTGTTTTTTTTTTTAAACACATGACTTAAGCACAAATTCACACAGATCTGGAATTTTTTTTTTTTTTAAATCTCTGTAAGTTCTTAACAAATATTTTGTTATCATCAATACATTTAAGCTACTGTGGATAACTTAACATGGAATATTTTGTAAAAAAACTTTAAGCTACTGTGGATAACTTAACATGAAATATTTTGTAAAAAAAGCAAAAACAGCTAATTCCCAAACCACAATATTATTGCAAATTATTTCTTTCACTTTTGGGAGTTCACATGAGTTCATAAATGTAATGTGTAGTACTGTCATAATATCCACAGTACTTGTGTTAACCATATGCATTTCATCTCATTAACAGACAGGATCTAAGGAGCAGTGTTCCATCAAGCCTTTGCTCTAAACGGCCAACCAACCAGATATTACTCTGCTACTGCTCACTTGCTCTCAGCCAATCAAGTGCTGCTATGCAGCTTGTGCAGCCAGGGGAGCTCCTCCCATCCAATTAGAATCCAGCTCTGGTGAGATGGCCTATGATTCTGCAGCTTTAGGAAGTCCAGTGCATGTGAACTGGAAAGATGCCAAAGCAAAGTCACCAAGAGAGCAAGGTAAACAACTTCCCTCTGTCTCTCTCCCTCCTACTCTCCCCACAGCTTTGGTTTCTTCCTCTCTTCCTCTCCTGTTTTCCTCTGATCCTCACATCATTTCCTTTCCACCTGCTCCCTACTCATGGAGAGACAAATGAATAGACAGAGAAAAAAAAAGATTCAAGCTGCTGCGTACTGGTTGTGGACAAGTGCAGGCCAGAAATGACTGCGTCACAATCTCTGCCCCTGTTTCTCACAGATACAAAATCATGCTAAAGCTAAGTGGCTACGGAGGCGTAAGCATGGATCACATGGGCTAGCAGCGTGAAAAAAAAACCCACCAGCTGTAGAAACAGAACTGATTGGTCGTCAGATTACACACAGGTTAGGCAAATCCCTAAACCATATTTTTTTGCCACCGCAAAAAGCTTGTCCCTCGTCTTACCTCTGCGTTCTGTCGAGACGACAACAAGTAGTTGTTTGACCAGAACACACACACACACACACACACACGTAGAACGTGTACAAATGGCCTCCTTTTTCAACAAGCGACTTCTGCAATTTCATTTGATGCTTAATGCACGATGGGATTCTGTGCTGGCAGCAGTTACATCAGTACATATATTTTAATATTGTTGTGTGTTTCACAAATAAAAAAAACCTCGTTTCCCAGAATCCTCTGACACACTGCTTTGCTTGTATTACCGTATTTTAACAAGCACATTAACCTTTTCCCCTCGTGATGAAACGTACAATAGAAGCGTAGATCGAATACCACAGTAATTCTTAGCAAAACATTCCTGGTCGAGCTCCGCTCCGGTGTTAGGAATCCATTTTTTCATTTAACACGTTTGTCGCAGCACAGCCCAGCCAGCACTCACACCTAAGTACACTAACACAACAAGGGGAACTGTGCCATCTCCAGCATCCATGTTGCAACTAGCTCACAGGGAACTACACAGCACACACACACACACATATGCACACACATATGCACAGATTGTGTAGCGATAGGCAGAACATATATAAAAACTACCAAGGAGGAAGAGGAGGAGGAGGAGGAGGAGGAAGAAGCCATGGTTGTCCGAAATCATTGTGTCCACTTGAGGTGGGGAAACTCGAAGACTCTGGACTTCTGCTATCTCAGCTTGTGTTTCTCCAACATGAAAAAGTGACGTAGCAACTAATACAATGTCTCTCTCTCTCTCTCTCTCTCTCTCACTCACTCACTCACTTGTTCTCCCTCCCCTGTCCCCCTCTCTGCTTACCTCTCAAACACATGCACTATTTTCATCCTGATGCAACAGCAGAACTGCTATTAGAGTGCCACTCGAAAAAAAAAAAACCATCGCATACACAGGACCCGAAACAGAAGAGACCCTACACAAATGCATACGTCTGTGCGCGTGCACGCACGGTTCACGCACACGCGGATGATCACACCATTCCTCTTCCTGAGTGTGACGCAGCACTTAATTCTCTGCGCTTCTAGCCACTGTTGTGGCTACACAACGCTGCTTCTTGAGCAGGGCTCGGCCAGAAACACACTTGCTAGCTGTCACACAAGGCGAGTCAGCATGAGCAGACCACTCGTAAAGGGACCCTGCCTCCCTGCCTCCCTCTCCCCCTCTCTGTTGTGTTGCCATTTCCCCACATGTTTCTGTCTTAACTGGGTCTCTCTCTCTGGCTCTCTGGCACTCTCCTCTCTGCTACAGACACACACTCTTGTGAGGCTGAGCTGACTTAGCCTCACAGATCACCTGACAACCCACTGCTTTTAAAGGCACATCACCAGCTTCTGTATCACTTCCACGAGCACTCAACTGGCGACTGTAAGCTCAGAAATCGAATGGGGGAAGAAAGAAACGCCGTTATGATTCTGCATTTAAACACAGCTATCGCCTGCCTTTCCGTCTACGTTTGTACGACACACATGTTGTTGCCCAAAAAAACAACAGCGATTTTCAGCAATAAGCTGCGTTCTTTTTCCCTGGCCCACTGAAAAGAAACACTGAGTTCTGAGGTGAATAACCATGAACAGGTCGACCACATGTACTTCCTGTCTTACTTCTCGTCGTTTAGATTATTGAAGTAATCCAGAAGTTAAAAGGCATTTATATTTTTCTTTCACACCTATTTAAAAAAAAACTTTTTTTTGTTTTAATCAAACATACACAACTTGTTAGATGAAAATAGAAAAACTACTGTATCTTTAACTGAACTGTAAAACTGTCTGTTTTGTTCAAGTCAAGCATTAGCAGAGTTCATTTTAGGAACTGGATGTTTGCTATTTTACATATTTCCTCACATACCTTCATCAGATGGTTGATCTAGTTTAATGTGCACTGAAAGATAAAAGAAAGAGAACATATTTTTGAGATAATGCACTTACATATTCAAATGGCCTGTCTTTATAAAATTATCCCTTTTGGGGTAAACTGAAACTTCAAAATAATACGAGTGATGGCACAACATCAGAAAGAAACAGAAAGCCAAAAAAACCTCTTTGGTAATGGAGAGTTCAATGGTCGGTAAAACTTGACAGATGTTGTGATGTTAGAGCCCACTGACAAAGAACGACGGCAGTAATTAAATTCCTTAACTACTTTACAAACCTTTGCCTGTTTCCTATTTAGCTGTTGTTATTTATTGTGTTTCTAACCAACCTTTAACAAGTTAAGACTTTAAAGCAAACACAGTCAAGTGTGTTATTAATTATTATTAGTTATTAATTATTACAATTCTGGTCAGTCAGTAACTATCCTCTGTCTGTTTACTGCCACGTGAAATGTATAACCTACAAATAAGGAGCATTTCCTATTTTTTCATGCTGACTGTACGAGTGTTAATATACTTATTATTAATATGCTATATTTTAAATTGATGTAGTATTATATGAATTCTGTTGATGTTTTTCCTTAAAATTAAAATTGAGGATTTGCGGTATATTATATGAATTCTGTTGATGTTTTTCTTTAAAATTAAAATTGAGGATTTTTTTTTCCTTCTCTTCTGTCAATGTCTCGTTTACTCTTGTCTGATGCCTGACATTTTTAATTTTCTGTTGATAACAGGACTGATGTTGAATGGTCTGCCTGACCAGAATTCAGGGACGCCTCCATTTCAAGGACAGTTCGCCAGAACTTTCTTCCCTGTGAGTAAAGTCTTTTTTGATTGTTATTTCTGTCACTGGTCAAAATTGGCGCAAAAGTTAGAAAAAAAAGTTCAGAAATAAAATGTCTCGTTCTTGGGTATAAGTATATACAATAGTGCTGACCACCTAATCTCCTTTACATCTCCTTAAAATGACAAAAGTTAAAAAAAATGTTTTAGTTTTTCTTTTGTTATAGTGGTAAAACACAACTCCACATTTAACAGGTGTCATTATCAAAACTTCAACTTTTATTCATCCAAGAACACATGGATAATGTTTATGACAAATAAAGAAAAACGTCGGCTTGGCCTCAGGAGCTGGCGTGCAGTCAACAATCTTCCAAAGATATTCCCTTTGCTGCAGTGCAGTATGGGCAACTGCTTTAACCGGAGTTTTACATAGGATAACCCGGAGGCTTAGTTCAGTCACTGAGGCACACACACACCATCCCAGTGTTTTGATGTCCGACCGTTTACATCATTCTCCAGTTACACGTCTAGTGTTTCAGCAACTATTTCACGTGGCTGTAAATTTTTTCCTAGCTAAAGCAGTTGTAGCTTGTGTGACGTTTGAATTCCCCACTGGAGTCAGAGAATACAAAGCTCACAGCTTCATCTTACAGGAGTCAGAAAGGAGAGTAGTGTCAGAAGACTCGGCTTTCACCCCGGAGCTGGATGGGAAATGTAAGGGATCTGTTGGATCAAAGTATGTTTGCTCTGAGCACATGGGCAGATGCTGAGAGTATTGATCGGAGGATTGAGATTTATCATTTTCAGTCTGAACATTGCAGCCTATTTAAGAGAACTGATGGCTGATTTGACATTTAATATTGAGTTACTACGCATGATAATGTACACATCGAGGGCCTGTTCTCTTGAAGTGACGTGGATGACCAATCAACTGGACCAGGGAAGTTTTCCTGTGGGTTGTGTTTATGCTGACTGTGTGACACGCTACAGCGTTAGCATCCGTAGTTTATGCTTCTCACTGAGCGGGAAGTGAGTCCATTTTAGCCTTGTCATCTATCAAGCCCTTCCTAAACTTTAACCTTCACGTCATCATCATCATTAAAGCAAAAAGGAAAAGTAGTATTTTCTGAAACTCAGTACAGTAATAACATGAAAAATTACCTGATTTGCAGTTAATCTCTCTCTCTCTCTCTCTCTTGAATCCTCTGTGATGAAAACTGGCGTCCGACGGTCACTGCATGGCCTGAGAAGATCGCAGACATGTCACACATATCAGACGGTGAATATGACTTTTTCAACCTCCTCACATCACGAAATGACCTTTGCACAGACATTCACTCTGCTGACACACTGCTGGGTAACTGTAAAACATTATAACAGTAGTAGGGTGTGTGTGTGTGTGTGTGTGTGTCTGTCTCCCACTATTGGCCTACGTATGACTGTGGAGTGGTGGTCACACCCTACACCTTAATACAGGCCAACGTGCCACTGGTCATCAGTTATACATCAGCATCTGGACGTTAATGCAAGTGAATACTGTGAAGTTGTTTCATTATCTTTAACACAAAGCGTTGGTAAAGTAGATTAAAGTTCACAACGACTTCTTCAAAGTGACTAATTAATACATGGAAGGCGGGACAGTTACAGCTCTCTTACCTGCGTCTTTTTTCTTTTCTTCATTTTTTAGTTTTCTTTGCGATACGATTTGTTCCCAGAGGTCACAGAACTGACGGGGAACTTGCTGTTCTCTTCTGCTTTTTATTTTAAAGAATGGTCAGAATATCAGTTGGAGTCAGTTTGGGGTTTAGGTTTCGTTACTCGTCAGACACAACAAATGGGACTCTCAGTTCTCAGGTCAGCCCGGTTCCTGGAATGACAAAACTCATTCACTGACTCATTTGGTAACGACGTGCTGCGACCTCACTGTATGCTGTTGCATCAATGCTGCCCAGTCAGAAATCTGACTCATTCCCACAACGATGTTTCTGATACTCCATGTTCAGCACAAGCTGTAACGACACTCTTGCACAATCACGCCACTCTGCGTTCAGTGGGAGTATAACTTTTGGGGCTTTGTTTACATCAGGAATAAAAAGTGCGTATGACATACAGTAGAAACCTCTGGATAGATGGAACTGAGTCAGGGTGCCGCTGGCACAGGGGCGTAAATAAAGGAAGAAAGATCATCATAAAACCAGAATCTACATCTTTGAAATGCTTTGAAAAACCAACTCACTGTAGGACGCGAGAAAGAGTCTTATATAATTTAAAATGTAGCTAATTACTGCTACACAACAGCCGTGGAAGTGTGACGAACATAAAAACAATTTGCATCATCTTATACAACACAACACGCTGGTAATATTTAACACGTGATTAGCTTGAACGGTAACGTACACAACATTTACTCACAGTTACAATCGCATTATATGACACATTGCTTCACGATAAAAAAACAACAACCAGAAAATCGTTTTCTGAAAAACACAGAAACACAATATCGATACTAATTTTTAATTTCCTAAGAGTCGTTTCCCAATACTACCCCATCACTCAAACACAACTTTTGATCCTGATGCTGGGCATATTTTTTTTTTGTACGTAGATTTACATCGCGAGCTCCATGTATATTTTTAAAATGAATCATTAGCAATAAAACAAGTTCAACGCATCCCGACGTAGGAAACAAACAACTTCTACCTGACAAATAACCCCTTACACAATACCGCATGGATGAAGACGCCGCTCACTCCAGAGGTAAAATGAAGTGCGCAACATCCTCCTGCAGCAAACCTCCAGTACACCTCTCCATCCCACCCTCTCTCTCTCCCTCGCGCGCTCCCTCTCTCACCCTCGCCTCCTCCCCCTCTCACTTTTCCTCTGTGTATTTGTGGTTCTCAAGAACAGGAGCCTCAAATCCCGCACCGACATGTTTTATAAGGAAACAGCTGAGCGCAAACACCTCGCTTATTTCCGGGTACGGCTGGAAACTGCGCAGCACATCTTAACAGTCAAATCACAGTCGTGCGAAATTCTCATTGGCCTAAAAAATAAGACTGGGCCCATGAGCGGCTCTGGGAGGATCGATTGATCTAACAAGTCAAGTCCAAAAAAGTGTAACCTGACGGAAAATACACGCAGAAAAACATTAGGACAGAAGTGCGTCACTGAACGTTGACCAAAGAAAAAAAAAGAAGCGCAATGCGCAACACGGATGCACCATAGCCTGAACCCGTACAGATGATGACACATGATTATGATGGTAATGGTGATAATGATGGTGATATAAGGTTCACGGGAGCAAGAAAGTGGATGTAGATAGTTTCACTTGTCAGGAGGGGGCGGAGGGAGAGGAGAGCTTACTCACCGCCTCTTGCGCAACAACACATCCGGTCTCTTCACTGTGACCGCTCCGCCGCTGCTGCCTCTGTAACCATCATCCTACTGCCTATTATCGAATCCACACTTGCCCCCTTTATGAGAAGCCTCGTCCAACGACATTTTCTCAGCAACACAGGTCGACCACGCCCACTCGCACACACCCCCGTTTGCTGATTGGACGTTGCTCCCAAGTGCGTCGACAGAATCACATGCTTTTGACGCATGTTTACAAACAGCCACAGAGAAACACATATAACATATAACATACGTACATAGACGACCTGTGAGTGATAAATACATTTTCACCTTTAGTTTTGTCTCAACCCATGATCAGTAAACATCTGACACGATTCAAGGTTTTTTATTTATTTAATGGTTTATTACAATATGGTACAGGAATTCAAGAAAGAAAAATCAGTTATTCTGAGTCAAAGTGGGGCCTTTGGACAGACCATAGTGCTTTTTCATCTGTTAGTTTTTATATTTATTGATTAGAGGTGAAACGTTTAACCTTTTTATTCCACTTATAAACCCAGTCACACTTCCCATTTGGCTAATATGTCTTGGACAGAGTTAGATTCAAAGTATTCTTTTTTTTATATTAATAAACAGATCATTTCCAGCGTGTATCTTTATATTTATAATATATTGATAAAACAGCATGCTAAAATGCTAGGGATATATTTTTTATTTATTGTCAAGACCAAGAAAAAAAGAATCTTTACTTTCATGAAGTCATTACGTCTGCATTTAAGTAGAATGATGACAGAGCTGCTTTCTCTACTTCTACGTAGGCAGTACAGCATGTTGTGTTGGTCTACCCTGCGCTCTAGTGGCCAGAAAGGTTCACAACAGTTTAAAAACATGTGCACTAAAGAGAAGCTAGATCTAATACAGAGAGGGGGAAAACAACAACGAAGAAAAAGGTAATACTACAAATATTTACTACAGTGTTTCCGCGGTGTTGTCACGATAATCTGACTGAGTCTGGTTTCGTAGTTGTGTTAAATATGCACGAAAATCCCGTTGGATTAATCAGTGTAATGCCGGACAGCTGGAGACTGTGTGGGTGAGATGGCGTACCGGATACAGAAGATCAGTGAATGTTTTTCAAATAAGAGGAACGGAGAAAGCATAGGAGATAAAAGTTCTGTGATCGTGGAAACTTTAGTTGCAAAGATTGGTGAACATGCCACAAATCACTGCAGGACATTCCCTGTAGTTCAGCGGTTTTTTCCCCTAACGTTATTATGTAGCTCCTATTTTGTGGGGGGAAAAAACTAATTTTATTAATAAAAGTATATATTGCATCAGTATATTTCGCGCTGCCCTTCAATTCTGCTGTTTTTATTTTTCTTTGTTTTTGCCCATCATCTTGTTCCAGAAAATGCACAGCAGGGGACGCTCTAGCACAACAATTTCTATATTTTGTCTTCGTTTCAATGCGCGTCACAATGCATTATGTCACTGTTGTGCACTCAGCCGTTCCCATGTTGTTATTTAGTGGTTGTTGATGTTGATCACGTGCCAAAAGTCAAGCTGTGTACAGCTAAGATGAATACTGTGTTACACACCTCCACAACAAAAGACCTGTTAAAGTGTTGTGTGGCGTTGTTTTGTAACTTGCCTGCTACACTACAGTCAGCTTGTATAAATTATTACTGCATTGCAATCAACTGCATGGCTTTTCACTACAGTTTACTACAGGGTGTGATGCATCTTTGCACAGTTGCATCACTGGAAAAGGGAGATGATGCTTTCCAGATTGTTTCCTACAGCAGATGTTGGTGATAGACAATGGCAACAAGGAGTGCAGTAACAGACAGGATATCCATTTAAGTTTCCCATGTTGTTTGTTGCTTAGGTGTCTATGGAGACAAGATATTAAAATCAGGTTTTTTTTAAAGGCATTTTTGATTTTTCTCTCTCGATGCGGTAGTCACTCTGCCAAATTAGGAAACTTTTTGAAAGCACACCATAGAGCAAAACCCCTCACTAATCCCCGGGCAACAGTTTAACGTTGGTATACAACACAAACTAACACGCTTATATTTTCTCACTGCAAAGAGTCGTCTGTAAATTGTTCAAATAAATTCAAATGGCCTTTTGGCACGTTGGTCTGATGGGAGAATAACATGTGTCTGGTCACTCCCTTATGTGTGCACATAAGTCAGCGGGGCCCCATATTTGTCTTACAGAGGGCCCCACCCTTAATATGGATCCCAGCTTTGAAAGTGCATAGTACATTTCCCTGGATGCATGTTTTTTTTCTTCCTCTCAAGTATGTGAAAGTGTATTAAATTTCTCCCCAGTTATCACACACTTTGGATTTTGACAGAAAGTCAGTGAGAGAGGGGGTGGGGGACACAGATCATCATCTGAATGCATGGAAGGGTGTTGCATGAGAAAAAAAGAAAAGTTAAATGGATTTCGTATCTTATAATTTGAATTGAGTGATTGTTGCGCTCTTTAGAGACAGTCGAAAGACGGAGAGACAGTTGTCAAAATAAATTTTAATGGTGGGATCATGTACAAAAATGAACCCTCATTACAAGTTGAATGACGACTGCTAATTTCATTACATATTCATTTCCTCATCTTTCATCTTGATATTTTGGAGTTGTGTGTTTAGAGAAAACAGTCATGAAGAGAATATGCCAAGGAGTAGAGGTAGACCTGCGGCAGTAGAATAACAAGGAAGTTGAAAGGAAAGATTTATAAAGCAGTGAGTGAGACCTGCTGTGATGTATGGTTTAGAGGCCCAGCCTTTTGTCTAACAGTCTAACAAGCAGGGTCGGAGGAGATGAAGATGCTGAGGTCTTCACTGGGAGTGACCAGGATGGACAGGGTTAGAAATGAACAGATCAGAGGGACGGTTACGCTGGAGGTGGAGATGCTTTGGACATGTGAAGATGGGGTCGGATGATCGGCTGTGGCGACCCCTGAAGGGAACAGGCGAAAGAAGGACGAGAAGATGTTTAGTCCTGGTGGTTCAGATTTAATTTAGAACAATGGTTGTGATGAATGGCCTTCCTTAGGAAGAGGGGTTCTTGTTCTGGACATTTGGGAAACATTTGCGCCCTAATCGTCTGTGTGCAAAAGTAACAAACTATGAAAAGCAAAAGCTTATGTGGCCGTCAACACCAGTTAACACAGAACCCATGAGCAGAAAGACTTTGGTGCATATTCTTTATTGTGCTTTTCTGTCCAGAGGAAACACCTATGAGGAGTTTGTCAATTCTTGTTTTGTACTCAAATCTGAGACCTAGTCTTTAAAATCCTCTACTGTCTACTAATGTAGACATTATGTAATCCTTTTTGCATTGACCTCATTATGATCTCTTAACCTTTAAATGAGCCTGAGAGTTTAACATGTTTAAATGTTGATCCCCGGCCAACTACGCCGGCCACTCCTCCTGACCTCGGGGTCCTTTTGGCTTTCCTTCACCTCCCACCCTTTAATTCCACCCAATATTATTTTACCATCAATGAGTTTAGAAGGGGCGTACTTTGGCACGGGATAGGAAAACATGATGTGTTTGGCTGTTGGAGCTCAGTTTAGGGGGGAGCCTCCCCATATTAAAAACAACCAGCTGGGTGATCTCTGTGATCCCAAATTCCAGCAAACGTACACTACTCTTGGCTGCATGGTGGAACAGAGGGGTGGAGGTCCATAAAGCTGATGGGAGGGGAGCGTGCTGGGACTGGGGGATTTATGTGACACTGAAGAGGAACTGGAGATTCCAGCAGAAGAATTGAAGGTGTACAGGGGCTGATGGGTAGATACAGAAACAGGACAGACTAACGACATTATTGACATGAAGTTGTTTATTAATACTTTATAATTACCCTGGTCATGTACAAGGGTAAGGTCAAGACGTTTGACAGATTTTCAGTTTTACCAATGCTGTATGTTTGAATTGACCTGTTAAAATGAAATGTTTTTTTCAACCCCGCCCTCCCCTTCAAAAAGTGAATTCTCTGATAAAAACCCAACTTGCAAAAAAAATGTTCAATCCAAAGGGAATATATGTTAAATATCGCTTTATTATTTTTTTATAGATTTGTTATTCATCTTTTCCATCTATGTGATTGGTTGCTGTAGATTGTGCAATATTTGTTGTACCACAGTGCTGTTGGGGACTTTTTTTTGTTACTGTTCTAATTTTAGACATCAAACAACAAATGTTTTTGACAATTCACAGTTCTACTTGTAAACAAAGAAACCTTTTTCCAAGGACAAATTAATTCTTTCTTTTTCAATTTTCTTTTGGCCACTGGGCAAACAAAGCCAAACGTGCACATCTTGAAACCAGATCTAGTAAATCTTCATGAACGAGTGAAGAAATATGGACTTTAATATGTTATTAAAGTGAACTTAAGAACTTAGAAAGATGTTGTTTTTTTCACATGACAAGTACCGTATGTGTAGAATTGAACTGGGACTGTGGTTAGGCAGGATGACGATTCACCTCACAGAGTTCACGGTCGTACAGGTTTTACATACCAGACGTACACTTATAGTAGAGCACACATACATCACCATAAGCCTCCACAGGGATTTACACTCTTTAAATTTGACCCGTGGAGCCGTGTGCCCGTTTCATATTATACTGAATGGCATTTAATTTAATTTATTTTTGTCTAGTACTACGTGCTTCTCCTGTTGCATTCACACTTGTGACATGATGTTTGGCCTTGAGGGAATTTTTTTATTTTTTTAATTTCGTGGTGTGAAAGGGACAGTAGAGGTTGGGAATTAAGTCGACACCTGATCTGGTGGCAAAAACGGAGCGGGAATTAATGAGAAACGAACACAGTTTCTGCTTCTTTGTGCAGTGGAGAGCTGCAGAAACAGAAATAAATGTGGTGATGATGGTGGTGGTAGATACGTGCTGGACATGGCATCAGTGTTGCCAGTCAACACGTGCCCTTTGAAAAAAGACAGCTGGAGGATGTTTTCACTGCCCCGCCCAGAACTGTGGAAGACAAAACACTGTGAAGTGATGTCATTACTACTGCTTATGGAAACCAGCTGCATGACTGTATGGGCCGGTGATGAGATTTGAATTTCATGTCTGTTGGACTGTAAATGGTGTATAAATGCATTGGTACAGTACCTGCTGTATAGACATGTATAGACATTTGTCATCATTTAAAGCTGTAAAGTGTGAGTTTCGATTTAAACTACAGACTGCTAACAGAAGGGAAGTGAAACAAAAAAAAAACCCCACAAAATATGTAAGAAAAAAATGGAGACATACGATTTATATTTGTGTTTCTTTTCAACAAAGGTAAAAAAATGTAAGTAAAAACATTTCTTCAGTACACCCTAATAACTCATAGTCCTTAACTAAAATTATGTCATGGGCACATCTGCCACTGGACACATGTTTTGGCACTTAATTAATGTAATGGAAATTTTTGGGACAAAAAAAACCCTTCAAAAAAACCCCAAAACACTGCAAATGTTTATGCATATAAAATAAAACCAAGACAAATTAGCCACTCTATACAACACTGCACAGTAAAATACTGATAGAAAGGAAGAGCTAATACAGTATAGTAAAAAGAATATAACACTGACAACTGAATGGTCTCCATGTTGACTTTCTGAAGCCTCTTTCAGTTTAAAGTGTCAGATTGGGATTGGGATTTCAAAAATTCCGAATGACCTCATCCTTCTTTTTGGGGATCAACTGAAAGGTTAACTTATTTTTACAGAACTCCTAACTAATGTTAATTACACATTCAAATTTGGCATCACACAAATGCTAATGTGAAACCAAACCTTCTATACATTGGCAGAAAAACAAAAAGCTAAAATGCAAGTATTAATACATATTCTTATACAGTCCATGCACAGTACACATATAGTTCATGTTAAGTCACACATGGAAGTTGTCCAATCTGTACACACTCACTCACACACGTACACGTCCACACACCAGTTTTAGTGCTTTGTGAGAACTTCAAATAGACAACTGTGTTCCGAAGCCCAAGACCTTAACCTCGACAATGACAACTATATGCCTCGTTCTAATCTTTACTGTAACGCTAATCTGACCCTTATTCAAATGACTATTTCTAAAATCTAAATCTGGACCTCAATTTACCCGTTTACTCAGTAGGCACCCATAAATGTCCCCACAAAGACAGTGTCCCAAATAATGGAAAAAAAGTGTCCCCACAAGTATAGCTATACCATGATCACATACACAAACAAAACAAAAGATGGCGTTCCTCGCTGAGAAGATTTCAAGGCAGTGAGGTTTGTTTCCTGTCCATCTACGTGTCACTTTATTTCTGTAAACCAAGGAACAATTCAATGTATGTGATTATGATGTGTTTTTTGTTTTTTTTTTTCTGGTCAGGGATTCAATCAAGGCTTTAAACCTAAGGCGGAGGCTCTCCTGGGTGGTGACATCACACAGCCGCTGTTACGCCAGTGCTGATTAACTCAAGAATACACACACCCCAAACTGCCGGTCTCCTCCCTCCCATCTCCAGCCTGACAAGCCGTCAACGAGTGAGAGGTGAGTCGCCATCATTAACATTAACGCCAATGTTAGACCCACTTCACTGGTGCTTGTTGAGGCACACAGTCAGAGGAAGAGACAAGAGGGCAAGACAAGGAGTTTGAAACCATGACGTGGTAGTAGTCCCTGACGCCCACTGTGCTGCGCCGTCAGACAGGAGAGGCTTCAGAACGTGGGGTGAATTTCCGTTTGTTCAAATGGTTGGTTGTTGGCCTGGTTGTTGGGATGGTTCCTGGTTTGCTGCTCTTTGGTAGGTTATTTCACAGCTCAGTGTCTGCTGTCTTTGGAGTGGAGTGGCCATTGGTGGGAGGAGGTGCCGGCTCAGTTTTTGCTGGCTCGGTAGAATCGCTGTTCTCTGTGGGTTTCTCCTCGGTTTCTGGAGGAGGATTTAGAGGGGCCGCCGATGCTAGTGTGCTCGCCTGGGTCTCCTGATCTACTGGGTAGGCCTCCTCTGCCTGCGAAAGCATTCAAGAAAACATTTTTTTGATACCAATAACTTGTATAAGCTTCACATCTTCATCCTAATCAGCAGAGAACTCAGAGGCTGTAGCCGTCAATCACGAACTGTCCAGTCAACAAATATATGACCTGTGACGTAGACACACATCTGATGTGGGTTTTAATCATGTGATATTGTGAATGGTACAGAGAAACAGCTGAGCCTGCTGTCTGGAGGAATCAGGCAGCGTGGAAGAGGGCGTGTGTTTTGGCGCGTATTCTCTTCCTCAGCATTTCTTCTCTGATGGCTGTCCAGCACTCTTCCCTTATTAAAACTCTGGCAACAGCTCATTCAAAAGTCCGGAAATAGTCTTGGTTTGATTTCAGATGTCATAAAACATCAATCTTGCCCCATGCATATGTAACACAGGCTGACTGTCACTGAATGTGACTCTATAATAACAGCTGTGCTTTTATTTGTCATCCCCACATAAAGTAGTAAAACTACCACATTATTTAGGCATTCCTCATACAAATACTAAATCACTACATCTACAGAGTAGCCCAACAAAAGATCGGTAAATTATAGAAATATTTCATCACGTAAATGTCCTCACCAGCCGCACTGCCTTGTCGCCAGACCGACGTGGGCATTTGAAGTAACCAATAGTGAGGCCCAGGGCAGCGAGCAGACCAGTGACCAGAACTGTAGCAAATACTGTGGAGTTTGAGGACGATGAGGGAACCTCTCCCTTTGTCAAACCCAGCTGAAAACAAACAGATATCATGAGGTTGTGTTTAAAATACAAAATAAAACAAACTCTAGTGAGGAAGTACTTGTATGGAAGTGGTTAATTTATTCAATCTTAGCACCTCACTGTGTCTGCTACCAGTATATTTTGTGAGTCAATGAAGAAGTAAGGTCTCTTGACTCTTGTTAGGAAGTTTTTTGGGAGGGTAGGATTTGAAATTAAAGGTACATCAAATGTTTGCTATTGACGTTGCTGCTATCTAGCATGTTGCGTTGCCATGCTAATTGCTGACTTTTACAACATTTTTCATGTCAGTCCACGGATAGTAATTGTGTATTTGTGTGATATATTGTTAAGTGCTACCATGTACTGTTGGTACTGTACATTGTAAATACGTGACTTAACGCAACTGAAACCAAATGTTGAGATAAAAATATTCTATAAAGTATAGCATTGAAAAACAAACAGAAACAACTCTGTTGTAAAAACCTACATTATAACAGACATTCAACTGTAGACTTTTCTATCATATCAGTTACGTTGTGTGAGTCTTTACCTGTTGTTTTAATCCGTCACTTTGAATTGCAGCCACCAGAGGCGCCAAGTCAGCTGTAAAAGAACATAGTGTTTGAAATATGTGCATTAAACATTGCAGGGTAGTGTTTTAAGGTAAAAACCATCTATACCCACCACCTGGGCTGTCCACTAACATGTTGGTGCCTTCTTGAAAGATTTTTATGCTGCATCCTCCTGAGAAACACCAAAGTGGAGCATTGTTCTCAAAAACCTCTTTAGTTTTCTCCTATATAAATGAAGTGTGCAAAGAGGACAAAGACAGATGGTCAGTGACATTGGATGCAGTTTCATACGAACATTTCTGTTGTTATATTAAAATAAACAGAACAAACCAAAATTTGTTTAACTTTCTACAAAGTAATAAAGAGGAAAAAAAAACTTGCAGACCACACCTTCCTTTTCTCCACCTCAACTCACAGCTATGATATCATCTCCTTGCACAACACCACATTTTGTGATTTGGGAACACACTTCTCTATAATGTGGTCCAGACAGCACTCAGTGCTCCCAGAGGACCACTGTGAGCAAGCCTCGAATCCTGTGTTAGGTGGGAGCGGCCCCAGAATCGGACCCTCCCCTGGAACCTGTTCATTTCTACATCTGCCTGTTTCACTTGTGACCCATCAAACGGTCTCTCCCCCCGCCCCTCTCTCTTTCTCTCTCTCTCCCTCTCTATCTCCTCCCAAGGAGCCCTTTCCTTGTTCTTATTTGACCTTGTTGGTCATTATGTCTTGGGATTCCCGAGGTGTTCACAGTAAAAGTGTATGAAAGAAACCCAAAACGTTTCAACTAAACACGATCAATCCAAAAATAGTCTTGTTTATATATATTAACTAGTTAGTTGTAATGTGTTTTCTTTGTAGGTATTTTATGCCGTTCACATATTCATGTTCACATTTTTGGATTTATGAACAGCTGGCCCAGAGATTCTGGACTGCACTTCATGTTTAGTTTCAGGGAGGGTCGGATAGATGACTTTTACAGATGGTCCTGGATGTAGGGATATCACAGTAATAATGACCCGAATAGAAGATCACACAAGTATGAAGACTAGGATCTGCTGTTTCTGCTCTGCGTAGTCAGTCACAGGTATAGAATTAGGATAGAGATTTGACAATTCTCAGGAAAATTCTCAATCGTCTTACTTAAGCAGAACAAAGGCTTCTGCCATATAGGAGACCGGGAAAATTAAAACCACCTCACGGTGCTTTCCTCCTGCTCAAATGTCTCGGGGAAAGAGAAGAAGCATTAAACATATCCCTTATTCATTTACTGCCAGAAACACAGGCTCGAGATTTACTGTGCCTGAGGAATGTCTGAGAAAAGTTTTGACTTTATTACAGCTGCGCTCTTTGATGCAGAATACTGCAATCTATTAGTTGTGAACACGAGTTGCATGGGACCACATTAAAGTGGTGCTAAGTTGGTTAGCTTTATCACAATGATCTTGGAAATAGTAACGATCTTATATGTGTCAGATGAGAACAGTTCAGATTTTCAGTCACTCGAGTCGTCGGGAACTTGCTTTGCACACAGGAGACAAAAGCTTTTGTGGCAGAAATATTTTGGCAGGATCTACACTAGTTAATAATTATACTATTAATACTCATAGACTGCAGGATCTACACTAGTTAATAATTATATAACTATTATTACTCATAGACCGATATGTTATAGAAGTATTCCGTTAATAGTACTCACACAGTCATCTGTCGCGGTGACAGCCTTGACAGCTTTGTCTTCTGATATCTCATCTTTTGCAACGCATTTGACATCAACCTGTAACGACAGCAAACCAGGTCAGAATGTTACACACCAGGAATAGCTGACGCAGACGTGACCCTAAAAATGAACAGCACTTACCACTCTCTCTAAAACAGCCAGAGAGCTGTCTGCGTCTATATTTTCGACAATGGTTTTTGGCCCTGCTGTCGTCAGTAAGACGTCACCTTGAGTTGATGGGGCAGCAGAGTTTCCACTAGGTGCTGCTGCAGAGTCACCTGCAGCTGTGGCAGCTGTAAAAACTGGTGCATCAGTGGCTATTGAAAAGAATAAAGTGCAAAGAGAATGTGTTAGTGACACATTTTCAATTACATATTAAACACATAATTATCTAAATTCAACTAAATAAGATTAATTTAGCGTTTGAAAAGAAATCCTACCAGCAATAGCAGGACCAGTACCAGTTGCAGGTGTACCAGGACCTGCGGTTGAGGCATCTTGACAAATCACATTATCTACAGGGATTTAAAAGCAAATGGTAAAATCAGTGGAGAAAAGAAATTGAGTTGCAGATCTTTGAAACTTTTTTTTGATGAATCAAGTGCCTTCTAACATCTCAGGACTGTCTTTTTTCTCTGTCTTCCTGCAATGTGGAGGACAACCATGCACACACTAACTTCATACACTGTAGCAAACTCTGCAAAATAATGTCATAGTTGTCATCCAAAAATACCACTTATGCTGCTGCTGGATAGCGAATGTTTATCATTGAAAAGTTTTAAGGACGAAATAAGTTGGTTTAAACATTATTGTGCTGCCAAATTCAGAAAGGTCGATTCTGTTTTGTGCTAAGGAAATTTAATCAACTATTATTAGCTCACCGAATACCCACTGCTGCTTGTAAAAATACTACTCAGTGTTGCGGCTCAACTATCGCTAAAATAATATTTTGACTGGGCAGGGTGTCGCTAACACCGTAATAGGAAATAATGAAATGACCATGGATGCCTTGTTAGAATAATTATATTTTAGTATGAATTTCCATCCAACTGCATAATGAAATCAGACCGTTCATTTAGAGGGTTAGCATTAAAAGTGAATAGAACCGCACACTGACATGCACAACTTACAACCAATCCAATTAGCTGTGATTGTGTTGCCATAGCCACAAACGGTGATCACATTAGCAGGGAAAAAGACAAGTAGAAGTCAAGTGAACCTTTCTTGGATAAATTAGAGTAAGAGGAATGGGAGAGGGCAAACTCTGAATAACAGGAAACCAAACCAGCTTGTAAACAGTTTTACATTCAACCAAAATGATGCTGCTGTTAGAGGAGAATGTTTTTGGGGGCACCAGCTGGACATGTGCTGACTTGCACTGACTTTAAAAGTCAACTGGATATATACTGTACAATACAATACAATATACTGTACAATACTTTTTTACACTTATTTAGAATAATGCAAAACCATTCGCAATAATTTAATTTCCTTGAAGTTAGTTTATTGGAATTATTTGCGATAAGATGTGATATTGTTCCATTGAAGTATCTGTGAATTTATTGGAAAGAAATGTCTTCTTGATAGGCTGTATGTTTCTCTGAAATTCAGAAACAAATCTTTAGATTAATGCAGCTTTCTACGTTTCTCTGAAATTCAGAAACAAATCTTGTTTATTAATGCAGGTTTCTAATGCCGTGGCCACCGATTCATATATCTTTTTTATATCTTTCCTGTGCAAAACGTGACGTATGACTTTTCCCTGCGCACAAGATAAAAAACAAAGACCTAATTGACCCACAATCTGTTTCCAATATCTTTGGTTGAAATGAAATCTACAACACAATTTTTTTACTTTACTGCGGAAAAAAATGAATTCTTCAGTTCAGTCTCAATTCCACAAATATTTGCGCCACCATGTGTTCTCGCTTGTGACTATGAACCTATCGTTGTTTATTTGCTACAGCCCGTTTACGACACCTCCCATAATGTCAACAAATGTCCCTCACTGTAAAACTATTTGCACAAATACTGTAAACGTATCCACTGTAAACACTCAAACGCCTCAGAGCCCAGCGTCAGAATTCTCACTGTATTTTCAGCCAGGACCAGCAGCAACAGCTTCATGCTTTGGGACTTGGTCCCAACACAAACAGAGAGGAGCAGACATAACACTAGTACTCTATAAACACAACCTCGGTCTATCTCAGGAGAGGGTTTGAGAAAGTGCATGGTGAAGAGGGCAGGCTCTTTATTTGCTCCTGCGTTGGTCTGACTACTGGTTAACGCCCATGTGTGCTCGTCTTTGACTTGGTCTGGAGTTTGTAGCCCTAGCTAGAGTTAAAAGCAGAGCTATACCTGATTACTGTCCACATTTGGTCCACGAGCCGCCTATTTAAACTGTTTTTGTTTAGTCAGTGTGTGTGAATGGGCCATAATCTCTTTTCTAACTGATAGGTTTTTAGCAACAAACCTTTGCTTTTGAAGCAGGCCATAAATCATGTATATTAGGTGTGATATAATAATAAATATGACAGCATTATAGTGTGTGGCTTCAGCAACTGTAAAAATGGACCTTTAACTCATTGAAAAATGTCTTTGTGAACCTTTGCACTTGAATACCCCTGCTTTAAGTGCTCCATTCCTCTGCTTGAAGTATTGTGTAAAAAAAACTATTATGAGTCAGGATGAAAGCAATTATTTACCAAAGCAAATGGCAACTGTTCACTCAGTCCATGGAAAATCTTGTTTCTGTCCAGGGAAATTCCACAATTGGTTTGAATGGAGTGTTGCTGAAAGGTGTTGGTGCGATTGAGTAGCTGACCTAAATGCAGCTGGTTGACTACATTATAGGAATCCAAATCACTCCAGTGAGTTAGCATGTCACCTACACAGCAATGTATAGGAAATTCTGTCTATTAATAAAGCCATTCCGATCCGTTCTCTGGTATTTTTTTTTAGCAGATTGTGGAGGAATATTTATGGAGATCTCATCGAAGAAAGGTCACTGTTGAATGTGCAACATTTTACGGAACATCACTCAGTGCTTGAATTCCAGAGGATTAGAATGTGAAAGTGATCATTCACACGCAAATACATGAAATAACAAGGCCGAGATAGACATGTACGGATGTGTGAGTTTCCATTGGCCCAAAGATAAGTTGGCTCTGAGTAGTGCCCACTACACTTATTTCTCTGCTACAAAATGGAATTTTTTAAACTACTTAATAATAGAGACGTTCTAAAATATATTTGCGAACCTCCTAGTCCAGAGAATCCAGGTTGGGGACCATTTCAGTAGAGTGAACTGGTTAACAGCATACAAACAACATCTGTCTTAACAGAAAAAAAAAAACGGTTTGTGTGTGTGTTTTTGGAGGACCGTCTGCGTCAGGGATTTTCCTAGACTAACTGACTGTTCATGACATTAAAGTCGTGCTATGAAAGTGTGGTGAGATAGCAGTAAAAAACCAAACACTGCCACCCCTGATTGGACAGGTGCAGTCTCGGGGTATGAGCAGGCGACAGTGTTCCTTCACATGTGGAATTTAAACGGAGTCTGCTTCCTCTCAGGAGAGATATGGGAGGAGCCCTGAGGACCTGGAGATCTGGTACAGCTGCAGCTGCACCAGATCTCCTCAGGGAACCCTGTCCCCTCCCTGCACATGTGCTCTACTGTCAAGGAGCTGTAAGATTGGTGACATCATGCCTCAGTTAAAAAAAAAAAAATCTGAAGACTTGCACATGACCTCCACCCACACCACTGAGACAACGGTTTGGCCGTCACAACAAGTCACACCCTGCTGTCGTCACGTATCCACATCCTCTGCTAACAGCTGTGCGAGGACAACTCTTACGTTCCGTTCTGTCCCCTTCTAGGGCAAACGCCTTCCCACCTCAAATGTAATACAGTACGTTTTTATGTTTCACAGACAGGAGCGAACAGGTTTACAAGTTTTATCGTTTGTAAAAGTCTGGTTTTAATAACTAAAACACGTGTAGACATCTCACATCTCTCGACAACAACTTTGATATTTATTTTTTATTACATCTTTTTAAAGCACTAGCTGTGTAAAATTTTATTATATTTTATGATTTTTTTTTATGCATTTAATTGAAATGTAAAAATGAATGTTGAATGTCCCTCCTGATTCTTGTTAGACCTTCAGATTGGTGTGTTTGGATAAGAGAAAAAAAAACTATAAAAACCCAAGACATTTCATTTTGCTAAATTTACCCACAGATGCTACAAACCAGCTAAAATACAGTAGAAAATTCCAAGAGCTCTCATCTGTGAGCCTGAGAAATAAAATTACAAACAGAACGTTACCTTACATCTGGGAGTAAATGGAAAAAAAAAAAACAGGACTGCTTTAAAAACACCAAACCACTGAGTGAAGCCACAGAACACAAATACCATCCATTTAACTACCACTCACTACTCCACAGACAATCTGGGGAAAAAATAAATTCCACGAATACACCGCTTAGGCCCGTGAACGTGAGAACTATTTTTCTTTCTGCACAGACGGGTGGCATAAGTTTACTTTTCCCTCCCTGCCCACGCCCTTGGTGTTGTTTTACAAAACACATCATGGTTTCAAAGAAAGAAAAAAAAGGAATGAACAACAGTTCATGGAATGTTAGCCATGCGTGTTTCCTACGGCAGGAAGGGGCTGTCAAAGCATATGGCAGACGGTGACCTTTCTTAGTGGCCAAGGTGAAAGTCCAGGATACTGTTCCCTAAAGTAGATAGAACAGGACATACCCTTAAGGTTTGGTATTGGAACTTCCTGTTAGAGTATACATCAGACCGCATTCTGGAAACAAAGCACTTTACCCGGTAATGTAAACACTTTGTTTCTAGAATGCAGTCTGATGCTGGGAGAAAAAACGAGAAAGAAGTCAACAGAAGGATCTACTCACTGTTTTGCAAACTCTCTTTCCCCCATTAAAATCCTTTTTACTGAAACAGTGGAATTTGAAACTAGTTTCCAAAACAGTACATCCATTTGGTGAAGGGCTTAAAAAAAGTACAAACACCACCTGATTTGTGACGCTGCTGGAGTCGGTGTGTCAGAACGGGGCCTGATCTTCAACAGCAGATACGTTCAAACAGACTGACTCCAGCTGTTTTATGGCTAAAGGTTGTAAAAAGTTATCAGAGACAAATCCAAGCACAATGTTCTTCTGTAACTGAGCTACTGCTTTCAGTCCTACCAACATGAAATAAAAGTCAAAGAGGAGCATCATGCAATGTTTTATTGAAGGTGCCTTGCATTTTAAGATCGACCTTTTACTTCTGGATTGAAATACTGTGAAAGAGAAGAAACCAATACCGGCTCTTAGTATTTTCCTGCTTGGTTTCTTTTGTTCGATCAGACAAAGACTTAATCAAGGTCCATTAAGGATCTCAAGTCTTCAGACTGAATGCTCTCTAAATAAGATCATTTTTGCCTTGATTCCTGGCTGCAGATATTTGTTAAGTTTTGAACTCTCTGTGAATGCTGCAGATATTTAAGTTTTGAACTCTCTGTGAAGAATTTACAATGACACAGTTAGCTAGGTATGATTGGGTACTTTGCTCATGGGGCTGATAAACAGAGGAAATGTTTTTGATCAGTGCAGTGATATTTTTAGTTTGACACGATCGAAAATGTTTGTGCCGCCAAATGTTTAGTGAAGGAAGGGTGAAATCGGAGAAGAAACCCACACCTCCTCCCCATAACTAAACGTCTTTGCTGGTGAAACCCAACAGCTGTACAACAGGGTGCAGGGTGCCGAGGTGAACGAGTAACAATCGGCTCGGCAGAACGTCAGTAATTGAAAAGGGAAGATTAAAATGCTGGCACGCAGACTGCTTTTCATCAAGATTGTTTCGCTAGATAAATATTGTTGCTGCACGATCTATTTCTCCAAGTCAACATCTTTCCTGGATTATGGTTGAGTTAGGGGCCACCGTGCTTTTGTTTTTCCAGTCATTAATATGTTTTCTTTGGAATGGAGACGGATGCAGAGGAAGATAATTGAGAAAGAGAAAACACATTTTGAAATGTCCTCCACTTAATGGCTGTGTTCATGCTGATGAGGTCTGGCAGGTGGAGTAACAGAGCCACGGCTGATGATGGCTAATGTTTGAACATTTCTGACTAAATTTGGTTCTTGACCAGTTTGGCTTTTCTTCTTTTTGTGAAATCACTGACCCCATCTGGCTGTTTGACTCCAGGTTTAATTAGAATGAGACTTTTCACGGCACCTCAGCCACGACCACGAGCCTCGGTGGACGCACGCCCTCACTGACATAAGACCACTATCTGCCAAGGCTTACATAAAAGACCCACACCCTCCAGCTGATGACGTAAATCAGAAATCATCACAACTTGGGACTTGAAGAATGTTGGTCAACAGCCTGGGGCCTTGAGAGTTGAGTTGTAATATTCCACTCATGTTGATGTTGGCTGGTGAAAATCTGCCTGAGAAACAAAGCGTTTTTCTGCTGGGACATATGACTTTGTTAGGCCTCTGCTTTCCACATGACTTTATTTTTCACATTTCCTCTGAAGGAATGCATCATGTGTATTAGTTACATTTTTCTCTTCCCTCATGATTTAAAAAAAAACCAAAAAACTACTCGAACTGTATTCAGACAATGACACAATTTTAAATGTAATGTTGAATTCTAGCACGAGGCTGAAACTAATAACCAGCACTAACCAGTGCAGATAAAGAGCTGGACTTAGTGACTTGAGATGTTTTTCTCCTCCCCCAGAGCAGATTTAAAGCCTGGGTTTTCCACTAAAATCTGGAGCGAGAGAGAGAGAGAAAGTTTCTAACATACTCCAAGAAGTATTGAATGACATCATTCAACGCTGCAGTGCGTGCCCATTCCAGCGCTACATATTTGTACGACTGCATAAATACTGAAAGGCAGCCATGGGAAGTAGGACCTTAAGCTCAATCTGTCTTTACCAGAGCTCCTACATAACTGGGCTGTTTGTTCGGGTGAACACACTGACTTATCCAGTTCATCAAAGGCTCTGTTGTGTCTCTGGAGTCCTGTCATATCACCACCTAAATGTTCTTCTTCTCATGTAGCAGAACAATTGTTTATGACTAGAACTCCCTGTGGATGGTCACGTATAAAGTCAGCTGTAAGTTTGAAAAAAAAATAAACATATGTAAAAAAAAAAAATACATTGCACTGAAAACCAAAAAACCAATATGGTTTTTATGGTACCGTTGGGTGGAATGTCTGGTTTAGTGGAACATATTTTGTTGTTTGTGTATTTTTGGCTTGGGCGATAAACTACAAACCATGAGTTTTTTTTGTGTGTATTTACAATGCTGTTGGTTTGTCCTCTCCTCTGTCCTCTGCATTCTTCTAGACTTCTATATGCTGTAAGACCCCACCCCCACCCTCACCCTCACCCCACCCTCACCGTGTTTACAGATCAGGGCCAGAAATTATCCGTCATTTTGAAATTGAAACCCACATGACAAATAAAAAAACAAAAAAAACACACAACGTTGGACCTAATGTTATCTTGCAAAATACGTTAAATTTCCACAGGAGCTGACCAGTTTCTGGGGAGATGTTAGGATTTTTACCCATCTATGGATATCACGTTGTATCCATAGAGTTTAGTTGTACTATAATCAACTGGAAAAAAGTGGCTCGACCCACTGGACAGAGGGTCTCTTTTAACCAGCCATGCCAGCCATAATGAACTGTGAAGAATTACATCTGTTAGTGTCCTTGTTATAGAACAGTGACTACTCCGGAGACAGACCTTTGACCTCTGTGCAACCACTGCCCTATATTGTCAAAGGGGTCGGTGAGGAGACACTATGTCCCTTGTGAATTGGCTGCTTAAATTGTCTGCAGCCGATAACCGTCACAGATGTATTATTTCTGTTTCATATATGGAATCATGAAACAAAAATCAGTGTTAATGAAATGGAAATTTAAACTTAAAGAAACACATTTTTGAAGTTTCTTCATATGTGATGCTGTGATCAGATGTGTATTTGTTGGTTCAGAGAACGTAGATTTAAATGTGTGAATGTATCTACTAATGTACGACCTCCTTTTACCCTTTGTGCTTTGCGTATTTTAAACAGACTGAGAAACTCCTGCTGGTTTTACCCGAGGTCGACCCGAACCGTGGCCACACCTCAGCTCTCGCACGAGGCCCGACAGCTGTGCAAAAGTCATCACAACATACGGAACTACAACAGCAGGCGATGGAGCGACTGTGCCCAAGCCGCACATCACCCCGCAATTAACACCAGGCCTCGGACCAACTGCCCAGTGAGTGCACACACGTCACACCCACAACTTGTTTACCGCCTGCCATCTGTACAAAGTTACAAAGCATTGTCGTTTTTTTTTACTTTTGTTCAAACATTTCTGTACATGTGCAGCACACACCGTCATCCGTCCGTTTCTTGCACATTGATGTTATTAAAGGACACTGTTGTGACGGTGGTCCTGTTGTTACTACAAGTTAATTCTCTCTCACGTTCATTCAAACACACAATGGCTCCACCCTGTTGCACCACAGGACGTAGAGTGTAATTATTCACAAATGTACAAGACACATGGCCCTTTTTTTTTTTTTTTTTTTTTTTGTCTGAGCCTGTGCCACTCCCAGCTCATGCACACATCCTCACAGTAAAAAAAAACAAAAAAAAAACAACAACAAAAGAAAGCAAAACACTCCCCACCCCCAAAAACTAGAAAATGATGGCAGTGATATTTAACACACAGGAGTTAGAGTTCAGAGTTCGATTCAACATCAGTGTAAATCCACATTTCAGGTCATCAGAGTACTCACTGCTGAGTAACAGGGTGCAGAGCACAAGAACTACCGTCATCTTCCTCCAGAGCCCATTCATTCTCCACGTGGACACGGCCGTCATCCTCCCTGGTCAGACTTGTTGTGGGAGCAGAGTAAAAGTGAGTAAATATGAACGGGGGAGTCGTCTGAGCGGGAGTTGTTTGAGCGGGACAGAAGAGACAGCCGGGCTGATGTTCTCTCCCTCTTTATATAGACCCACTCCTCAGCCCCTCTCCCCTCTCTGGCTCTCTCTCTCTCTCTCTCTCTCTCTCTCTCTCTCTCTCTCTCTCTCCTCGTCCCCACCCCTTTCCATTCCCCCTCAGTTTCCTCCCCTGTCCCCTGTATGTGAACACATGTGGGCACCAGAACGAGATAATGAGACGGTGGTAGGTTGAAAAACCCATCTGGCTGAGCTTTAGTGTTCTTGTAGTTTTCTTTCCTGGGGGGCAGCAGCTGGCATTTTGTCATGGGCATGGCCCAGTAGAGTGGGTTTAAGATGTGACATGTTTATAAAAAATAAGAAATTCAAGGTATTTTTAAAAATTAAGTATTGAACATCTGACCAACATTTGTACAACTTATGGTTCCTACGTCAAGTGAAGCCCTTTAGCCTCTTTACTCTGTACTGACTGATCGATCAGGCCAGAATTATAAGTTAATGATAGAAAGGAAGGGGATGAAACTAAAAACTAAAATCAAGATTAAACCAATTTTACAGGACACTCTAATTTTCAACTTGTTTACTGAGCGCCAAACAACATCATGTCACTGTCCTCTTAACGCAGTTTTAAGGCAGAGTAAACAATGTTGACTGCATGTGATGGTAGTGGGTGTGTAATACTAAATACTCGTGTATTTTTCCCGTGGTTCAATATTAATGTCAATAGCTTTCTTTTTTTTGTATTTTTGTAAATAAATCTGTAGTATTACTGCAGTACAATACTTTCCTCATATCCTGCACTACTGCTATTCTTTAAGTGTTTCTGTGATGCTCTTGCGATTGTATTTCTCTGGTCTAACCTGTAGTATTACTGCAGTACAATACTTTCTTCATATCCTGCACTACTGCTATCCTTTAAATGTTTTTGTGATGCGCTTTGATTGTATTTCTCTGGTCTAACATCGTTGTTTTCTTCAACAATCTGGCATCTGGTAAACATGAAGTACTCCTCTTCAGGGCTGTGTACATCAGTGTTAGGCCTGTAAAACACATGACGTCACGCACAAACTCTGGCAGTAGTTTTTTTTTTTTTTTTTTACTTGTCTTGTGTGTCTTTAACGAGTATCGTATTGTGATGACTTGATGATGACTTGATCACCTACCGTCTACTAACGCAGCGCTGCTGTAAACCTTCAGACTTTCACAAAAATACACGACACGCGTTTGGTGATTTCACCGCATCAGCAGAAAAAGTGACCATCTGTTGCGTTGTTGTGTGTGTGTGCATGTGTGTGTGTGTGTGTGCATGTGTGTTGTAGGAGTGTGGTGTGGGGTGGGTTCCCTCTTCATGTTCACACAGCGATGTGTTCTTCCAGAGATGTGGGCAGACCACATCTGGAAACACTGCAGTCCCACCACGGTTTTTTTCGGGGATTGCCTTGGGGCTCGCTTGTCAAACAATGTAGCCGCATGAGGCCGAGCTGAGCCAAGATCAGACGGGTGTCTGGGAACAGAGCGCTCCTGCTGGTCGCCCTGTGAGGTGTGCAGTGTGCAAAGAGACGACTGTGATGGTGCAGTATGGTCCACCTGGTCTGGTTCTTTTAACTCAGTGTTGTTGACCACTCTGATTGGTTCTTGTAAGACTCATTCATCATCCTCTGGGCCACACACACTCCCACATGTGGGAATTCACACAAGATCTATTTTACATTTATTTCTCTGCGACGTTTTAATAAGTCACTCACAAGAATAACTGAAATTAGCACTGCCACATGTGACTGCAGCGCCCCCACCAATCTGTCATGAGCCATTTGTGTGCATGGTTTAAAATATCCTTACATTTCTTTCTTTGTACGTTTTGCTGCATTTCTTATTTTTTGTAACTCGAGGTGAGGCCGTGATTACTTTATAAAAAATTATATATATATTTATTTATTTAAGGATCTTCTTCGACAGTTTTACTTCATTTCTCCCTCTTCCTTATTTTGGATTGTCTGCACAAAGGAATCTTTGACTTAACGACGGGGTAGTGCCAGGATATCACGAGGATCAGCACAAGGCAGCAGGGACTCTGACCCTCAGAGGTTTATCAGTTTGGTGAGTCTTAGGGGCAGAGTTTTTGGATTTATCACAAGAGCATGACGGACATGTGACTGTGTTGTTAACTAGACATAAAAATGAGAGTAATGTATTTTTGATATTTTCCTGAAGTGCAGGAATCTGAAAAGGCTGTAATGAGATTTTAGCGGTGTTGGCACTAGCATAGCAGTATTAGCATGACCTTATTTGCCCTCTCCCATTCCTCAGCCCAAGATGGTATCTTCTGTGCTGTGGTTTGTTATACAATCACACACTGAATCATAGATTACTCCTTCCTGTACTGTAGTAAAAAAAACAGTTGTGTTTTGTGCTTGTAATTTTACTTTTTATGAACCAAAACTCAAACATTTTAAAACCCATCACTACTATTTTCCAACATTAGTCAGCAGAGGACAAACTAGATGATGTTCGATTTTTAACATAAACTATGAGTCTGCTGAAACTTGTTTACATGATTTGCCAGAAATAATGAGGTGCGGCAGAGTCAACTGCATATTTACCAGTAGGTGCTGCTAAGTCTTATGTAGGAAATCTTTCACATCCCAATTCAGTAGGATTGAGAGGAAAGTCTCCGCTTTTTCTTCCTGCACCGTTGGGGAAGAAAGTGAAGGTTTTGGATGGAGATGATTTCTTTTTCTGACTTTCAAGGATGATTTGATCAGTAGATGTTGTGTGGATACAGTGAACACGTGCGATTACACGGTTTGTGCTTCTTCACACATTCTGACGGGCCCCTCTCTCCTTCCTCATCATCCTGTTGACATACCCATCCACTGCCACTCCTGCGTTCAATTTCTTCCTCTATTTCCTGCCATTCTTCGAGTGCGTGATGTGTTCTCACAGGCGCACAGACCGACCGATGACCCAGACAATGAAAAGAAGGAAAGGTATTTATAATCAACCTTCACCCTGCAGCCTGTACTTTCTCCTTGTCCTGCCCTCCATGTCTGCTCTGCAAAACCTACATCAGATGAAACAGACATTGGTAGAAATGCGATGGTGAAGAACCTATTTTTTTCTCTAATTATTATCTTGTTTTAAAGATCAGGCTGCCAGCAGAGACAAAAGCAAACATTAACACTGGAAATCAAAGTGCTCAGTAATTTATTATGTAATGTTGTTCAGACTGAGCGCATGTTTCTGTGTAAGTACAATTTTCACACAAAAATACTGTTGAGCTGCAGTAAATTAAATATTGCGATACACAATCCTGCACTTGATCTTGAGCGGAGCTGGAGAGAATTTCCTCTGATTTGCATGACATACTCATTTTGGCTGCGTCGTCGTAACACAAAGCCAAAATCCTTCTTTTCCTCCTCCCCCCACCAACTCCTCTGTGTTTCTTCTGTGTTCTGATCCTTTACAGATGTTCTTCTTCAGCACTTGCCTCTGGTGGAAGCCTACTCCTATTGTTCATGAAAATCAGTCCCATGTCATGGGTCGCCCCACCCCTGTGTGCACAACACACATGAACTGTGCAGAACAGTTGTAGAATCTAATGCACAGTCACAGTGTTACTTGGTCAAAGGAACAAACTTTGCAATGTCTTTAAAAAATCAACCCCAAAAAAAGGTCTTTGTTCCCTCTTACTTTTCTCCTGTGTCTTCATAAGTGCACTTAGAATCTTCTCTTCTTTTTTCCAAGGCTCTTTTGTTCTTTCTCTTAGGTTCGTAAACGAACCCATACCACTACTGTAACTAATTGCTAATTGCCTCTGATTGAGTTACTCTATGGACATCTTGAAGTGATTTCTCCTGAAGTTGAGAAGGTTGAGCTTGGGGTCCCTGAGGTCTTTGGTCCCCGGAGCGTTTGTTTGGTTGTATCTTCTCTGTTCTTTTTCATTTTGACAATGGAAAACCAAGAAGAGCCCTCATGAGGAGTGAGGCAAAAAAGACGTGTTAGAATTGACATATTTACTTGAAACTTGCTCTCACACATCATTAGTCATTTGCTTTTACACATATTTAATCATTTCGTTTACAACTAAGTTGGAACACCTGTTCTTTATCTCCAAAGGTAGTTCTTAAATATCTCTATATCAAGAGCAAGTTTCGCACACATTAGCCAAAAGATGGCACTATAAGACCAAGGTTTAAAGATTCCACCTCCAACCCCCAGGAACAATACGGCACCGTTTTGTGTGACTCAATGCTGCACTCTCGTGGCGACAGTCAAACAAAACATGCGTGAGGGTGCCTTTCTGTTTGATGAGACCATTTTTAAAAAAAAAAAATTAAATTACACTTTTAAAGATAAAACAAGAATAAATCAATGTGTATTCAAAAAGCTTTATTTTGAATGTAAATGCATGTGGTTTATATATTATCATGAATACAAATTTAATTAAAAAACACAATTTTAACACCATGCATGTAGTGGGCCTTGTTGCCCCATCTCTTGGAAAACCTGAGGGAAGAAGACATTTTAGTTACAATTACTTAAACATGGGGTATTAATAAGTAAGTCAAAATAAATTTGCTAATAATAAGAAGGAATAAATGAGAAAAAAATTATCTGACATCCCACAGACATCTTGTTGCAGATTTCTAACTCAGTACGCAACACACTCTCCTGCTTTATCTTTCTCTCTCTCTCTTTCTGTTTGTGTGTGTGTGTGTGTGTGTGTGTGTTTGCAGCTGAGAGATACACACCTCACCTCAGTTCTTCTCTGAAGTCTTGCTCTGGGCTCGTCTGGAGACGCTCAGGTCCTGCACATCAAATATTCATTTCACAGAAACTCCTAAGCCTTAAATAATTCTCAAAGAAGTGTGCCGAAAGCAATGCCTTACTATCCAAGGCACGTTTCTATCTGGACAATGGATTCAAGGGAGCAAAATGGGAGGATGGAAGTAGGAGAGAAAGTAGAGAGGGAGGTAACAAAACAAAGGATGGCAGGAAAGAAGATGGCATTGTCTGTTTGACTGTACGGTTCTACAATCAGCTGTTCTCCACAGCATGCAGTTTCTTTTGAGATAAGGCCTTAAACTTTTTGTTACTGACCAAAAATGACATGAAAAAAAATGAAATTCAGATTTTAACAAAAAAATTCTCAAAATGTTCTCCAAATGCTTAATTTTGATGAGAGAAGATCAAATTTTTTATAAAAAAGTTGGATTTTAAATTTTTTGGAATGTTGTTTTTTTTTTAGAAAAAAAGTTTTAGTAGATCTTTTTGAAAAATCTTTAGAAGAATATTTTTTAGAAAAACAAAAAACAAAAAAATGTTTGAAAATTAAAAAAAAATTTTTTTTGAAAGAAAATTGAAAAAAATATTTTTGAAAACAATTGGGAAAATTAAAAAAAAAATTTTTTTGAAAGAAAATTGAAAAAAAGAATATTTTTGAAAACAATTGAAAAAAATTTTTCAAAAAAAATTCCAAAAAGTTTTTCAAAACAATAATTTCAAAAAAAATGAAAAAAAGTGTATAGTTTCTTTTTTTCTCAAAACTTTTATCAAAATGTTTTCCCAAAAAAAATTTTTTTAGAACTTTTAGAATTTTTTTTCAAATATTTTTACAAAGAATCTTTTCAAAATTTTTTTATAATAGCCCTAATTTAATGAGAAACATGCAAGAAAAGATACAATCATGAATATTATTCATCAATATTTTCAGTTTTAGAATTTTTTTTCAGAAAAATGTTTAAATTTTTATATAAAACACATTTTTTCTAAAAATTTGAAGGGATTTTAGAAAAAAAAATTTGAAAAAAAATTTT